GGGGGGGGCTATGGTGAGGAGGGGGCTTACGGATGCGCCTTGGCGTGCGAGATCTAGAGCCATGCCGGCGCCGAGACCGCGGGAGGCTCCTGTCACGATTGCCGTCTTTCCTTTGAGCGGCTTCATTTCGGGTTTCTTTCAATGTGTAGTTGAATGTTTAGTTGGAGACGTCATGTTCTCTATTGGTAAAAGAGGTAGATGATGTGAGTTGTACATCCAATGTGAGGTGAGGAACACCGCTGCTTCTTATAAGATGAAGAATGGCCTCTGTGAATGCGGCTTACTCTTAGCATCAGCTTATATTCTTGTTTATCTCATCCGTGTAGTCTCACCTGCCGTCTAGTGTAAGTCGGTAACGCGGGCCGTGGTCGTCGTATGTCGGCGATCGGGGCACCGCGACCCCGACATTGCTTAACGCCGATCGGGTCCTCGCAGCTTCCCACGCCGCAATACCATCGGCGATGAAGGAGGAAGGATCGCCGCCCCTGACGGAATCATTGCAGATTTTGGCGGCCGATCAGCCTGTGGTTTTAGTAATGGTCTAGGCGCATGATGGAATCCCTCATCAGACTATTGCGAAACTGGGCAGCATCGGTATTTCTACGTTTGAATTGCGCTTGCATTCATCTGTTCAAGCAGTTCTCACTACTTAGAGGTTATTGCCCAGACAGTTGTACCATTGTTCCTTGGGAAAATTGCGCGATTTGTTATCTATTGGAACGTGATGAGAAGTATATTTCTTGGAGTAAGCGAGGTATCATTGTATTAGCTCGGAGGGCCTGTCAATGAGAGGTTTTGCGGATGAGGTTGTCATCACCGCCTCTGCTATGCAGGTTCCAAAGTGATGCTGTTTCTAGACGACTCTTACCAGGGGTGGGACCCGAGTGGTTATACACACAACCGAGGAGAGGCGATGTCGATGCATGCTGGGTGAGGCGCACTCATTGGCCCTGGTTGAAGTTCATCGAATAGCCGCCAGTCTTTTCGTCCTTGACCATCTGGAAGTTATCCGTACTCAAGCCAAACGGCTTGAGGATTCCGTTACCCAGCTATAATCACAATTTCAGCTACCGCAAATCTCAAACAGTCATTTTTTAGCTTGTCAAACTCACGTCCTTGAGCTTTCCCCACATCTCCGCCGTCTCCGCCTCTTGCGCAGCCTTGGTCCTGGGCGGCAGCACCCGCAGCTGCGTATGCACAATCTTGCGGTCCGCGGGCGCCAGGTTCCCCATCTTGGAGAGAGCCTTGTAGTCTTCCTCCGCGCCCGCGAGGTTCTGCCACCCGCCCTCCTCGCTCCGCGCCCGCGCCCTCCGCATCAACGCCTTGGCCCTGATGCGCTGGACGTCGTCTCTCCGCTTCCCGCGCGCGACTTCTTCTGGATCATCCGCGGTCACGGGCGGCGCTGGCGCGGCGGCGCTGGCGCCAGAGCTGATAATCTCCTCCTCTACCCCTTCCTCCTCCTCGGCCTTTTCCTTCTCGCGGCGTTCCTGCTCTAGCGCGGCCTCCTTGTCGATGCGGTCCAGGCCGTCGAGGGCGGCGGAGGCGGATGAAATTGCGTCTTTCCATTGCTCTAACTTCAGGTGGCATGCCGAGATGTTTGAGCGCAGGACGGCGAGGTCGTAGTCTAGGTAATTGGGGCAGACGGAGACGGCTTCGTCGTACTTGGCGATAGCCTCGTCGTACTTTGACGAGGAGAAGAGGGCATTGGCCTCGGTCTTGTTTGCGTTGGCCTCGGCCAGAAGAGACTGTGGAGGTGTCAGAGAGGGGATGTCCCAGTATGAAAGTCGGGGCAGATTTTTTCATGATGCTTGTGCAGGTTGTTTGACTCATCCTAGGGAGACGATGACAACGAGGAACCCGGGCGAACGGTGACGCTTGCCGACATTCCCTCATGATGAAAAGATGTATAACTAATTCAACATGGTTTGGTGTCCAAATGTCATGACGAACGAGAGCAAGGAAATAATTTGCAGCTTACCGCCTCCTCCTCAGGAGAGAACTTCTCATGGACCTCCTCTGGCTCATCCTTGACCGACTTCTCCTTGCCCTTCCCCTTTCCCTGGGGGTCTTTTTCGGTCTCCGTGGACGCCATGTTGAAGGCAACAGTGAGTGGTCGGAGACTCGTGTGTAGTCGGTGAAAACAAATTCAAGGTTGAGTCAGGTTGTGCAAGCGAGTCGGTCTAGATGTCGTCACTGTCTCGTCCCCACGTGGATTTGCTGAGTGGGACATTGAGGCTGTTCACATGTTTTCGGTGCGGTGGAAGCCACAATTGCTAAGGTAAGGTAGGTAAGGTAAGGTAGGCAGCCCACCTCACTTCAGCGCCTTTGGACCCAATCGAATTGCCATGAGGGAGCCAGCACTGTATGCGCCGTCGCCTGAACAGTGTCCTGAACAATGTAGTCCGCCCCGGCGACTTTCTATGCGTTTCCAACCTGATGGAGGATGTTGTGGAGCGAACATATCTTATGGACCTACTATTAGAATGAAAATAGAATCAACCAATAATTCTAACGGTCTGTTGTCAAAACTTCGTAACTTGAGCCCAGTTGTAGTCGTTGTTCAGGAACTACATCTTGGCCACGCAGCCCTGTTCAATACATGTAAGAATACGGTGCCTAGGGCTTCATCGACACCTATGCACCGTGTACAAGGATACTCCACCGACCCCACTTCCCCGTCTGGTCGCCATTTTATTCGGGCGACCCCTCCATCGGTGCCTTCCGCTTCCGTTTTCACCCCGCCGTTGTGCCCGCTCCAGCGCCCCTGCCGTTTGGCCTTGGCCTTCATTGTTCCTTCCGCTTCCTCAGGTGAATTCACTGTTTTGACTCAGGTCTTTCCGAGAAAAGAACAGGAAGATCGTTCTGCTAAAAATTTCTCTACCGCCTCCTCACCTCCACAAACTTTTCTCGAGATACCCCAACTAAGGATTTTCCTTATATTCAGAGCTCTTCAAACTCTTCCTCTTCCACCCCCAAGCACTTCTGCTTCGGCACTCGTCTCTGAGCCATACAACCGCGACATCTTCTTCCTCTCTCACCCAAACAGAATTACCTTCGTACTTTACCACCTTCCCAACTTCTCCACATCTTCACCACCGTCACAATGGCTCCCCGCACCGAGTAAGTTCTTGTCCTGCACCCCGCTAGTAAACCAATTGACTAACCCGACTCTAGCTTCCCTCCCGTCCGAGCCTGCCTGTTCGACATGGACGGCCTCCTCCTCGACACCGAAGACCTCTACACCGAGTGCATCAACACCATCCTCGCGGAGCACGAGCGTCCTCTCCTTCCCTGGGATATCAAGGCCAAGCTCCAGGGCCGCCCCGGTCCCGATGCCACCCGCATCTTCCACGAGTGGGCTAAGCTCCCCATTGGACACGACGAGTACCACCAGAAGCTCTCTGCTATTCAGCGCAAAAAATTCCCGAAGACCAAGCCCCTCCCCGGCATCCCCGAGCTCCTCCAGAACCTGGGCCGCACCCGCTACTACGACCATAAGCCCACTACTGACGGCAAGACCGCCCAGCGCGTCCACATTGCCCTGGCCACCTCCTCCCACGAGGCCAACTTCAGGCTCAAGTCGGACCACCTGACTGAGCTCTTCTCCGTCTTTCCTTCCCAGCGCCGTGTCCTGGGTGATGACACTCGCATTGCCCCCGGCCGCGGCAAGCCCAACCCAGACATCTTCCTCCTGGCTCTCAAGACCATCAACGAGTCTCTCTCCGAGGGCGAGAAGCCCATCACCCCCGAGGAGTGCCTCGTCTTCGAGGATTCTGTCCCGGGTGTCGAGGCCGGTCGCCGCGCTGGCATGCGCGTTATCTGGTGCCCCCACAAGGGGCTCCTCCAGGAGTACTCCGACCGCCAAAAGCAGGTTCTTGCTGGCCGCACCGGCGAGGCTGGCGAGGTCGACATGCACCAGGTCGGCGAGCTTGACGACGGCTGGGCCGAGTACCTCCCCACCCTCGAGGACTTCCCCTACGGCAAGTTCGGCATGACCATCCCTCCCGTCGAGGTCGACAACGAGCCCTTCGTGAAGGAGGACGTCAATGGCAATGTCGTCGCCTAAAGCACTACTTTTGGGAACCAGGAGACTTTTGGAATGTTACTTGGCATAATCTCCAAGTTGGCCTCCAACTTTTTCTTGATTTCAATTCTTTTTGTTGGGCAATTTTCACGAAGAAAACAGCGATAAAAGGGACACATGGTTTTCACGACGAATTACGAATGGGTCAGTGGATATTGGCCACATCAATAGATGATGAGTCTGGAAAGGGAAGAAAAAGAGACTTTTATAGAGTTCTTGTTGTCAAAGACACAGAGCGCTTGACATTTGCTTTTGAGCATTGGCATTGCGATAGGTTCCCTCCCCCAGTTAGAGAACACAAAGACAGAACCAAGCCCCCGCCCCATCCCATCCCAAAAAAAAGAGATACCATTTAATGCAGACAAGGATCAAAATGTTTCCATATCCCTACTTTGTGTGACGAATTCAGAAAGAGCAAACATAAGGAGCAGAATATGCCCGGGATGGAAGAAAAAAATATAAAAGCTCATGGTATCGGTGCCCTGTACAAACAGGACAATTGGGTCTCCCATCGATGGGAGCCTCTCAAATGCTGGAGCGCATCGCAGCAAACCATCTTTCTCCCCTAAACGTTGTCAAGTGCCGGAACGCCACATGTCCCCTTGTCCATTTGCGGTTCCTTCCAACGGATCCATGGTCAAACAAAGGACCTTTGAATCAGGTTCCTTGCCTTTTTCTCTCACATAATGCTTTGTCGGCCGTCCCGTAAAGCCGTTGTCCTCCCCCCTCTCTCAGTATAGCCTTTTGTATAAAAAAATGATGCAGTAGAAGAAAGAAAGAGAAGAAGAAGAGTAAGAAAAGGGGGTCGTAATTGTGCGGTGGTAGGTTGGCAAACCAGTGCCATCCCCTTAAAACTTTTTGGGAATCCATAATGTTGAAAGTCCGTAGAGGGAATATCCGCCTCCAGGTTTCAAAAGATTATTATGTGTGTATATATATATATACTCCCCGTCTTCGATTCCTTTACAAAATGGAGGGTGAGGAACAAAGTAGTAGACGGGGTGGGAAAACGGAATGAGCTTGATGAAGGAGTAATGAGAAGCTGAAGAGGGAATCACGGGAAAGCCTGGTAGCCGTATGAGTCGTTCCGATTAGGCGGCCGCCACCAGTCTTTGTACGGGGCATTCGGCAGGCTAAAGTCCGCATACGAGAGGGGGTTCACGAGCGACTTCATCGGCGCCGAAGAAGCGGCGTTCGACGCAGACGGTGCGCTGGACGTCGCCATGGCCGGCGGGTTCCCGGGCGGGCCGGACCTCCCGCCGTAGCCGCCGCCGCCGAGGGAACCTCGATGCTCTCCGAGAACACCCGGCACGGACGCGTGCGAGGGCGCGGGACTGGGCCAACCCCACGCCCTCTTGAGCTCGCCGTGGATGCTGCCTAGGCGCCAGCCGCTCTCGGCGTGGATCTTGTTGAGGATCTCGAGGACTTCTTCCTGCTCGCGGGGATCGGTGAGGACGGCGGAGGCGATGGCGAGGGAGCGGATGGCGACGGAGGCGACGCCACGGTCCTTTGTGTGGGCGACGATGCCGCAGACCTGGTGGGCGTGGTGGAGCTGGAGGGCGCGCATTTCCTCCGAGGCTTTGCCTGGTTCCATTGGGTTCGTCTGCGCGAGGAGGCACTGGGCTGTGTGGTAGAAGAGGCGGCCGATGATGGCGGCGCGTTTGATGAGCCTGTTGCTATGGGGTTAGCATGACGGAGGAGGAGAAAAAGGAGAGAAAGCAAGGGAAAAGAGAAAAAAGAGAGAGAGAAAGAGAAACACGTACCAGACGTTGGGGAAAGCGGACTTTGAGTTCGTTTGCGAGGGGTAGAGGTAGCCAAACGGGTGCATCGTCCTCGGGCACGCGTTGTTCCACTTGTCGCACAGCCGCTTGAGATCCTGCCACTGCTGCAGCCGGTTCCCCAACCGGATCTGTTCGTCGTGCGGGCTCGGCTCCTGGAACCGCGGGATGGTGGCGCGGAAGTTTGTAATCTTTGCCACAATATACAGGATCCGGTGCACCCAGACCTCCTCCTGACCGAAGCCGTCCCCGGACCTCGACGCCGCTGCCGCTGCCGCTGCCGCACCACCGGCCCGACCGCCGTCGCTGGCAAAATCCATGTTCAGACCCCACTGGTCCGGATCCCACGACGTCTGCCAGTTAAACGCCAGGCACGAGAGCACCTCCATGCCGATATTGAGCCAGAAGCACGCGGCGCCGATGCCGGACGACCGGGCGTCCCATTTACACTCGCGAATCAGCGCGCGGGCGCCGGCGATGTGGTTCATGCGCTGGGCGGGCTTCTCGGACATGATTTCGTAAACGTTGAGGACGACGGCCGTGGTGGCGCACTCGCCCGTGTTGCGGTCCGGGTTCTGCAGGCTGCGGAGGAGCAGGGTGGTGGCCGTGTCGTAGTAGAAGAGGGCCTTGTCGTCCTCGTAGGCCGGGTTGACGAGCGTGAGGTGCTTTACGCCGCAGGCGAGGAAGGCGTTGAGGAGCATCGGGGATTTGAGGGCGTGGTAGGGGATCAGCCGGGAAAAGTGCTTCTCCTTGTCGAGCGAGTCCATCCAGACGCCGACCTCTTCGACAAAGACTTGCATGTAGAGGATCTCTTCGGGGGAGTTGAGGTACTCCCTCTCGCCCGCGGTGGCCTTTTCGCTCGGCGGCGGGGTCATCATGCCGTCTGGAGCCAGAGGGTTGGCGGCGGCGGCACTGCTGCGGTAACTCGGGGGCGGCGCGGTGGGTTGAGGGACGATGGAGGCGGCGCTCGAGGTGTCGCTGTCGCGGTGGCCGTGGGTGCGGCTGCCGATGCCGCCGCCGCCGCTGTCTCGGTAGGAGGTGAAGTGCTCGTGCAGGCTGTAGGGGTGGTGAGGCGCCGGGTAACCCGAGTTCTGGGGGGTGAGGTAGGCGGGGTCGCTCTCGCGGCGCGGGTAGGCCGACGGCTCGACGGCGCCTCGTGGGGGAGGCTCGCGATGGTACGGGTGGTGGCTGTACATCGGGGGCGGCGGTGGTGGTGGCGCCGGAGGGTGGTGAAGGAGGTGAGTCCTCGGTGAGATGGAGGCGTCTGGGCCGCTGGCTCTCGCGTGTGGGAGGAGGTGACTCTGGTGCCGGAGGGTCGGCTCTAGGTGGCCCAGGTGCCGCGGCGGAGCGGCGACAACGGCCTTTTTATCGAGATGAGCGTACCGGCCGAGGCCTCCGACGTACTCTGAGGCGATCTGCCGCGACTCATCTTGGAATTGGACTGGAGGGTTTTATTAGCATTTGCGCGGTTTTCGTCACCTCATCATCACCATCTCCTCCGCGCCCTCTCTCTCCGGAAGAGATCATGAACAGTCGATGAGAGAACTCATTGAGGGCATTCAGAAAGACTCACCTGACCACTCCACCGTGGGCGGCATATACGGCGGCTTCTTGACCTGCACGTCTATAAAATTGAGCCTCACGCCGCGTTTGCATTCTCGACTGCTTTTTCGACAATTTAGACAGTCTGGTAACCCTTCGTCGCATTTTAAATGCCGTTCCCTACACGTTAGACAGCCCGTCCGCACTCGTTTTGACTTGGTAGCCGTCGCGGCGGCGGCTGCGGCGGCTTTCTCTGGGGATTTGGGCTTCACGAGGAGGTCGCGCGATGGTGTGAGGGAGTGGATGCTCGCGCTGCGGCGGGGCGGGATGTGGGAACTAGGCAAATTCATATTGGCGTGGTGGTGGTAGTGCTGCTGGTGGTAACTTTGTTGCTGGTGATGATGATGGTGGTGGTGGTGATGGTGATTCCCGAGATAAGACGATGCCGATTCCGAGTTGGATGCGGCGTCGGCGTCGGGGCCGAGGCCAAAGTCTGGCGTGAAGTCGGAGGAGAATCCGAAAGAGAGGGACGAGACCTGGTCCTCGTCGTCGTCGTCGACTCCTAGGTAAGGATCGTGGACGAAGTCGAGGGGCGGATGCTCAAAGGGGTTCAGCACCGCCGAACCGAGGCCAAGGCCTGGCACGAGGACGCCTGCAGAGGCGTCGTATGCCTCCAGGGCTACTCGAAAAGTCCGTCTCTGGCGAGTAGAGACGGAGGGGGGGTTGCGCGGCGGTTCAGTGATCGCTCGGGACACCCGTTAAAGATGATTGGGGTTGCGACGTGGGTGCTGTTGTGGGCATGAAAGCTTGGCTGGTGATGTTGTCGTGGGGAGAGCGCGCGGATGGCCGTCGTTGTGTGAGGTTGTTCGGCTCTCACGATGAGAGTGAGAGAGAGGCGCGGGCGGGGAGTGAGAGAGCGCGGCTACAGGGGCTCTCAGAGGTACGGAGCCGAATCGGGGCTGCTGGCAGGAAGCAGCCTATCGCGGGGAAAGGCGAATCTGCAGTTGTCGAGTTTGTTTCTCGGTATTGTGCTGTTGGTGATGATGGTGAGGTTGACGACAATTACGAGGTCGAAAGGTTGTCGGCTATGCGACGCGCGATGCAGCAACGTTCAGAGAGTCGGGTAGAGGTGAGAGGTCGGTGAGTGAGTGAGCTTAGTCGAGTGCGTGAGAGAAAGCGGGAAACAGGCGCAGTTTGTGAGAGTGAAAAGTCGAGATCTAAAAGTCACAAGCTCGCCGGACGGGGTTGACTAGACTAGCGTAAAAGATGGCGAAGTGTGAAGAGTGGTCCCTTTCCTTCTCTCTCTCCTTCTGTGTCTTTCAGGCTTGGCCGTTGCGTTGGGTGCGTTGTATGGTGTGGTGTGAGTGAGTGCGAGTGTGTGTGTGTGTGTGTCCAGTGTGTGTGGACAGTAAGGTGGAGGGAAGGGTGAGACTTGGTCTGTTCTCGTACCGCTAGGTCGTTTACATATGCAGGAATCCCGGGCGATGGGTGGGCGGACTGTGGACAGTCTGGGGCGAGGCCGCTGCCGTGGTTGTTGGAGTAGGCGCAACAGAGTTCTCGTTCCTCTTTGCCGGTTGGTATCGTCTTGTATCTGATGCAGCGAACTCCCTGGGTCCTGTCCGCTTTTTCTGGATATGTCTCTCTTGAAGGACTGGGAAGGAGAATAGTGAAAGGGTTGCTTGTATTGCAATGTCGCTGATAATTCCTATCAGAGGGCGGGACAACGAGGCAGCGAGGATGAGGACGGTAACGACATGAGAACGTGGGCAGAAGATGGAGAACGTAGGTAGTGTCGAGTTGAAATCTCTCGGCAAAGGAGCGGGATCAAGCGGGATTGGTTTCCCAAGTGAGAGGACCTCAGGGCGGGATCGGGGGTGCTAGGAGCCAGGGGGGTGGCCCTTGGTTAGTTCCCTCCTGGGTTATGGTTGTGAGAGAGTGTTCTAGCCAAGACAACACGTCTTGGGATGGAGAAAAGTCTCGAAAAGCCGCCAGTACGGGATTGTCGCAGATGGAAAAACTCGGGATAGAAGAGGAAGTTTCTCGGTCAAAACTACCTTGGCTGAAAAGCACCTCTCTTTCAATGGGCTCTTTGCTATGTGGTGAGATTTGTCCCGCCCAGTGTCGAGTCGACGAGTGGTAAAAGTCTTGGTAAAAAGAGTTGAGGTGCTTCGGGAGAACGGCGTTAACAGACCGGCTATGCTATGTTTAGGTAGTAGGGCCAGAGTGGGTAATCGAAGCCGAAGAGAGAGATTGAGTGGCGCCGGTTCTCGGGTGAGTGGGCAGGCCAGCCAGATAGAGGCAGAGAAGGGAGTCGGTCAGTGGCCGATGGATGGACGTCGGAATTGAGTGAGTCCAGAACTCTCCTCTCTTCCCCTTTCACGTAAGGCACTCTTTCGCAACAGGTCGAGCTTGGGTCGAGGAACGGGGCATAGAACAGTAAACAAGTTACCTACCCTTGACTGAGAGGTACTTGAGAGTGGGCGCAAAGGCGGGGAGGCTGAGACTGGAGAGGGGAAGAGGGATGAGGAGGGAGGCCGAGGGCAGACACGGCGAGGTGAATGTGAGATTCAGTGACAACTTGAGGCGAAGGCGGGCGGTGCGAGCGAGGAGAGGACGGATGGGTGACCGGTGGGTGTGTGGCCCCGAACTGGAGAAAAGGGAGAGAGCCTGGGCAGTAAAGAGCAGAGAGAGGGACACGGCCGCGTAGGACGTGTGTGATGGACGCACCACACGGGCGTGTCTCGATCCCACCACAAGTCCACAGCTCGCTTGCTTTAGCACTTTTGGTGTGGGATCTTCTCAAACCGGAGCGGTCCCCTATGTTCCACTTTTTAAAGTGGGAGAAGCGTTTGCCGATGGTGACAGCCACAGAGTCTAGGTCCTGTTGTATTCTTCGTACAATGTATTTGTTCTGATAGCGACGATCACGACGATATACCGAGTTGGAATCTTGTGGGTGTTGTCGGGCGTGTGTGCGTGTGTCGTGCTACGTGCCAGAGAAGAAACGTCTCTGACGATGACTCTCTCCCGCCCTGTCATCATCAACACGGCCATGGTCCGACTTCCTCCATCAATCAACCTGGCCTGAGTCCGGTATATTCCCCTTTCGGCCCCGTTCAGTCGCTGTCCTAGAAAGAGAATTGCTGCTCAGCACGTTTCTGCCCAGCTGAAAAGACCAGGCCGGGAGACAAGACTGAAATCTCGCTCGAGATCGGCTCCCTCTTCCTGTTTCTCTTCGTCCTCTCCCCTCCCCTGTCTCATACACTATGCAGTTTTTCCAAGACCTGCCAATGTCGCACACTCAAAGCGACGACCGCTAGCTGGATTGCTGAATGCTACTGAAGAATGACGGGTGACGGGGGTGAATCAGATCAACTCGCGATCCTTGTTCCGAGACCCGCGTACCTCGGACCATGCACACACACACAGCCACATAGCATTCTTTACCAATCAACCTCGCTCAATTCCCACTCCCACATGCCCGTACCTTGCGCGGGACTGGTGTTGCAGATCCGCCTTTCCGGGGTTCCAAGTGCCGCTAGAATCATGGTCGAAGGTCGGGTCGACCAGCCAAACAGCACAGCCAGCTTCCCACACCATCAGTACGGACTACCTGGAGGCTGATTGATTTGGTGGTGGTGGGATTCGGACACTAGTGACTTGGACCCTGCTGCCATCCCCAGTCGTCCCATTCCAATTGCTTCCTTTTTTTTGTTTCCTTCTTTTTCACCATCAACTTATTCATCTTTGGCCGTCGGAGATTATTCGACGTCTCCAACGGGCAAGGGACGGCGGGCCCTGAAGGCAAAAAGGTCGCTCAGGGATGGTCCCAAACCGAACAGGGCCTCCGTCTGTGGTCTCTCGAGCCCTTTGTCAGAGGATTGCTTCGGCTTCTCTTGCTCCCTAGAATGCCGAGATTGTCCATCTACCCAGAATTTGGACGTAGCCGTCGTCAGTGCGTATTATGGCGTCTTTGTCTCTTCGTCCCTCGAGGCCTCCGTCACGAAGGGGAGGGAAAGGCTTGGTCTGCTCGTCTCCGCGGGGATGCTTTTGGAATTTTTGACCATCATGAGCCTTTGTATTGGGCGCTCTCCACCAGACACGTTGATCACTCGTCCTGAGGGCCGCGCAAAAGCAACTATAGCCCTCCCTCCCCGCGTCTCGTTACGGGACGCGTTACAGTTGCATCCGCTTGCTTGTTGATGCTTACGCCTGATTCTCGTTAACAGATTCAGCATCGCCTTTTTGTCGCGATTTCTGTTTCCATGCGACAGAGTGGACTCAGAGCACGCCGGCGCTGGCAGTATGTTGGTCGCAGAACGTCGTATTCTTCCGTTGTTTTGACGTCCACGCGATGCCGGGATCCTCTTCACCGTCATGCCAGGTGCTCCCGAGTATCTCTTGTTCTCTCTGACAGGTCTGCCTCTATGCTACTCCCCCCATCCCCCGGCCGAGTGTTTTGCTCCAGGCCGCTCGGGACGGTTTGATCGCCATGCCCGGCGCAACTCATTCTCCCTGCCGGGTACGTCGATCCCACAGGCGGTGCCGGTCGCGAGCGACTACCTACACTAAGCAATTGGCTGTAGCAGCATAACGATATATTGCACAGGTAACTATAGCCTGAATCACCCGTACAACAACAAGGTTGTCGAACAGAAAGAGCAAGGCCGAGCGAAAGTGAAAACGTCAGCCGAAGATGCGAATCGTCATGTTGGGCGATCAGAGCCGAGAAGGTGTCTAGCGACCCTTCCTAGGCACCTATGAAAACGTGGTTCAATAGCATGGAAACCTTCGAACCGTCCTCGCCCATCTCACCTCAGGACTGTCAGTCGGTGCGAATATAGGCTCAAGCAAGCAAGGAAGCAAGGTTTGCTCCTTGACGGGGGAAGCTTTTGCCCATGTTTCGTTTGGTCTTTGCACCCAAGCCGAAGTGCCATTCCACACGCTGCCGTCTTCTCCCAGAATAAAAACAAAGTGGTCTCATTCATCGGGTCTCGTTGCCATTCTGACCTTTGTGGCTCCAGAGCGTAGGGATAAGGTGTGTCGACGCAAAGCATGAAAGCGGCTTGGCCCCCTCAAGATTTTCGTCCGTTCTCTTGCCGCCGCCTGTCTCTCTCTCGCTCTCTGGAACCTTCCCGTCAAAGTGTCACTGGCCAGCTATGGGATGCTTCATGGTGCCACCCGCCCCTGCTCCGCCCGGCTGCTCAATTTGCCGAGCCAGAGAGAAGCTGCACATAAATGCCAAGAGAATGAATGTTACTGAATTTGCCAAGCGCACGCCGAGCTCGGTCGCGGAACTTCGCACCTGGCGAACCAAAATGAAACGGAGTTACAAAGAAACCCTGTCCACATAGGGTGATGGATAGTTGGGTTCTTTTTGTCTGTCAAGTAAGCCAAGCCCGTGGACACCAACAAGATGGTAGCGCACAAAAAAAAAATGTGTTAGAAACGCAGCACCTTCTAGGTTTTCTGTTCCTGAGCGAACCATGCAGCAGCAGCAGCAGCAGCCAGAGGCGAGCCTTCGTCCGATGGCCTGGGTATCATGATAGGAGTCGAAAGCGAATGCGGGTATGCGCCATTGAGGTCGATGCAGTACCACATTTCTCCCTCAGCGGCTCGGAAACACAAGGTTGTGTAGCTTTGCTTTTCGACGGTGGGAAGCGAGAAACAGCAGCAGCAGCAGCAGCCAGCTTTGTGCCACTCGTCCAACCCGTGACAATTGTTCTCCCCCAGCTAGAACAGGACTTGGTTGCGATACAGAGAGCTCCCCGTCGTCATGCCTTGTTCCGCCGCCGGTCCCCCACAACCCCAAGAAGGCTGCACACTGCATACCGAAGGGCTGGGGGGGGGACCCTCTCTTCTGGAACAAGACCAGGGAGGCTGACATTTCTCAAGCGGGAAGGGATAAGCTTCTCGGGAAGTTTTTGCCTTGCCTTCGCGTCGTGGGTAGGCATTTCCTGGGGAGCTCCCGGGACGTCCGCTCCTTCGAGTACCAGGAAGAGGGGAATGTCAATTGTGACGGACGTCCCGGCTCCGTGGGCGGTTCGTGGGGCTTTTGCGAGTACTCGATACTGTTGTGACAAAAGAGCCGCCACGTTCTGGGTGTTATTCAGATTTCACTACTGTCACTTGGGTGTATCCGTCTGCTGCAGCCGAAGCCCAGTCTGATTTGCAGTGATCGGGGACACGTTGGCGGGGACAGGCGCTGCATCTTGAGTCGTCTTGTCACTTTGTGGCACGTGGTTCTCCGTACACAAGGTCGTGACTTGGCAATCATCCGGCATTGGTGTCCTTGGTCTCAAGGTAAAATTCGCCATCGTCCTAGAGGCCTCCTTGGATGCTTGGTGTGTGACACCAGGGTTTATCGGCCGGGAGATTGGTCCTGTCACCCCACTCGCCGCAGCCACCTGCAGCAAGCCGAGCTTCGATCTATTGCGCACTTTTCTTTTTTTCGTCTGAAGTTACCGGGCTCCTCTCTAGTGGGCAGCGCATAGCAGTCTTTGCGGAGAGGAAGATGGGGGAAGGGAAGAAAAGGTGTAGCCAGAATTCTGCTACATCTAAGCCGAGATGCCAAGAAAGTGTCTACAGGCGTGAAACAAGACGATTTGACAAATCGGTGTCGAGACCTGGAGAATGAGCAAGAAGAACGGGGGCCGAGGTGTTGATCATCTTCATATTCGAGAATCTGGAGATGGAGAAGAAAAAGTCAAATCGAAATTCGGGGGGGGAGAAGGGGGGCGGCATGACCTAGCGAAAGTAGTGCCGATAAATCGAGCATCAGATCGCGGGACCGAGTAACTCATGAGAAAAAGGAAAAAAAAGGTTGACGGCAATCTTGCATGCTCGTGTTATACGAGAGTTCTCTGGTGCCATGTTGTACGAGGCACTGACCTGGCATTCTTTGTTGTAACACACAAGAATGGCTTTCTTGCTTTTGTTTGAAGACAGTCTGATCACTCTACTGCAGCTGGTGAGAGGAAAGTCTGAAGAGGGAGACGCCGGATAATCAAGTGAGCATGGGAGACCAGGGAGGAGGGCCGTGACAGCGGGAAGTATGGAGAGGTTATTCAGTGGATATCCGCTGCATAATCCCCGACGCGGGTGCATACCGAGGCCCACCTTGATTAGATCAGCATATTGATGGTGACTCGGTGAGACGGAGGTTCTGCACTTCCGAAAACTCCCACATCGAAGCCATCAAGGTTCTCGACATCTACATTTCGCTTATGTCATTACATCACGTGCTTCGGCCCACAGGAGCTGCCGCAGCTCTTCTTTCTCACCGAGCTCACCGATATCACCGAGTCCATCTCCACAAACCTCCGTCGTCCCCAAAAATCCGCCGCAGAAACCATCACAGCTTGGATGACTCTAATTAGCCATTGCGCCTCCATAATGGCCGCAATCCCCTTTCTTCCTCCCTAAACCCATTCATCTCCCGTTTGTCATCATCTCGCACAACTTCAAACCGTCCAAAATGCTCGCCCGCACCCTCCGCGCCGCGGGCGCAAGCACATCCCGACTCGGCGCCCTACAACAGCTCCGAACAGCATGCTCCTCCTCCTCCTCGTCATCCGGCCCCGAGACCCTCCCCTCAAGCCCAATCCGCGTCCTCCGAACCGTCGACACCCTCCGGACCTGGCGCCGCCCCCACGTCCTAAACTACCGCTCCGTGGGCCTCGTCCCGACAATGGGCGCCCTCCACGAAGGCCACCTCTCCCTCATCCGCGCCGCCGCCCGCGAAAACCACCACGTCGTCGTCTCCATCTACGTCAACCCAGCCCAGTTCGGCGTCACAGAAGACCTGGCCTCCTACCCGGTCACCTGGGCCCGCGACGCCGAGATCCTCCGCAACCTCGACCGCGAGCTCGCCGGCGACGGCGATAACCTCGGCCGGGTGAGCGCCGTCTTCGCGCCTACGACGACGGAAATGTACCCCTCGGGCTTCCCGGGCCAGGAAATCGTCAGCAAGGGAAGCTTCGTCACAATCACCCCCGTCGGCGACGTCCTCGAGGGCGCGAGCAGGCCAACCTTTTTCCGGGGCGTCGCGACGGTCTGCATGAAGCTGTTCAACATTGTCCAGCCGGAGCGCGTCTATTTTGGCCAAAAGGACGTGCAGCAGACGGTCGTCATCCGCCGCATGGTGGAGGACTTTATGCTCCCCACGGAGGTCGTCATCGGCGAGACGACGCGCGCCGACGACGGCCTCGCGCTGAGCTCGCGCAACGTCTACCTCGGCCAGCGCAGACGTCAAGCAGCGACGGTGCTGCACCGCGCGCTCCGGGCGGCGGAAGAAAAGTACCAACAGGGCGGCGGCGCCCTGGACCGGGAGACGATCCTCGGTGCCGCGAACCAGGTTACCGCTGACGTCTTGTCGGAGCAGTCGAAGCTGTCGCCCAAGGATCGGGTCCTGTTTGAGGTGGACTACATCTCGCTGGCGGACCCGGATACCATGCAGGAAATCAACACCGTGGTACCGACAAAGGGCGGCATTCTCAGTGGTGCAGTGAAGATGCTGCCGGTGGAGGAGCCGCAACCGGGCGAGGATCTTGGCCATAATGGCGGTCCCGCAGTGCGCCTTATTGACAATATCATTCTCAAGCCTAATACCCAGTGACGAGCGGCTCGGACGGCCAAATCAGGATAGGAATTTAAAGACGAGTACTTTCACCATCGTACCGCATAATGCTATATAGAATTATAACCATTTCAAGAATGCCATGCTTTGCAGCCAAACAAGTACATCGTAAGGTCATCACGCTTTGCATGTTTACAGTGGTACATCATTACAGGTGCGCGCGGTTTTCCAACGACCTGCGCCGCCTCTGCTCCTTGACGCTCCTCTTCAGCTGCCGTGCGTCTTCGACACTCAACAGGGGCGATACCCCCTTGCCGTCAATATTTCTAGCAGCATCAAACAGCTTGCTTCCCAGCAACTCAGTCAGACGAAGCACGCGTGTGCTGACAGTAGCACCATCACGGCGGTTCTTTCCCTCACGACGACTGGACGCGATTTTCTCAGTAAAGTCCCAGAGCCGGCCAGAGGCGTTGAGGCTGCCGGTCTCCGGATCGCGAGAGGGCCGCCATTCTGGGTCGAGACGCAGGCGTGGAGGAACCTTGGGGTCCTTTGATTTGACAACCTGAAGGATGCCTTCCTCTTCAAATCGTTGGTAGGCGTTCTTTAATGTCTCCTTATTGACCGCCTCGAAGTAGCTGAGGTCGCCTTGGTGGTAAAGTGTCTTGCCGAGCTGAAGGATGTTAGCTAGCCATACCATAGAGAACACATGTTAGTCCACGTACCACTTGTGCACTACCTTGGGCCTTGCCAACCTCGATCCAGATGTCGTCCTTCTGGCCCAGAGGTGGCGACAAGCCCATCAACGAGACAGCCGCAAGCCAACTAGCCTCAATGAATGGCCAGATCAGGAAACAGTAAAAGTCGTAATTCTCCCGTCCGACAGCTCTCTCGTGATCTGAAAGACCGACCACAATCACCTTGTCCTGGTCGTCCCGGTGCAGTTTCAGCACCTTGTCTGCTTCTAGGTCTCGCAGCGTCTTTTCCAAGTTGGCGGCTAGACCTTCGCTGGGGAAAATGAACTCCCCGCGGAACAGCGATGATAGGAATTGGATCTGGTCTTGCAGTTCTTGGAAGGAGATATCCTGCATAGCGGGTCCACCGCCCTGCTTGACCTTCATGTACATGGCGGCGCTGACAATAGCTTCCGAAATAAACAGATGAATCGTCATATTACGGTAGAAAGACAGTTGAAATCGATCAACAGCATAGTAGGTAGGCTCTGGGAGGTCTTTCACGACGCCGACCAGCTCCTTGCCCAGAACATCGAGACCGCGCTCGATAATGTCAGAAAGGGGCGCGGCTCCAAAATGAGCGACTCTCCCACCCTTTGCGCGCACACGGTCGGTGAGCCAAAGGACACGGCGCTCGAGCTCAGTTTTGCCAACTCCTCTGCCTCTCAAGGTGAGTAGGACAGTGCCAATCAAAGCTGTAGGCATGACAACGGAGACATCGTTGATATCCGACAGGACCTTGTAGCCCAAAATTCGAAGAAGCTTCTGCCGAATGGCGGTGTTTTCAGGGTTCCTTGTGTCCGTACTGAGACCCGAAGGTAATCTAGAGAGCCTCGTGAGCTGCTCATTGATGAAACCGCGCAAGCTCCAGGGCTCGTGGAACCTGACATCGACTCTGCCAAGTCTCAGAGACAAAACTGAAGAGCCCCCGGAGAGGAAGTCTGCCAGGTTTTCTTTTTTCTTGGGCACGCCCAGCAGTTCTGTGACATAGCCTTCCGTCTCGATGACCTTGTCGTATTGCGTACTTACCGGGCAGATAATGGCGTCCTCTACACGACCTGACAGGATACTGTCCAGGATGAAGCTGAGGATACCAAACTTGGGAGGCAATAGCTTTCCTGTCCTCGATCTTCCGCCCTCTATGAAGCACTCAAAGTTATAACCGCCCTGAAGCAGGGTGTCGATATACGTCTGCACCAAAGTTGTGTATAAAATGTCGTCGCCGAATGCTCTCCGAATCCACATGGCGCCAGCATGCTGCAAGAAGCTCCCTACGAGCGGAAAGTTCAAGTTGTCGCCAGCTACGACGACGGGCAGGCCGAGTCCGAGGCGATAGCAGATGAGCTGCAGGGAGACATAGTCGACATGTGACCGATGGCAGGGCAGGAATATGATGCTCTGTTTTTTCTTCTCGGCCTCCTCGGCGACCTTTCTCAACCTCAGAACCTCCTCACTAGAGACGTGGATGCCTTGGTTATAGGCTCGCAGCGTCAGCTGGGTGACGAGGTAGTATGCGCTTCGGATGAAGGTCTTGCTCTCAAACTTGCAAATCATGTCGTCCGTCATCTTGTCAGCCACCTCTTGAATCCCAGACTCGATGACAGCTCGTCTACGCGCGCGCTTCATAAGGAAATCTTTGTCCTGCTTGTTCAACAGGCCTTCCTTCTCTTCGACAGCGACACGCTTTTCAGCTAGGTCTGCAATGCGCGACTGCAAGAGGGACGCCGAGAGCACTGCTTCCTTCATCTTATCGCTGAAGCCGGAGTAGAAGATGGGTTGACCGATAGCATTGTCATAGGCGCGCCAGCCGGTACCGGAGACGTAGAGAGAGACTTCGCGGAGGAACCTGACGTAGAAAAAACGAGTTAGTCTTGTTCCTGGATCGACATTGAGGCTGAGACCGATGGGCACGCGGGCCGGCGCGCAGGTGGCACATACTGTAGTGGTTCCTGGCGGAAGCGTGCCATGTGCTTCATGAGGGCCTCTTCTTTTTCGTCATGGCGTGGCTGGGAGGGCTTGATGTAGCCGCTAGGTTGAAGTGTGATTTGGTCGCCGAGGATCTTCAGATCCGGCGCGGAGTCGTCGTTCTTGGCCATTGTGGGTTGAGGATTCGGGAATGTGGTGGGATTCTGGCCAGTTCGTGTCGTCTTCGGGTGTTCGTGGAGTATCGATCAAGATAGAGCGCGCGTGGAAATTGTAGATTGTCGAACCTCGGTCCGTCCGTCCGTGTTGATGGTATCTGTGCTAGTTCGTTCTGGGTGCTCCGAAACAGTCCGTCAAAGGTCCCTTGCCATTGCCGACAGTGGAAGAACACTGCGGAAAACAGAAAGTACCAAATTTGTGTAACTGCGGTCCCTCGAGAAAAGTCGCAAGTTGGCGTTGGAGAAATGACGGACTGCTGAGTCTTGGAGAAAGGGGATTGGGTGTGAAAGACGCATTGGAGAGCCTCCAAGTCGCATTGTCATTGCCCGCCGGGTTCTGGGTGGACCGCTGAGGTCAAGTGCCACCTGCCCGCCCGCATCTTTCCTCTGTTAAGCCGAGCTCGAAGGCCTCTGGGCGTTTAGCGGCTTCGGCATGTGAACAAACACTAACCATCCATGCCGCTACTGCAGGAGCCACCCTGCTTGGTGCTTGCTTTCCTGCCTGCCACACCTCAGTGCCGCCAATTGGAGGCGGGAACGTGCCCGTCACTTTGCGCGGCGGCCCACCAACAATCTGGAGGCACTAACATTTAATTTTCCATCTCTCCACCGTCAACCTGGAACCTTGACTCTTTTTGACAGACACAATCTCGACGACTTTCTGCGCCAGGACAGCGCCACAGCGACTCAACACCACCCCCGCCATCCTCGCACGCCTGCGCAACCTCTCAGATTTGGAACACGACATGGCGCCTTCAAACCAGCCCATCACACAGGCTCTCCTCGCCCGGGCGCACTCTCCCGACAGCGCCAACCGCATCTTTTCCGAGAAAATCCAGTACCGACCGCTCTACCTCAGACCAAGCTCGCCGCCGCCGCCGTCAAAAGCGCGCGAAAATCGTCGCAAGGCCCGCGAAGAATCAAAAAGGAAGCAAAAGCTCAAGCCGAAGCCCCTCTCGGCCCGCGAAAGACACCGGCGCGGCCTCTACGAAGTACCCCGCGCCGGCCAAAAATACTCCATCTTCGAACCCCTCCACCGCCTTTGGCTGGGCTACATTGAGGAAACATTGGGCTCCGAGCTTTACACGGGCGGCGCTGCTGCGTCGGCAAAGCTGAGCGCTGCCGAGTTCCACGGTGCCGCGGTCGAAGTGTCGCGCAGCTCTTGCCCGAGCAGGGTCGGCATCAAGGGCATTGTCATCAAGGATGGCAAGTTTGCTTTCGAGATCATTACGCCAAAGAACGAGATCAAAATTGTGCCAAAAGAGGGAACGTGGTTCAAGTTTGAGATACCTGTTAAGGAGCCGGATACAGATGCACCCCAGCAAGGCTCTCCGCGCCGATTCGTTTTCGAAGTTCTCGGTGACCAATTCCTGATGCGCGGGGCTGATCGAGCCAACAAAAAGTTCAAGCCTCACTACCTGAAGAACATTTGAAATGTCTATCGTCTCATTGTATGACATGAATTGGGCCCAGTTGATGCAATCGGAAATGGCCAAAAAGGCCATTGCTCGGAGTTATGTAATACCCACGAATTGATGTATATGCATCTCAACTTCGATAAACAGGATGGCACAGATGGGGAATCAGGCAAGAAAGGGAAGTTGGGAGGCGAAGGGGATTGGTGAAAAAGAAAAGTAATTGCTGGACGGCCAAAAAATGCAAAAGAGAAGGCGAAGCACTCGGAATTGTGGATTCTAACCACAGATGCTCCCCGAGGTGGGCTCGAACCACCAACCTCCAGATTAACAGTCTGACGCGCTAGCCAATTGTGCCATCGGGGATGAGATGCTTATTGATGAGTGAAGCGGGCCGATCCAGTGCTCAAGTCGGGCAGCCGTATCTGAGCCCCGCCCCGACTCTCATCATCCGCGTTCAGAACGGGAGCCGCCCGCCAGCAAGACGTCGTCCGGCGTATCCTGCGAAGATGCAATGGCAACCCGCCATGTGCCAATTGATAGTCATTCCATTTTCTATGCACTGATAGACATTTCCTTTTGCTTGCAACGTACGGAAGCCCCTCTCCGGCCGGCTTTCACAGTCACCAGGCCCAGTTGTGGCCTTATAATTCCTCAGTCCGACCTTGCCTCTCCGTCTCTTTCTTCGTGCTGTGTTTTCTTTCGTGGGTTCATTGAGTTTGCTGCTAAGAAAACGATGTTAATCGGCCTGTCATAGATAGAGAAACCAGGAGAGCAGTCAACAAGAGCGTGTCACGATTGCATCGGTGATCGCGTGTGCAAGGTGCTTAGGTTCGAGGACTTACACAAGGGTTGGACGGTGACGAAACCTGCCACTTGCATCAAACACCCATCATCAGTACCCCAGATGACAAAAAGAAGGGGCACAGAAGCGACCATTCGCGAGATGGAACCGTGTCACGTCACAGAGAAAAAAACAGCGCCCAGTTACATAATGGCGGCTACCTGCTTGTTCTAAAAAAGCAACGCGACGCGTGCGACCGCCGCCGATGACATCAGGACTCTATCAGACGGCTCTAGTCGCGCATTCCGCCCTCAAGCTGTTTGCTCACCGCGGCAACCAGTGCCTTTCCAAATTCTTCCTTTTTTTTTTCTTAGTCGTCTCGCTCCTTTTCTCTCACCCATTGGCATATCAGATATTGCTAATTGACCTCACTCGACTCTCATTCTCTCCTCCAAACACTTTCAAATCATTCTATTTCCCTCTCACATCCACCACCGGGTCCACACCATGGTTACCACAAGAACAAGATCGCGCGCCAACAGTGCCGCCGATGCCAACGGTCAGGCAGACTCTTCCACCACGGCCGGTGAGAAGCGCGGCATCGAAAAGGATGGTGCCAATGGATCACCCGACGCCAAGCGTGCCAAGAAGTCGGATGATGCCCCCGTCCGCCAGACAACCATCGACGAGGCCTTTTCGAAGGAGGATGATACAGAGGTCGAAGAGGCCAAACAGAAAGCTGAAGCAAAGCAAGTCCCCGCTGACACGGACATGAAAGACGGTGAAGAGGAGGAGGCCCCCAACGACTTGACGGAGCCAAATGAGCCGTCCAAGGAAGAAGAGGCCGCCATGACAGAGAAGATAGAGGAGGTGGAAAAGGCAGAGCAAGAGCAGAACAAGACGCAAGAACCCGCCGCCACCACCACCACCAAGGTCAAACCAGAGGCCGGCGCAGCAGCAGACGGAGAGACCGCAGAAAAGACGGGCGAGAAGGACAAGGTCCCCTCCACCATTCTCGAAAAGGGCATCATCTACTTCTTCTTCCGCGCTCGCGTCAACACCGACCAGGCCGAGGAAGTCGACGACATTGCCCGCAGCTACATGATCCTCCGCCCCATCGCCACAGATTCCGCGCTCGGCGACGGCCCCATTGGCGACGCGGGCAACACCCGCCTGCTCGCCCTGCCGAAAAAGGTCTTCCCCGAGACCGGCCGCGACAAATTCATGGTCTTTGTCGAAAAGGCGGGCGCCTCCTTTGCCGAGCTCAAGGAGCAGTTCTTGTCGGGCGCCGACAACCAGACCAAGGCGGGCGTATCGCACGCGCCGGCTGCGACCCCGGCCGGCGAGGGCGTCTACATCATCACCACCACGGGACGCGACAGCCACCTCGCGTACATGCTCACCCTGCCCTCCGACCTGGGCGAGGTGCAAAAGGAGCTCGGGCTCAAGGAGAAGGGCAGCTTCATCCTGAGCACAAAGAACCCGTACAAAAAGGGCCCTGCCAATGCTAGTCTCGACCAGACCCCCGATTTCCCAGACAGGTACGTGATGAGAGACCAGCAGGATTCCTTCATTGGTATGGGCAATGAAAAAATTGCTAACTGCGTGGTGTTCAGCATCAAGGACGACTTCCGCGACCTGCGGTGGACCAACACCAAGCCCGAGCATCTCGACTACCCCAATGCCCAGTTCCTGCTCATTGGCGAGTCCTCTGGGATCAAGAATGCCGTCGAGCCAAAGTCCAAGGACGTCAAGGCGGGCAAGGAGGACCCGGAGGACGTTCTCCAGGAGATTGAGGACGAGGACGCCAAGCGCATGGAGCACCTCTCGGGCGACGACTCGGCCTCCATCTTTGCCGATCTGCAGGCGCGGGCCAAGGATTACCCAAAGTTGCAGACTACTTTCTGAGAGGAGTTCCATTTCGGAGGTGTTTATGCCTTGAGCAAGGTGATGATATTGAGAGTTTCTCTTTCATGTTTCTTGGGGGAGGGGCCCCGGGGGGGGGGGGGGGGGGTTGATGGGTGGAGAGGGGGGTGGTGTGTGGGGGTTCTGTGTCTGGGGTTTTGGGGGGGGGGGGCGGGGGGGGGGGGGGGGGGCCGCAATGGATCACAGGGGAAGTCATTTAAATTCCATCTCTCAAAGGCTGTAATGGAGCAAAAGTTTATGGGAAGTCGCCGGGGTAGTTCTCACAACAGTTTAAATGAAATCCTTAGTGTACATCATACCGCAAAAGGCGTAAGTATCGTAGCCCAATTCGGAAATCCAGAAAAAGAAAGTAAGTTATCCTTATTTGTATACCACCCCCGCTTTACGGAAAGCAGGTGAACATGCTGTTGTGAAGCGAGTGAAGAATATGTGGAGTGGTGAAATCAAAAAGGATGTCATTCAAAAAGGTATATCATTCATTCATGTGCTCACATGACTAATCAGTAAGCATAAGCAGCCAAACTGGCGCTCTTGGTATTAATACATTAATCCATGTTATTCGTAGGGGTTTTCCAAAATCCTCCCTATCCTTCCAACCTCACTTTCTTCCGTCTCTTATCCAGGGGAATAAACACAAGACCAACAACTTAAGTGTAGATACTCTCGGTGATCTGGTTCACCTGAAGTCCCTTCTCCGCCATCTCAGCGTCCCGCAAAAAGTCGAGCGGGAACCACACAAGGTGGCCCTTGATCTGGTCAATCTTCTGCCGCGCATCCGCCGCGGGCATGAACTGGTCGAAGATGTGGCCAGCCTTGACTCCCTTGGGGGGCAGGTATCTGTCATAGTCATCAAACGTTTTGACTTGAGAGTAAATGTTAGCTTTGATGACAATCATCTAATCTGAAAAGAGGGAGAAAGGAGGCTTACTGTGGTCATCCGGATCGGCGTGGAACAGGTGGCGGTATAGATCCGTGTTCCTGGTGGCATTGCCCGTCCACATCTCCCACAACTCGTCGTTCATGGGATCCTCGACAAACTTCCACGTGTCATCGCGGTCCCATGCGTCGTTGGGCGAGTGCCCCGGCGGTTGCGAGTTGGGGTCCTTGGACCCGTCCAGATCCTGCGCCGGCAGGAGACCGAGGTGCTCGCGCCACAGATACCGACGCAGAGAGGTCGCGTGCCACCCCGCCTCGTACGGCTTCCCGTCCATGGTGCTGGGGATGCGCTTCGTGTCCTCCATGACGATACTCAGCTCGCTGTCGTGGTACCCAAGCTGACTGCGGTCATTGAGGTTACTGGAGCCGCAGATGACGATGCGGTCGTCCACGATGAGCAGCTTGGAGTGGATGTAGAGCTCTTCCTGGATCCAGTTGCGAATCTCGGTCTCCGGGTCCTCGTCATCCCACGGCTCCTCTTCGATCGAACCAGAGTTGGCCATGGCGTGCTGCGCAACCGAGGTTTTGGCGTTCAGCTCGGCGTCGCCCAGACTAGCCTCGAAGCGCTTCTTGGCGTCAATTGCATCCTGTGCCTCTGCGGGCTTGCCCCCGCCCACTTGTTCGGCCTTGGCGCCCATGTGCTCATCGCGTTCCTTTTCGGTGGGGTCGTTGATGCCATGGATACCTGTGCCCATGATCTCTTCGGCTTGCGCGCGCTGCACTTCGGCGTATTTAACGCCAGTGTCCTTTTCTCTCTTCTCCACGGCCGATGTCCGGTTGAGACGGTCGTAAGATCGCAGGTTGAAGAAGAAAATGTGGTTTCTGGGATCAACACCCTCCTTCTTGACCTGCTCAAAAATTGAATGCTCTCCGCGGCAGATTGACTTGTACTGGTAGTCCATGATGGCACGGGTGCCGGTCGCGGCATCATCTCGGAGGTCGCCGGCGAAACCGGGAATGGCGGGGATGAGGACGATGACTCGGAACTTGCGGCCCTCTTTGCCGGCCCTCACAACGGCATCGACAATGGCACGGCCGACTGTGTTGTGGATGGGTGCTTGCTGGTCGCCAGTTGCGGTGATGAAGAACTGGTTCTCAATGTAGACAAAGTGCTCGGCCTTGCTAATAATCTCGGAGTAGGCGTTCTGGATCGAGTGATCGGTCAGAATACCGCTGGACCAGTCAGCACTGGAGCGCACAACCTGGGCATGCATGGATCCCTTGTTCTCCAGGTTCGACAGACTTCGCTCGTCCAGAGGGTGAGTGAGATACTCTCCGACAGGATGCTTAGGCCGCTGGACTCCTACGAGGTCTTCGTCCTCGGCCAAGCGACCGCGTAGCTGGATCCAGTCGAAGCGATCGTCGCGCTTGTACTTGTCGCGCTTGACAAAGTTCCAGCGCAGTACAAAATGCTCGGCAATGTCGTAGACGCAGGGGCCGACGACACCCATGGAAACGTCGTGCCAGGGCATGCGACCGTACTCGGCCTTGCTCAGTTCGTTTTGCTTCCAGTCCTGGACGTTTTGGAAATCCATGATTCTGTTGTTATTGAAATCCTGTCCGGGCCAGACCTCGTTCTGGATACCCTCGGGATGAGCGTCGGCCAGAGGGTGGGTGTGGCTGTCCCAGCGACCGAAACACAGATCCAGACCTCCAATGAAGGCCATGGCATAGTCAATGACGATGAACTTCTCATGATGGGCCCAGTAAAAGGTCATGTCGGCGCCGTTGGACAGAACATTGTGGTCTGGGTGGCGCATGATCTTGATGTTGCCATAGCCCGGTGAACCCTCGGGGCACAGGGCCTGCAGCGCATGCTTTGTGTGGGCGGAGTTGCATGTTAGGGCGGCCTCGACTTCGCGGTAGACAATGATGTGAATCTGGACGCCGGCCTCGGCGCGGCGCTTGAGGACCTGGTCCAGTCTCCATTCTTGTTTGTAGTGAGGGGGCCGGCGCAGAAACAGCTCGGGGGATAGCCACCAGTCGCAGATGTAGATGGTCTCCTTGGCGGCCTCGAGAGCCTCTGACACGGCCCAGAAGTAGTCGCGACCGTCGACGTACCACTTGATCAGGTTGCCGTCGCGCTCCGGGAAGAAGGACTCGAAGCGGTGCTCCTCTGCGATCTTGGCTCGCTTGTCGTCGGTGGCCTTTTCGTGCTCCTCGTCGTGGCGATGGTTGGCGTTGAACTGGGGCGCGTGTCAGTTGTGCCGGCCGCCACAGCAGTTTTGCCGTAGGAAATGAGATTCAATGAGAAAAGGGAGGGAGGGTCATCGTCTTACAAGGTTGGCTAGCTTGCCAATCTGGTGTTTCTTGTGCACTAGGTGGACCTTTGCGTCGTGTAAATGGGTGCCCTCGAGCTTGTCCTCCAGGTCGCGAAAGGGCTTCTTCAGCTTGTCCATGAAGCCGCCGCCACTGCCGCTCTCGTCCTTCTTGTGGCCATGGTCGCTTGTGGTCATGAGCCCCATGGTTGCAGTTGTGTAGAAGTGAACGAACGGGGTAGTCGAATCGGAGATGTGCGCAAGCTCTCAAGTTGGTATTTCTAGGTCATGGAATCGTGCAAAATGGAATCGGTGTGGCTGGTTTGTGGAGGGGTATCTATCATAAGATGCGCGGGGTACACTGGATGGCGGGGTGAACAAGGCGAAGCAATCCAGCCATGCAGCACTCGGATGGGGAAAGGTATGAGCTCCGTGGCTTGGACTCTGGGTTGGAAAGGGTTCAAGAAAAGGAAAAGAGAAGGCGAGAGCGAGAAGGAGGAAAACACAATAAGGACGGCGCGTGTGAAGGGGAGAGGAGAAGGAAACCTGGAAGCTTAAGGGAAAGCTTGAAATGAAACCCTGGGCTATGTCATTCCTCGTGCGCCGGCGGGAGACTACCTACCCTAAAGCAGGTTATTAATGGACGGGGTACATACATTGACTCGGGACGAGTAGTTCGGCCGGAAGCAGGATCCAAGGCCAAGGAAACGACACAAACGGGAACCGAAAGAGAAGGAGATTCGGGAGGAAAGTGGGTGCAACACAACGCTGGGACCGGGACACGACACACGATGATTGTTGGTGGTGAGACAGGCGGCGGGCAAGGCTAAAAAGGGTACTTTGGAGCAAAGCCGAATTGGCAGTGAGCAGCATGTACCTTTCTCCCACTTCGGTATCGGCCCTGCGCAGCCACGCCTACTATGTAGGTATCTAGGGTACGAATGCACAGCTGCGGCTTGCAGTTGCAGCTTCGCACTCGATGGGAGAGGCGGGGCAAACTGCAATTGTGACGATTCGCTAGGTACATGGTCGAACGACTCGAGTCTTGGATGACCGTGGCGGCATGGCCCTTGCTACCTTACTTGTGCCTGTGGTGATCGGGATGCAAGATTCGAGCCCCTGTCTGCCCGTCAGGGACAGGATCGAATCCAGCCAGGTTCCCACCCTCCATCTGCCAGCCCCCGAAGGCTGGCCTTGAGTGCAGCAGTAGCAGCAGCAGCAGCGAGACCAGCAGAGCATGCAATGCCACGCGTCTTGCGCCTCCTTCTTCAGCCGTGGGGAATCTTGGGAGTTGGGACTACCAATTACGATATTGGCAAGTGAGTGGGAATACGGGAGCTGAAGGGAGGGGCAGCGCCCCGGTTTGCTCCAGTGCTCAGCTTAACAAGGGCTCGCGTGCTCTACATAAAGGCGGGTGGCCGGGCGGTGTCAAATTTGCGCCAGACATTCGATAAGAGCCACTGGACAAGTGAACAATGCTCAGTTCTGAACTTGAGTCAAAACGACCCAGCATGAGTTAGAAGCTGCAGGGAACAAAAAACTCGTAAGAGAACGCCTGCCCCGCGCTCGGTGCGTCGGTCGCAGGGAAGTTCCCGTCCGTTTGGCAGTTGAAATTGGCCAAAGTAACGCCGTCACTGCCTCCGAGTGGACTGCCACTCTATTTTCGTTTGACGTCATGTCTAGCACGTCAGGCAGGTACCTAAGGTAAAGTAAGGTAGCACGTGTGGGTAGGTACCTTACCTAGGTAGGCAAGGTACCTTACGTGCCTGCCGTCGGCTGATAAGATTTGATCAAGTGCATCTTATCGATAAGGTAAGCGGACATTCGAGGCACTCGAACGCCGCATGCCCTGCCTTCCATGCCTGCCGCCTCAGACTCACAGAGTAGTGTAACTAACTGTGTAAGGTAAGGTACTTTGGAAAAGGCATGGCAAAGTGCCGAACTCCGGCTTGTCCTAGTCATAGGGACGGCTGGCCGTGCCAATGGCGCCATTGCGAGCCCATCGCCGCCGCCTCTAGTCGCTAAGATGGTGTACCGAGTGGATGGGGAAACTTGAATTGGCGTCGTTTCTAGATTCTGGCCAGCATTTCCATGACATTGCCCGTGACGTCACAACGCCGGCAGATCCTACCATTGACCTCGGGAATATTGCTTGTTTACTTGTTTGCACATGTCTGCATCATGGTATTGGGTGTTATCTGGGTGACAGACATCTAAAGGTCAATCAGCTTTTGCTGGGAATCTGTTGTCCCGAGTCCGGGAGGAATCGCCATAGGCTTTGGATCGTGAAATAGCTAGCGTTGTGCTTACAATCACCAGGTGACTTTATTATATGCATGGTAGAGGTCTGCAGATAATACCCGTACTCGATGGATGATCTCGTCGGGTCATTGAGACATTGAACCGTTGAACCGTTGAATTAATGCGTTCTAGACTCTCCATGCCACTCCAAAGCCACCGCAACTCGTGACCAGTCAAGCCAGTCTCAGCTGCCTGCTCATCCCCCAAGATGGTGTCCTTACTGTTATGTACTGTACTGTGAGATAGTCTCCATCTTCACGTCAAACTCTTCCAATCATTAAGTGCTCCCGGTGTCTCGAAAGCCGGACCACATGCCAGATCCAATCGTGATCATCGTCAGCGTCGTTTGATTCGGGGCCCAGCTGAGTGTCCTGTTCTCCCACGAGTGTTTCTATATATGCAACTATTTCTAGCGCCTTGCCTTGAAGCCAAGCGCGACTTCAACGTCTAAAATGCGCCCCCTTTGGCTCGTTCCAACGATCAAGCTAAGACATCCAAGGCAAGACAACCGTTCTTCATTCATTCCAGCTCAACCCGTCAATGAAATACCAGCGCCCGAATGTCGATGCTCTGCCGGCACTCCATCCCATCCATCTCCGGATCCCGAAAAGCGCAGTGCGCCGCCCTCCTGACCACCGACGTATCCGAGTCAAAACACTTGATGAGCAACGCCTCATCCGGCCGCTGTCCGTCCAAAAAGTACCATCGGTGCGCCGGGTTCGGCTTAATGGTCCACGTCTCGGCCCGGTGCCGGGGGTAAATGATGGCACCCGGTACAAGGTCCGCCTCGGCGACCGTGGTTCCGTCCGCGACGGCAAGCGGGTCCCTCCGCACCGTCCTGATGGGCCGCCAAATGTTGATGATTTGGAAGCGCCGTTTCAGCAGCTCGTCGGCCTCGTCGCCGAGGTGGTGCCTCGCCATCATGACGGCGCCGTCGTAGGACTGGTCCACGTGTGCCTTGTGCAAGGGCCCGCGTTGCTCCGTGTTGCGCTCGCCCAGGCTGTGCCAGTTGGCCGGCCCGCGGCGGATCTGGTGGTTGAAGATGACGACCCGGCTGGCTCCCGTGCTAGGTAAAGGTAGTTTCCCGTCAACCGCGAGACCCCTGGTGTTTTGCGGAAAGGCGACCGCCCCCACTGCGCACTTCATTTACAACAACCCTTACACCGCCCAACCCCGCCCACTTTGACTTTGGGGACCGGCCGGCTCGATCAACGAAAGCGTGCAAGACTTACATTTCCTTGTACAGCTTCTCCATCTCGGGGTAGTAGACGCCCTTGACCCTCTCCTCGTCTGTAAAGTCCGTCTCGACGCTGGCGTGGCGGACGTACTGGAAGCCGTGGGTGTTGAGCGTGTACTTGTCCTCGTCGCCTCTGACGTCGGTGACGGTGACGGTGCGAGGCGTCATTTTCCTCTCATTTGTGACTGTTTGACTGAAGCAAAACAAAAGACATGAGCATGCTTAGCCATTGATGCGGCATTCGAGAGACGTGAATCCTCGAAGACATGGTTACTGAAAAGCATCCTTACCCACCTACAACGATTGGGGTCGGAGGGGATCCGTCACCGGGGTCGTCGTAGTAGTTGATGGTGGTGACGACTGCACGCCTCTCCCGTCCCTCGGCTTCTGTGGACTTTGACTGTGCCCCTTCCGGCAGAGACTGATGCTGCGTCGTCCCCACGGCCATGATGGTGTGTTTAATGGTGTGATTGGTCTCTTCTCACGGGGATGGTCAATCTCGAGAGGGTGGTGGTGAGTTTGGAGACTCGGTTCGTCCCGCTCTGTATTATCCGTAAGGTGCGTGGATATGTACGGATATGTACGAAGATGACTTATGTGTGTGTCTTGGGCAGAAAGCAAAAGTGTTACTAAAATAGAAAGACTAGGTTATCAGATGAAGCCAACGTTAAGACAATGGAGATATCCGCATCGCAGCCTCAGAAATGCAACAGTGGTTCTCTCACCTGCGAACTGGAGGCCTGCGAGGGGAGTCCCTGGGCCCAGCCGCCGGCACGGCAGAGGGAAGAGGGCCGACTGGTCGGAGCTCCGCCGTCTCCTTTTTCCGTGACCCCGCGATGCGCCGTGCCCATTGCGTCCATGCACGGCTCCAATCCCACGGCATCTAGGCGAAACGGAACGAGGGGTAGTCAATAGAACGCACTGTACGAACGTATCAGGAACGAGCTGCCCATCAAGTGGGCCTATCCACCCCACTGTGACAGCTCGGGCTTAGCGTGCTGGGTCTCCAATAGGCGGTCCAGGTCCCAGGTCCAGTGGCATTGCTCCGGTGGGGCTCCAGGGACAGGTCCCCGCCATGAAAGTGGGCGAGTGGTGCCAATTCCCCCAAACACCACTCAAGCTCCTGCGGCTGCTGCTGCTGCTGCTGCGTAGGTATGCGCGGCTTTCCGGCCTTGCTTGACCGCTCCTCGATTCCCGTCCCGTCCTTTTTTGGGGTTTCACTCTCGTCTGTTGTGTCCTGAACAGCTCCTGGAACATTTACTTTCACCTACTCCATCTGCTCCCTTTGTTCCTCATTTCCTCTTTCTCTCTAAACAACAAGTTGTCCTCCCACAAACACATCAACACCCCCCCAAATCAAACACAATGGCCGCTCAGATCCCCCCCGGAGGAACCTACCTCGACACCTTTAAGAAGTCCTTTGTCGATGTCAAGCCTGACGCCGACAAGGAGAATGCCATCCCTACCTCCGACTTCCTCGATGCCTCCGAGTCTCTGACGACCATCTTCGGTATGTTTCCCTGCCTTGCTACTTTCCCTCAGCACTAGAGGACACTCCAACGATTTGACCGTTTCTTGTCTCTAACAACCATCTTCTCTTGTAGATGCCCTTGGAGGCGTTGCTTTCGGTCCCGTCAAGAGCGATATGGGCGGCAACATCAAGGTACGACTTGAATCGCCTCAGCGCTCCCTCCATTCCTCCCGAACTCCCCCTTGCAACGAAGCTCGGATGCCACCACATACGACGCCATAACTATTCCCATTGTCCATTGGACGAACAATGACTGATTTGTTCTCCTGGTGCAGAAAATCCGTGAGCGCCAGCTGGCTGCTCCCGGCGAGTCCGCCACCCTCCAGGAGCTCGTCAAGGCCGAGCTGGCCACCAAGAAGCACGTTGCCACGGAGGGTCTCCTCTGGCTGGTTCGGTAAGTTTGTCCCTGAACTCACCCGACAGCAAGCACGAAAGTCAAACTGACGATGCCCTCTCCCAGTGGTCTCGAGTTCACCTGCATCGCCCTGAGCCAGAACGTCGCCAAGGAGTCCGAGGAGCTCTCCGAGTCCTTCCGCAACGCCTACGCCACCACCCTCAAGCCCCACCACAGCTTCCTCGTCAAGCCCATCTTCAGCGCCGCCATGAGTGCCTGCCCCTACCGCAAGGACTTCTACTCCAAGCTCGGCTCCGACCAGGATAAGGTCGCCGCTGAGCTCCGTGTCTACCTCGCCTCCCTCGAGAAGATTGTCGGCATCCTCAAGGGCTTCCTCGCCAGCAAGGACGCCAAGTGGTGAGCATAGCAACAATGCTCTTGTGTGATGAAGATGAAGAAGAATGAAACCCTGGGGACGGGTTCAACAAGAAGGAGAACCCAAAACGAACAATGACGATATGATGGAAAGAACAACATGTCCGTATCAGTATCAGCTGCGATGCTAGTACATCGTCAGCGGCGAGCCAGTTTACGCAGCCTAGAAATGAACCACAACCTCGAAGCTTGAACCAATTACCTTCTTTGATGAGCTTAACCCAACACAACAATGTCGAGCTTACACAATGGTCTTTGACGTTCGTTTCCACTCCTGGAGTCGCAGCACCAGCAGTCGAGAGCCATGAAGAAGCCTTTATATATAGCCAGGCCCGCCTGCATACTAATGAACACTTGGATAACAGATGATATCACAGATCACACAGACCGACGTATTCAAGTGTCTCTTGCAAAAGCAAAAAAACCAGTTCTCGGTTCAAATCGCATCATGTCACTTCTAGACCCGGTCGTGGATCCGAGCAATTTCCGGATACAGTTGCCCGCAGAACTGTATCTCGATATTGCTGAATGGCTTGGCAAGGAATTGCAGGAGACAACGAAGCCGATGTACTCGGCGACTACTGACGACGACGACGATGACGAGGTTGTCAGGGACTTGACGAGGATAGGGACCATCATATCGAAGGTTCGGGAGATGCATCCCACAATGGCCATGCTCAACGCGGGCATGGTCAACAAATACTACCACCAAACCATCACCGGGATTACTCTCCGATGGGATGCGACGAGCGAAAACCCCAGAGCCATCTACCACGCCGCTGTGCACAACCACGCGAATCTCCTCCGCCAGGCCCTAGAGCAGCCGGGGGCCAAACCAGATTTCACACCATACGGCCATCGTCTTCCTTCGTGGACACCCCTGATGGTGGCCGCATCGAAAGGCTACGCCCAAGTCGTGGACCTGCTTCTGCAAAAAGGTGCCAACGCTGCGCTCAGCTTCGCCTGTAAAGCCTCGGCCAAATGGAAACCACGTCCTTTTGTTCAAAACCTCGAGTCTATGCCCGAGCATTCGTTGAACGAAGACTTGTTGGACAAGCCCACGCCCCTCCACGCCGCCATGCTAGCTCCTCAAAATGCATTAGTAATGTCCAAAAACATCATTGCGTCTCTCCCACCACGGTTCTTAAGTAAGATTGCTGATCCGGCTGGGCTCTTCCTTGCTGTTGCTGTTGCTCAAAATCACCTCGAGTTGGTGGATATGTTAATCAACCGAGGCGCAGACTTTGATCATGGGGGCCTGACGATCCACGAGATGAGTCTTCCGGTGCTTCACCACGCCATCTCCGGTGAGATGGTTCTCAAGTTGACCCTATCTGGCGCGCCGCTGCAAACTCCCCCTCAGGTCGGTCTCAATGCTCTCCATGCTGTCTGTCTCCGTCAGACAGATTGCTCTACGGCAATCAGAGAGCTCGTCCGGCAGGGCGTCAACGTGAACGAGGCCACAGCAGGCGCAGATCAGCGACCAGCTCTTCTCGTCAGCCACCCGGCGCTTCTCGGGAGAATCCCTCAGACGGCTCTCAGCCTCGCATGCAGGCAGCTCAACGTCGCTCACATCCAGACGCTACTCGAACTAGGCGCTCACCCGCTTGGAGCTTGTCCTGGAATCAAATCTAGCGAGAACATGAACAACGGTGAGTTCTTCATGGTGACACCGCTTCACGATGTGTTTCTTCCGGATGATTCGGCCTCTAATCTGCAAGCCAGGAGCCCGGGGGGACTAGGTCTCGCCATGAAAGCGGCTGTTCATTTGCTACTGAGTCATCCTATGGGCTCTCATGCACTATCATGTTATGGGAATGTTCGCCTCGGGCAGCCTGATGTAGACGTCATGGCCAAAATTTCGCAACGATACTGGGTCGATGCCTCGATCCTTGAAGTACCCGACTTTGGTGACTACACTCCGCTCCAGCTCTTCTTCATACATCCGTTCGTGGACGATCCCGATATCCCACAAGCAATGTTCGACTTGTCAGAAGATGGTACGGAGCAGATTAACAGCGTGATAGAGCCGTACTACACTACGCCGCTCCTGGCTCTCCTGGGCCACCGCTTCAACCACGCACTCGGTGACGCAAACTTTTACCGGCCTAGACTGGTCGAGTGGATCCTGCAACACGGCGCCGACCCGAACATCGCGGACAGGGAAGGCTTGACGCCCCTCCACTATGCAGTCTTTTGGCTCGATGCCCGGGCCGTTGAGCTCCTGATTCAATACGGCGCCAGGGTCGACCCCAAGGACGAGCTCAAAGTCATCGAGGTCCTCTTTGGCCGCGTGTACAGCAAGGAACACCAAAACAACCGCGTCGTCCACCGGAGCGCGTGGAAGCAGATGGTGAAGCTGGTCGACGAGCACGCGCCGACAATGCATGGCGTCCGCAGCTGCATCAAGCGCTGGCAGCCCGACACGCCGCTGCCCGCGTGTACCTTTCCCCACTTTGAGGCCAAGTTTTCGCACGCCGCGGCGGACTTGATGAGGGACGATGCGGTGCACCCGCAAATCGTTGCGCGGTGGGGAGGGTTGTACGACGGTCTGCGGGGGGACGCCGACGACCGCAGGAGGAGGATCTTTGTGGCGCTGGTGCAGGTGCCGCGGGTGCTGCCTTTTGCGAAGCCCAAGGTGACGTACTCGGAGCGGTATTCTCACGGTTTCGCGCCGAGGATTGGCACGATTCGGTACAGCGTCATGGACTGGGCTATGGCGACGGACCAGAATGCTTGGTTTCTGCACGAGATTGAGAGGCTTGGGGGTAGGATGGGAGTTCAACTGCCTACGGTTGGTGGCAGTTGAGCATCTCAACTCGACAACATGGATGGTATTATTTTGTTAATGTTTCTAGCAATCGTTTTCTACTAACTAAAGACACGTTGTTGGTTATGTGTGGATCCCTGGGCGGTTGCTGTTTGCTTTATTTTATTTTGAGGATCTGTATCACTGAGTAGATACTTTGTGTATTTACGCAGTGACAGATCAATATTGTGTTCATTAGAAAGTAAATGAATGTTTAGACCTCGTTATCATGCTTTCCGTTCAAAATTTGGCGCTCTATCACCTACCGTGAAGATGGGCCATGTATTGTAGCACAGGGTGAGTATTAGCACGTCGCCCGACAAATCCCAGAGTGACCCTTTTCTCAGAAAGAGCTGATGACCATGTGCTACAAGGGGAGAGGATAATGATAAGCCATTGAAACCATTTTCATTTAGCTTCTGGGTGAGAGGTGAGCTTGCCACTCGCAATCTTGAAATCCCCAAAGTAGATAGACTACCTTCAAATACATACCGACCAGTTTTCATATCAAGATCCTTTCTTTCCTTCTTTTTTCCCTCTTCGAGAGTATGTGGACTATTAAGAATGTTAACTACGAGTCCACAAACCGAAAGAGGCCTAAAGCCAAAAGGTGTGAGGTGCTCACCAGGGGAATATACATGAATCGAGCAAATTGACTCAGAGAAAGGCAAATACTCATAATGTAAAGATACCCAGTTCTGTCCTGGCGAGAAAGCCAAAATCCACGGTCCATGAGACTCGGCAATGAATGCCTTCTTAGGATTTGGGTTGAGGAAGCTAATCAAGTACGCGGGAGACTCGCTCATTATCAACTTGAACTGGGTGGCCACAAGCACCCAAGCAATAAAAAGAGGAAATTTCCAGATTGAAACAGCCCCCTGGACAAGATATCCGGGAATTCCCCTAGCCAGCACATTATGGACAGCAAGAGGAGCGTTCAAGAGTGCGCCCTCAACTCTAGTCAGCGTTTGGGAGTAGCGAACGTGTTAGAACGGCAACCCCAACTCTCTTCCTACCTTTCATCATGATGTGTCGGGCTGAACTTTACAGGAAGAATTACGGATTTTGTTAGCTTTATCTGATCATCGAGACCGGCGGAATCTGGGATCATACTGCGGATAAGCCGATCGTAATGTCGGTCGCGCTTTCCCACCCGATAGGGATCAGTGTTCGATGGGACGTTAGAGAATCTAGAACGTACGCCCATCCAAAAATTCATTTCAGGAAAAGTGACATTGTGTCGATCTGTGGCAGGGCCCCCCTCCTGAGGGTTCATGCGGTCTCTTTGCGAAATCAGCTCGAGTGATCGAATGAGGTGTCCCTGGCTAGGTTCCTTCGAGAGAAGAAGCCTTATCTTCGTTTCAAGTTGGCTCTTTGATACGTCGTGTATCAAAGGATATTTTCGCTTATCCGAGTCAGTGCTGCAATGTAAGATGGGGAATCTGTTGAAGTCATCCCGAACTCGGAGGGAAAGTAGAGGGGGACATGCGCGAGGTTACCACTTTGTATATTACCTGAGATAAATCACGGTGCAACTCGTATGGCTTCATCAGGATGTCCGGCCTTTATCATGCGCGTGCTCTGGCTCATTTGATTGAATAATAACACTATAACTACCTAATCATCGTTCCCTGTTACCGCTCCCAGACTCTCATACTCGCGTACTAAAGGACCACAATGGGTGATACAGACGCAGCTGGGCCATCAGCTTGAAAGCTTGGGAATGTCCACGTTGAGGCAACTTCATTACTTCTTGAGGCTTCTCGGGTTCCCCGTCTGACCAGGACCAACGACTTTCTGTGAGCGAGCACTGCTGATTGTACACCGGAACCTCTACTAAGTAGACTGCGATTGAGAAGAAAATGAAGGTAGCAGGGGGACCCTCAGATCAGCCAGGCTGGGATGTCACCCGCCACCTCATTTGTCTGCGGAGCAATAATTCAATAAGTAGCGGCAAATCATAGGACTGAGATTTAGGCAAAGAGATGAACGTGGATGTCGTTGGGTGAAACCGGAGCAGGTTCTATACGCCTCGTGTGCGACTGCGGACGCCTGCATCCTACATCTCCTAATTATTGACGTCTCGGAGCCTGGAAGGCTTGTAGGGAAGTAACCATTGATATGAGGTTCTGGGGCTGTAACGTGAGTAAAAGGCACGGCTCTGAATTGCCGCCGTTAACCAGAAATTATGCCCTCAACAAATCTGCGGGAATCGTTCGTTCTTACGCCTCGTAGCGAATTGCCTCGAGATAGAGTTTTTTTTTGGTAATTTTACGACTTGCGTTGTTTCTATATGGGCCTAGTTCATCTAAGGATCTGCAGAGAACGAACGTACGTGCAAAGGTTAACATGTTTCTAAGATTGCCCATTTGAGATTTGAGAGTGTGGGAGGCGTCGTGAGATTACCGGCTGTTTCTTACAATTGTTCCGGGCTGGCGTTATCGGCATGCAATGCCGGACGGAGTTGTTGGGAATTTCTCGGGGTTACGTTAGTCAACTGATAGTATGTGGCTTGATGGGATTAGCGTCAGGGGGCGGGATGTTCGTCGTGACAGGGATCTGGGTTTGAAAGCTTTCCCAGGCGATCCTCCACCCTTTGGGTGAGGAAGAGGTCTAGATTGTCGGAGATTTTCAGTGAGATGACTGGATCGTTTGAGGGATTTGCAGAATCCACGAATATTGCTCGATGCTACTATGTATGCGCAGGGCAAAGGCGGCTATCTGCATGGGGTCCGTGGAATCTCAGAGGATGGGTCAGGATGTTTTAGCGTTGGCATGAGGTGAGGTGATGTCAGCGACCTCGGGGTGTCCTGTCAGAGAAACGTTGGTGATATCAATGTGAAGACGAGGAAAAAGAAAACCATTCTTCTGCTGGTGCGACAATTGGTGCGCGAGAGTCGACTTACTGCGGAGTATCTCTAGGCCCCTCCTTGCGTCGATAATCATAGTTGCGGACGATGGAAAGTCGAAGCAGCTCGAGATGGCTTCACAGCTCACTATAGGAAGAAGGGTTTCCCACTACGCGGAGTACGCGGGAAATGAGACGATGGAACTACGATGAGGTTCATGTGGCTGACAAAGAATCGCGGAGTCAAATCAATCGGACGTGATTACGAAAACCCCCTCTAAAACCAAATGTCAAAAAGAGTGTAATCATCGTCCCAACTCGCATGGTAAGTCATCAACCGACAATTTAGGTGCGACTCGGTAAACGCTGAAGCGTCAAGGCAACCCCCGTCGGGTGATGACAGGTGTGATGAGGGGATGGACAGGACGAACTTGCAAGCGAGGGAAGAGAAACGGGAGAGGAACAGACGGGACCGAGCCTGGGCCGCGACGCTGAACCCAATGCTAAACTGATTAGGGGGGAGCAGCCAACAAGATGAATCTAATCAAGAGTTGGAAAATGAGCTCATGGCTGATGGATCATGGGTTGACGAGCTCATCTCTTCTTCTTCCTGATCCCTGACGACGCCAGGCTCTAAGTGAGTAGGTGGTCGTACAGCAGTACGAAGGCACCTACCGGTAGTACTCCGTAGTGTGCAGCGGTTGATAAGTCGAGTGCCCTGCTCCCCGGATTTTCGGAGCATTCCCAAGCAAACGACTCTGGCTGATGGAAAAGCTGAAAAAGCAGACGAAAGATGAACGACAGAAAGGCCTAGAGAGAGGAGTGGATATTGAAACCAGGTTCTTGAAACCAAGCGATCAACAGACGGCGGCCCATTGGTGGAATGCGCTACGATGACCCTGGACCACCCACTTGTTTGACTTGAATTAAGGAGTGGGCGGGAGGGCGAGGCGCTGAGGTGGTGCTCTTTTTTTTTCTTCGGCTTCCTCCTACTTTACGTACTGTAAGTACCGGTAGGCTTCTTGGTAGGAGACGATCAGTGGGCGCTAGCAGGCTTCTTTCCATCCTAGGGCACTCTAGTCTTCTTGTTGGACTATGCCTCATGTAACGCCTGGTCCTTGAGCTCAGAGGCCCTTCGTCTGAAGTTGAGAATTAAGATCGGGTGTTAAGGCAAGCCCCCGCTGAGGGCAGTGCGTTGCCCGTGAATCCGGGCATGACAATCCCTCCCGGGCGTCTACATGTATCCATTGAGCGGGATCCTGCAAAACTCAGAGCTTACAAACATGCACTTCTCCAGGGGAACGCTGTCGACTACAGCGGGGAACCTGGGCAATGACGGGAAGAAACGAGACAACGGCCGGCTCTGAGAGAAACGACGGTAGTTTAATAAAGAGTAACACATGGACCGATGGAAGTTGAAGGCCGTCATCTCCCGCCAAAGCATCTTCGATGGTCCCTACGGACTAATCGATGGCCTTTTCGCCCAGAGACGTGGAAACTCTAGCGCCTGGTCTGTCCACCGCTACTCCATGTTAACTGTTCTTCTGCTCAATTAGCGTTTCATGGCGTCTCATGGCGCCCCATGGCGTTCACAATTCACACCCAAAGTGAAAGTCCAAAAGCCACCCCGGGCCCCCGGGATGAACGGGGTGGGGCACAGTTGAAATTGCATCCTCCGCCGCGTATGCTGTGGTGAAACGGCCAGGGAGATTTGACCAGCCCAGGATCGTGTGCAATCGACTTACACGCATATACGCCCATCCAGATTGCAAAGAGGGGGCGCGCGAGGATGAAGAACCACATACTCTATTCGGGCCATGCCTAGCCCTGTCGTCCCGTCTGTCTGTCTGTCTGTCTGTCGCTGACGCCACGACGGCGGTACTCTCCCGAGTCCCGGCCGAGCCCCCCTTACTGTGTACACACTACTACGTAGGTAGTCCATGGATCCGTATGCTGGCCTATGCTAGTTGTGAGCGGATAGGATGTTTGTTGGTCGTGGTGCGGGTTCCAATACGGGGATCTTGTTGAAGGCTCCATTCGCGCCAATGTCTTCTTTAAATGGAGGCAATCACCACACCTCCCAGCTCTTAACAAGGTTTCCTCTCTTCTCTTCTTTTTGCGATCAAGGGATTGTTGACCATCTCCTTGCCCAACCGACATTCTTTTTAACAGACATTCGTTCATTCACTCATTCAAGGCTGTAGTCCTTTCCAAGCAACCAAACGAAACAGACAACACGAACATCACCAACCGACCGACTATCATTCATTATTGGACTTTGAAAGTTCCTCAACTGCAGTATACACCATGCGTTTCTTCTCCGTCCTCGGCTTCGCGGCCGCGGCCGTCGCCCAGCTGACGTCGTCTTCCCTCGAGAAGTACGTCGACGCCGCCACCATCCAGTCCTTCAACCCCATCAAGGAGTCATACTGGACCGGCCTCCCCCACCACCGCCGCACCCCCTTCGCCGTCTCTCCCGACGGAAAGTCGGCCTGGCTCGCGTACCTCGATTCCTCTGAGACGGGCGTTCACGTCCAGCAAATCGACCCCACCACTTTTGCCGCCACCGGCACCCCTATCACCGTCTCGGGCGGTAAGGAGGCCGCCGGCCTCGTCGCCCACAACGACGGCTTCGCCCTCATGACCAATGAGGTCCTCTCCGGCTCCGGCACCGACGACGCCATCGCCGTTCTCTACCGCTTCACTACCGGCAAGACCGAGCCCACCTTCAAGACCTGGCTCGGCGGCCCCAACGTCGACGGCAGCCAAGCCGCGGCCTCGCCCGACGTCAACGGTGATCTCGTCTTCTCCGAGAAGGCCGGCTACTACGCTGCCTACATTGTCATCACCGCCTACAAGGGCGACGCCACCGGCCACTTTGGCGATGCCATCCGCTACATCGACACCACCGGCAAGCTCACCCCCATCTCCGGCGCCTCCTCCAGCTGGGGCTGCTCCCACAACACGGGTATCGCCTTCGAGGCCGCCGACGCGGCCCCCTTTGCCTCCATCTGCGCCGAGGACCAAGGCGCCATCTGGCTCAACACAAAGTCCCAGGGCATGACCAACGACAATGTCAAGATCTCCAACGAGCACGTCATTAACGGCGCCTCCAACGAGGCCATGGGCGGCATGTCCGGCTCCTACTCCAGCCTGGCCCGTTTCATCGGCGCCGACTCGTACATCTTCTCCTGGGTCTCCCGCGGCGCCATTGACCTGACGGAGAACACGTGGATGGGCGACGGCTACACCCACGCCCAGAACCGCACCAACAACCGCAACGTCGCCATCGCCCTCTTCTCCGACAAGAACACCATCGTCGGCCCCCAGGCCTCGTCCGTCGTCGGCACCGCCGACGGCGACTCCCAGATCAACTGGATCACCTCGGGCTCCAACGACTGCTCCAACGCCCACGCCGCCACCTTTGACGCCTCCAAGGCCCTCATCACCTGGGAGGAGATCTCGAACCCTATCTGCGCCTTTGACGCCATGGGCTGCCAGGGCCCCTATGCCGGCACCAAGTTCCAGATGGTCGGCAGCGACGGCAAGAAGATTGGCGACGTCATCAGCGCCGACGACACCTACGTCGCCGGCGACATGGTCACCATGTCCGATGGCCGCATCTGCTGGCCCTACGTCTCCATGACCTGGAAGCTCAACGGCCCCGTCACCGGCTCCCCCGTCACCAAGATGTCCTTCGCCTGCATGACCGGCGGGGCCGGCTCTAGCGCCGCCCCCTCCGCTGCGCCGGCCTCCTCTTCCACCCCCACCGCCAGCGCCGTCGCCTCTCCCTCCGCTCCCTCCACTCCCGTCGCCGCCGCTCCCTCTACCACCGAGGCCGTCGATGCCGTCGCCCCTAGCGTCTCGAACTCCGCCGATCCTACCTTCCCCTCCGGCTCCGCCCCTCAGCCCATCTTTGAGACCATCTCTGGCACGGCCTACACGCCCACTGGCCCGTCCTACACCCCCTCCGCCTCCGCCTCCGCCTCCGCCTCAGCACCGGCCCCGGCCGCCCCTGCCCCCTCTGGATCCGGATCCGTCCCCGCCGAGGCCCCCGCCTATTCTGCCCCGACTGCTTCCGTCTCCTCCCCCGCCGGCGCCCCCGCCCCCATCTTCGAGACCCTGCCTCATGCCCCCGTGTCGTCTGCGCCCTCCGCCCCTAGCACCCCCTCCGGCACCCCCTCCGGCGCCGCCCCCTCCAAGACCAAGACCAAGAAGACCCGCACCCGTACCAAGACCCGCGGCCCCAAGCCCACTGCCGCCCCTTCTCACAGCGGCAAGTGCGTCGCCCACACCGTCTTCAAGACCGTCTACGTCACTCATAAATGAATAGTTGAAAAAGAGAGGACGCAATCCTACCTTGTGGGGATGATGAAAGGGGGCTTGAGAGAGGTGTGAGAGAGAGAAGGAGTTTGAAGGAGTCGTCGCATTGAGCACATCTCTTCAACAGGTGAAAGGGGTTGGGCTTGACGAGTTTTCATGTACATACTACGTACGACTTTGTACACACAACATTTCCCGCCTCGTATCTTCTGTTTTCTCTCCTCTCGTCCGCTTGGACGGAGGAGCGAGTCAAGGCCAATGGCCGATTTTGAGCAAAAAAAAAAAGAAATGGAACAAGAAAGACCCAGTTCACCATCGGCATCATTCCGGCGCGCTTGCATTCCATTTCATGCTCATATCCTTTATTTTGCGGGCCTCTAGGCTAGTGACCGAAACTGAAGCGAAGACATGCGAGAGTTTCGGAATTCGGCAGGGTGTGAGTGTTGTGTGGTCCATGGAACACTGGAAGGGCTATACGATGTACAATTGGACATGGAGAATGAGTCGTGCGCCGTCCGTCCTGAGAAGTGAGAACCGATGGGGAAGGGGACTCGAGGGAGAGGAGGAAATGAGAACCAAGTCAGCAGCGAGATCAGAGCGGCCCTTGACACCGCTGCGAACGGCCAGATCCGGACCAATAGACCCGCCGATAGTTTTCCAGTAATAATCATGGCCAACCAGAGTTGACACCTGCCTCTGTCGGCGGACGAGTGAAGTCAAAATAGCATGGGGTCCCCTTCTCAGACATCGCCGTTCCAACCAACGGTCGACCTGTCTGAGGCTCTGAGCTAGTCCCGACTTTCTCTCTCCCATGGGTCGAAGAAATAAGAGGCGGCCTAAACACCCACGAATGGCCAGACCAGCGGAGCCCATGGCACGGGCAACCCTGTCACACATCTGCTAGCTTCAGGTACGACGATAACGGACCGCCATTGGGTGCCGCCGCACCCCCAAAGGAGCAAGGGCAGCAAACGCTGACATGTACGACAGGGGAGCGGTAGGCCAATTGCAATAAAGGTGTGGACTTTGACATCCCAATTGGGTGGTCACATCCGGGCTAGAGAGGCGGGATCCCCATTGAGAGGATTTGTCGATGGATTTGATCATAAGGGGTGGACCAAGGTTCGATGATCAACAATGGCCCAACGACAAGCACGCATGCGATCCGGAGCCTATGAGCTTGATAAACTGCGTTGGTCTCCTCCGTATAGGAAAAAGGGTCCATATCTAAAGAAAGGAAACCCCTTCCCTGGTAGACTCTTTGACTCTGTTCCACCTGATTCCCACCTGACGACGCATCATCCACACACGACACGACTCCATCACCAATGATGGATGGATATTTTTTGGCCCAAAACGTGCCTTTTGTGCTGTCATATCTGCCGGGGAAGACGCGAGGAGCCCTTTCCATGGCCTTGTCCCCAACTTCCAAGAGCCCAAGACGGCTTTTTCGGATTTCCTAGCCGGCCCTGAAGCGTTGGTTCCCCACCTCCGGCCAGTATCCGACAATGTCCAAGACCCTGTGACCTCGTGAAGAACCTTATCGAGTGGCTTCCAAAGTTCCAAACCGTCAACGTTGCAATTTGTCAACAACACTATTCCTTCTATCTTCTCCATCCTCTTCTGACGAACCCCCTGCTATGGAGAGGAAAGTCAGATAACCTCATAGCCCGAATAGGCATGACACCATCTTTCGGCTGCGTCCGCTCTCGTCCAGTCACGCGCGTGATGCCACCCCCCGACGACACCTTGCTCGATTTCCGCCCCGGTAGCTGCGCCATTGCCGACAGACCCATCTGATCTGGCATATGGCTAACCAACCTTGGGTAAAGGGGGAGAAGGGGAAGGGGTAAGTGGGAACAGACAGAACAGACGATGAAGGGAGAGACGAGATAAGCCGCATCTTATAAGGCTTAGTGGCCGCCTCTCTCTCGTCGAATCTCACGATGCTGAAGCTGTAGACATCTCCTCATCGGTGATCTCGCCTTCATCAAGTCACGCTTTGTATCAGCCAGGCCAGCTTCGTTGCTGTGCGTCCTCTCGCTTTTTCCCAACGACATTCGCTCTGAATACCCGCCAGTCCTCACTCTTTGGTCCCTTTTTTTGTTCTCTCTCTCTCTTCTGGATACCCTCATAATGGTTCGCTCCAATATTGTTGGCCGTTTCTTGGCCGGACTCCTCCTTGCTTCTAGCGCGGCCGCCCATGCCGATGGCTGCAGCTGCTCCGCCGATGGCGTCAAGCGCGTCACCTACATCGTCGTCGAGATGCCCGACCAGCCCGAGCAAGCAGCCCCCACCCCCTCCTTTTCGACACTGACCACCGTCCCGACGCCGACCTCCACGGCCACGGAAGGGTATACCGTACAAGCCGCGCATGTCATCGAGGACATCCCGGCCTACGAGCCGCTCGCCGTCAAGCCCGAGCAACTCCGTCCGGCCGTCAACACCACACACACCTTTGGCGCCTCCGTCGCGCCCGGTATCGACACAAAGGACCCCGTCAACATCGTCCCGGCCACAAACGTCTCGCTCTACTACGCGGCGACGGACACACAGCAGCAGGGCTCCATCGACATGAAGCTCGCGCTCAAGAACCCCGCCGTGGTCCTCGACCACGTCGACGCCGTCAGCAACGTCGTCTGCGGCGACGACGAGCTCACCGTCTCCTTCTCCTCCGCCGACGCCTTTGACAAGGCCGTCCAGGGCTGGTCCGAGGCCGCAAAGGACGGCTTCATCCTCATCACCAACCATATGGGCAACTGCGACGCCGAGTTCGAACGCGGCTTCTTCCTCGCCACGGGCCTGACGTCCAGCAAGGACGCCCTCGCCGTCACGGTGGCAGCATCCAAGGAGGAGCTGACCAACATTGCCGGCGAGTGCGAAATGTCCTTCACCTCCCTCCCGGCCGCCTCGCTCTCGAAGCGCCTCACCCTCGACCCTTCCGTCTCCCTCAACTTCGCCCAGGGGCTCGCCAACGACACGGTGCTCTACAGCGACGGCCAATACGTCAACATCACCGCCGACGAGGCCTGGTTCAGCTCCACCGTCACTTTCTCCGGCTACCTTAAGTACAACTTTTGGGGCTTCAAGCTGCAGGCCCTGTACTTTGACCTCGACACCACCTTTGACTCCGCCGTCGGCCTCTCGGCCGACGTCGCCGCCGCCTACAGCCACACCCTGAAATACGCCCCCGACGCGCTGTCCTACTCCCTCGTCTCCGTCCCCGGCGTCGTCGAGCTCGGCCCCGGTGTCGCATTCGCCGTGGGCTTGGACTTTAATGTATCGGCCGCCGTGGGCGTCACGGCCGGGCTGAGCGTGTCGCTGCCGGCGGGCAACGTCCACCTCGACCTCCTCCACGGGAGCCAGTCGTCGGCGACCGGGTGGGAGCCAAAGTACAGTAGTTACGCCAACATCACCCAGGCGGCGGACGTGCACCTCGACGCGTCGGCCGACGTCACGGTGCAGCTGGCGTTCAAGCTCCTCGGCGGGCTGGTGGACCTTACCTCGGGCATCACGGCGACGCCCGGGTTCGACAACGTGTTTAAGCTGCGCGGCGAGCAGTACCTCGGGGTCAGCGGCAACAACGTCACGAGCAAGCCCACCGAGATCATTGCCGACGTGCCCAAGGACGGGTTGATCTGCGCTGACAAGAACGGGGTCGAGTTTGCGACGGACTTCCACTTCAACTTGACCGGATTCGCGACAAAGATGTGGAGCGGCGAGCTGTACAGCACTCGCGTGCCGCTTTGGGATCTGTGCTACAGCTGGTGAAGGGGGGATTGCCCTTTCACCGGGAGTTTTTATGTGCTCTAGGCATATCTTATGAACCTTTTTTTTTCTTCTGCTCTATCCAATGATGTATACTTTGAATACCTATCTCGAGGGGTCGTGCTCAGGCACCCTTCTGCGTTTAGTCATTTTGCTCTACGCAAGCCGAAGCGAAACATACTTTAGTCATACCCATCTACTTTATTCCTTTATGAAATACTCTCAACGTGATCTGCCGCCTGCCTCTATAAAAAAGAACGGAGACCGAAACCGGACGGGAAAAGAAGCCTGGGCTTGACCGAAGTAGACTCTGTCAGGGGCCCAAGTCGGTCGTTCAGAATAGTCTTAAACCCCTAAAGTCCACCATCACATCACGCCAGCTGCTAGCCCCGGGACCAGAGTCGTTCGTGGTTCCCCCCGTCCACTGTAAATCAAGCTTACTGTGGTAATATTGGAGTTTATTCAGTGTTATTGTTGATTCTTATTCCTCTCTTGACCCCCTTTCAAGCTCGTGAGGTTCCGCTGGGGTTCGCCGCGGATACGACGTTTTGGAGATGGGCTTGGCATATGCGCGTTGGGCTTTTCAGTATTTCTTCTCGACGTTCCCTACTTGGGTCAAGACTCACTGGGGTGGTAACTGGACGAACAGAATGAGTAGAGGAGTGGCCGAGACTTTTTCTGAGAGCGATGTTGTGACAACCGACCTACTGGTGGAACTGTGAACGTCAACTTCAGCCAAGAAAACTTTCTCATCCACAGCAACGAGGGCTTCCTTTAGTTCGCAAGTCATCACGATTATCCATTGAGGTGAGGTGCATAGAGTCTGTGGAGATACGCCGACTTAGATGGCCCCCGAGAGTCTGGCACATGCCAGGTTTTGGGAGCGGCTACTTGAATTTATTGATCTAATGGCGGTTTGTTTCACGAAGGTCCCCTCCCCCTGAGTTCATTGAATTATGGAATTGGTATCATGGTCCTTCACACTGCGATCCGCCCGCGGCTGGAGTTCAGTGCAAGAATATCAGATGATGGGGCAAGTACGGAATGAACATATCGGGGAGGCGTACCTTGACTAGAAGGCAAACCATACTGTCGAGATGAGATATAAATGATGGCTTCTTGGCCGCTGGCGATAACGTCTACTCTTGCTCCTCACCCTCACCTCACCGCATCTCATACACCACCACACTCTTCTCCTCCTTTTTCTTTCCTCGCAATTCAGCCAAGTTTATTCTCTTCATTGCTCCCGGTACCGAGATCCTGCGGGAAACCAAGAGCAACATGCAAGTCTTTACGACTGTGATCTGACATGAAAGGACATTGATAAAGGCTGTCTTGAATGGTCAATAGATGTAGAAGCACATAATAACGATTCGACGATTTAGACGCTCTTATCTTTCGTGTTACCATGATGTAAGGGTTGCGAAGTCAAGAAATCTTCTGACGCATGCTGTTACACGTATTCATGAAGGCCCAAAATCTCATCTCATTATTGTTGTACAACGAGTGGCATTGAAGATCATTCGATGACCAGCGGAGAGGAATATCGAACCTCTCTCAAGGTCAAACAACTACGTGGAAGGTGGCAATTCTTGAACTAGACTAAAATACTACTACAGTATCTGTTCTAATTTCATTACAGCATTGAGAAGTCACGCTTCATCTCCGGAAAGGTAAGCAAGCGACATCCTTTTGATACCAGCTCATAACCGTATACTTCAAACCTGCATATGTGGTCGCTGATCCCTTCCCCGAGCACTCTTGACAGCACTCTCCAACGCCAAAGGCAGGTCAAGATGGAAGAATGGTCTGTTGATAGCACTGACGGCACCGAGGTACCGAATTCCTCCCTCCTTGGACCCCAGAGCCCCATGCTCCAATGCCGACGACAACGACACCTGTTCCGAATCGCTCACCACGCACGCCGATTTCGACCGCCTCGTGACGCTCTGCTGCTCGCACAGCATAGGTGGCCGGCCAGCTAAATCAGCCAGACTGAAAACCGGCTCCCAGCCCTCCAAGTGTCCCGTCCTCGGACACCCGAACCCCGACACCGAGAGCGCACGCCGCGTCCAGCGGTTATGCAAGCCGGCAAAGTGCCACGCCACCGGCTCCGGCGCCGCCCACCTGTCGAGCTGGTTGCGCAGGTCCATCAGGCCCTCGACAGCGCCCGAGTCCATGTTGTTGACGGCGGAGCAGTCGAGGATAATGGCACGGAGGATCGGCTTCAGCAGCGATGGGGACGCGGTGTCGGTTTCGACCGTTGCGGGGGGCGGGACTGGCTCGTTCCATGGGCGGTCGCCTGGGTGGTCGTAGTGCGGCGTTGTGGTGCGGCGGATGGAGTGCGTGACGTGCTCGATCAGGCGGTCGATGTATTGTGCCTGGTTGAGGTAGTTGAAGCCTTCTGTGAAGCGGTAGATGAAGACGCCAGGGTAGAGAGCGTTGACTTGCACGGCTGGGTTGGTGCCGTCTTTGCGGTCTAGTGGGAGGAAGACGTCGTGTGACGAGAGGCGAGGCGACGGGGGCGCGTTGCTGTGGGAGAGGGTCTGTGAGCTGCTGATGGAATGGCTGTCCGAGTCTCTGTGGTCCGGTGTGCGGGCGTGATCTGGGTGCTGGTAGACGTGGGCTCGGCCGAGGAAGCGACCTTTGGATCGGGCGAGGCGGAGGAGGAGGAGGGCTGCGGAGAGGGCGACGGTGGCGTAGATGCCGTCTTCGAGGCTGGTGAAGATGGAGACGAAAACGCCAATAAAGTAGATGACGATGTCGGGTGGTGACATGAGCCACGATTTGAAGATGTGGTCTGGCGAGGTTATGAGGTTGATCACGGCATGAATGATGAGAGCTGCTAGGCTGGCCATGGGAATATAGTAGAGCACTGAAGTGAGAGCATACAACGCGAGGAGGAGGATCGCCGCGTTGAAGACACCAGCCATGGGGGTCCTCACTCCAGCCTTTGAGAGGATTGCGGTGCCGCCAAAGGAGCCTGTCGAGGAGTATGCGCCTAAAAAGGGGCCGAACAAGTTGGTGCACCCAATCGAGATGAGCTCTTGAGACGGCTGGACGGTATAGTTGTTGATGCGGCCAAACGACTTGCCGATAGCAATGTGCTCAATCACTAGAATGATGACCGTAGCTGGGAGATCTGGCAGCAGCGCCGATACCAATTTGGGATTCAACGAAGGCGGGCCAGCGTGCGTGAAGCCTTTGGGCAGCGTCCCCGTAATGCGGAACTTGTGCTCCCCATTCTCCAGCCCCCGGTTCACCAGGAAGCTGATGAGGGTATACAGCAGGATAGTAAAAGTCATGCGCAGCGAGCAGAGCATCTCCCACATGCGCTTCCACTTCGGCTGGGACCTGGCCATGCGCTCGGTGTACCACTTGATGGCGGCCAGCAGGAATAGGGCCGTCAGCCCAATGGCGGCATCGAGCTTGACGCGGGGCAGGCCGCGGGCCGTGTTGATGAAGACGCGGTAAGCGGCCTCCTTAGAATTGACGCCGTCGATGCCGAGGAGGGAGGGGATCTGGCTGAGGGTGATTGTGATGGCGGCGGCGGTGACAAAGGCGGAGATGGCGACGTGGGGGATAAACTCGATGACCCAGTCGAGGCGGAGGAGGCCGAAGACGAGGAGGACGGCGCCGGCGAGGAAGGCGAGGGTTTTGGAGATTTCTTCGGCTTGGAACTCGCCCGGGTGTTCTTCGAGGACTTTGGCGCTTACTTTTCCGACGAGAAGGGAGACTACGGCGGTTGCCTTTGTTTTTTGTTTTTGAGTCAGTTCAAGATGATTGTGACGATGAATCCCTTTGGGCGTCTTACCCCTATAGCAATGTCTTTTGAGGTTCCGAATATCCAATAAAGAGCTGCGCCGGTGAATGATGTGTAGAGTCCATATTCGGGGCTTAGACGAGCGAGAAGAGCGTAGGCCATGGCTTGTGGGATGACAACGAGACCAAGTGTGATTCCTGAATGCTGTTAGTCATGGGTGTGAAGTCGTCCAGCAAGGGACCCGGAGCTTCTTACCCGCGATGGCATCCGAGATGAGCCAGCGAGTGTTGTATCTCAGAACCCATTTGGTAAAAGGGAAAAGGCTTTTGACATAGCGAACCGACCCATCTTTTGTCGGTGCTTGCTCCGACAACCACTCCTTGACTGTCGGATCCTCCTCATAGTATGGTTCGTATGGTGAAATGGCGCTAACAACATGGTCCTGTAATTCTTGTGTCTGGTGGCGGGTGCTGGCTTCGAGATCGATACCGAGTATCTTTGCGAGAACCGCGCCAGCTTTGCTGGCCGCCATGTTTGGTCCGGATAGGTTTGCTTCTAATTCAATATTGTGTTCCCAAGGTTGGAAATATTGTTTCAAAAGACTGGATGTCAAGTCGTTGAAAGCTGTCACTCAGCACAGAGGGAGCAAAGATCGTCGTCGTTCAGATGAAAAGAGCGAAACACTGTAACTAAGTATGACCTGGAGAATACACGGGCTTGGTTACAGGATGGAGACGACGGCTGTCTCGACCTGTAGGCAAGACCGACCGCTTTGCAAGAAGCCGCACCGCCAGCCGCCTTGGCGCCCGACTTATCGAAGGGTGGACAAGGGGGAAGCTAGCTTGGCGGCAGATCGGGGAAGATAATCCCTACGTTATGGGACTTGACGCGGCGATCTTGAATAGTTTATTCGATCTTCCTTGACTCAAGTTTGAACAGCTTTTGGCCCGGTCTAGCTCTCTCTGTCCCGGGCTCTCCCATGTTGACTGACACGATACCTGCGCGTTACGAAACATGAGAAAGGAGACAGCAGGGCAAAGATTTGATAGTGTCCATCTGGTCAACTTCTCCACATGCCATCACGGCAGTGGCAGAGATTCCGTGGAGAGGGCGGGTCCATTCCCATGATGCCGGCGCTGACTAGGCCCCTCGGCGACCAAAGACGATGACCTAGTGCCCTAGATCTGGATCACAAACATGAACGGTGGGTCCAGGCTTGAAATGTGCCGCCGACGTGGACGATGCGGACGATAAGCGTGGCATTTCCGCATAGTGCCGACAACGATGGGTGGTTGTTTTTTTATCACCGGCCGATAGCCGTCCCGGGGAGGGGGGGAAGAGCTGGGGTGGCGGGTGTCGGTTCTCGGTGAGCGGGATCCACGATGGAGAACGGGCGCGGCCCCGTTTGTCGGGGATCGGTGGAGGTTACGGTTCCTTGTCTTTCAGTGATAATAGTCGGACGCTTTCACGGTTGTTTTAGTCTCTCTTGACATTGAGTTCATGCGGCTCTGGCGAATGGAGCACGTCTCCTCGTCAACGACTGCAATGTCCTCAGTCAGCCATTGCCACATCATGAAGACTTGATCCTCTACTACTAGGACATGGGAGCAATCTAGATTCTGGATGTTTCAACAAAGTCGTCATGTTCCAATAGAGACAAAGAGATAAGGTTCTGGCCTGCTGCCGGCACTCGCTCGGTCACCTTTCACGGCGGCGGCAAATGGAGCCGACCGCGGTGGCGCCGGTTGCCGTCAAAGGTGGTCTTGTCCAAGCACCGGCCGCATCGGTTGGCTTATGAACGACGGTTCCGTCTTTAGTGAGGATATTCAAGGACATGTGTCTGCGCTACTACAATCAGCCAGCTCACGACATGGACTTACATCGCCGTTCATTGAGATGTCGCTTGAGTAGTTGCATTGCGCTGTTGTGAAATAACGCCATGTTTGCCCTGGCTGTTATGCATTGCTGAGATAAAACGTAAGAGGCCTAACTACCTTACTTTCTGATAGTGAAGAAGCCTATATATTGTCCAAATTAGCTAGGAGTCGGCAGTCCCATTCCGAGATGCAAACATCTCGCAACATGGCTCAATGGTCTAGAGGTATGATTCTCGCTTTGGGTTCAGATATCTGTCTACTCTGCGAGAGGCCCCGGGTTCGATCCCCGGTTGAGCCCCTTCACTTTGCTTTTTGCAACACGTATTCCTGGTGTAATTGCCTGGGTGATTCGATTCCATGGTCTTTTTATGCTCCTCAAAGCGCCGCGATAAGCCTTGAATCGTGAGCTGCCGGGCGGGGACGGCACGGAGCGTAAGTGGGTCCAAGCCTTTTAGAGCCGGAGCGCCTGGGCAATGGCCCTCGCCCCGGCCAAGTCCGTCCATCTTTTCCATGTTGGTATTTGCTGTTCCTTGACCTCGTCGCCTTGCTGGAGCTCGGAGTTGGTCAAGGTTTGCTGTCGGCTGAAGAAACACATATATCGAATGGTTTGTCATATTCTATCATACAAGCTAAGATCGGATTCGCATGAAAGTTAGAATCAATGAGTGGCCCACGAGCCTTGCACGGCATGAGCTAGCTGTCAGCCCCGAGTCTATCCATCCGAGCTAGAGCATCAGTTTCAGGGGGGCGCGTCCGAGCCTCCGGATGGTCTTCATCAAGAACCTCACTAGCCTGAAGCGCCACTCGGAAAGATCATCAAGAGGCGTCCATCATCGTCGGCTGGATAAAGTGTGTTTAAACGCCGGCGGCAAGTAAAACTCTCAATTAACAGCAGCTGCCACCGAAAAAACAGTTGCAAAGAGATATCCGTCGGCTTCACAGCCTCCATACCCAATTTCCGAGCATCTTCGTGTAACTCCAAATGCAAATGTCGAAAAGGCAGTTGTCGACCATTGCCATTATCATGTCTGTGGGGGAGCACACGTTCCTGCCGGCGCGTCTTGGCAGTCTATGTTGCTACAGCAGCTTGTACTTCTTGGCCTTGGTAGTGAGCGGCATAGATACACTGCACTTGCTTTTGGAGCCTCCTCTTCGATATGGCTGAGCGCGTGTGTAGAGGCGGTGGGAGATATCCAAGACGATCTCTCCGGGGCTTCAGATGCCAAGAACACCGGACTCTGCGATTTCCGATATTTTCAAAGATGCCCCTGAATGGCACTGACTAACGAGAGCCGAAATTATAACCTGCGAATGCATGCACGGCTTCAGGAGCCTCGAGGCTAAACCAATTCTTCGGGTCACCCGGTGCACTGCGTCGATGGACTTGGCGATGCTTGATCTTTTTCTCAAAGCAACAAAGACCATGCCCTCCACGCAAATTGGGACAGCATACCATAGTTTCTGTACGAGTGGCTGGTTTTCCCTATACGCGCTGACCTCACACCGTTCATCCGATCACCGAAAAGTGCTATTTCAAGGTTCTAGACCTTCTTCTCACAGCTGCAAGAAGAGAGGACCATATTCTCGAGTCACCGAGCCTGAGCCATGGCCCAGAGTAACCATCTGGACTTCCGCTCCTATGTATGTTCGGACAGTCTTGGCAATCGACAACACGGCAATAGCCTCGATGTTCACGCAACGCCACTCGGGTGTTTTCCCCATCATGATGGGAATACGGATTCAAGTCAGCAAACTCGGTCACTGCAATGATATATATAGGCCATCGTGATCTCGTACCATAATGTTGGATCTCCAGGCCAAGCTTCGTCTCCAAAACGATACCCAGCTTCCCTCGTGTCGAAAACCTCCCTCACTATTTTGATAAGATGTTCTTCCGAGCTTCTCACCTCGTGGCGGCGATGGCCCTCTTCGAAGGGTCCTCGGCGAAGGACTGGTTGAGTCCTGAGTACAAGTACTTTTACCAGTTTGCTCTGCCGATCCCGCCGGTGAAGCAGCCCAAGATGTAAGGACTGCGCCATCCCATAGCCTTACCCTGATACTGACAATAATCCAGGTCCATCACGAACCCGGTTACGAACCAGCAGATTGACTACTACGAGGTCGACATCGTTCCCTTCAAACAGCAGGTCTATCCCAACAAGGGACCGGCCTCGCTTGTCGGCTATGATGGCATCTCCCCGGGACCTACTTTCCTGGTTCCCAGGGGGCGGGAGACAGTTGTCAGATTCACCAACAAGGCTGTTCTGCCGAGTGCGGTGCATCTCCACGGTTCGCCTTCTGTAAGCCACTTATACCCTGCATCTTGTCATGTCTCTAATGCTATGTCAGAGGGCACCTTGGGACGGATGGGCCGAGGATCGCATCCAACCTGGGCAGTACAAGGACTACTACTACCCCAACAGCCAGAGTGGGCGCTTCTTGTGGTACCATGACCACGCGATGGACATTGTAAGTATTCTGAGGCCTTGTCTCAGTTAACAAAGCTAATCAGGGTCTTCAGACTGCTGTCAACGCTTATTTTGGCCAGGCCGGTGCCTACATCATCCAGGATCCCGCGGAAGACGCCCTTGGTCTCCCCACTGGCTACGGTGTGAATGATATCCCCCTTGTCCTGGCATCCAAGCAGTACAACAACGATGGCTCCCTCTTCTCGCCGGCTGGCGAGACCGACAGTCTCTGGGGCGACGTTATCCACGTCAACGGCCAGCCGTGGCCCTTTTTCAAAGTCGAGCCCCGCAAGTACCGCCTCCGGTTCCTCAACTCGGCCGTCTCGAGATCCTTCATTCTTTACTTCCAGCGCCAAACCGGCGGCGCCAACATTCCTTTCCAAGTGATCGCCTCCGACGCAGGCCTCCTCACCGGCCCCATCACATCATCCACCCTGACCATCTCCATGGCTGAGCGTTGGGAAGTCATCTTCGACTTTAGCCAGTTTGCGGGACAAAACATCACGCTGCGGAACCAAGACGACGTCGGCAAGGACACCGACTACGGCTTCACCAACCAAGTGATGCGCTTCGTCGTCAGCAAACCCGCCGTCGTCGACAACGCCGTCGTCCCCGCCAACCTCCGCAACGTCCCCTTCCCGCCGTCGCAGGGCAACGGCGTCGACCGCAAGTTCCTGTTCCACCGCCAGGGCGGCGGGTGGAAGATCAACGGTGTCGGCTTCAGCGACGTCAAGAACCGCATCCTCGCCAACGTGCCACGCGGCAAGGTCGAGATCTGGGAGTTTGAAAACGGTGGCGGCGGCTGGACGCATCCCATCCACGTGCACCTCGTCGACTTCCGCATCCTCAGCCGCACCAAGGCGAAGCGGCCCGTCCTGCCCTACGAGGCCGCCGGCTTGAAGGATGTGGTGTGGCTCGACGCCGGGGAGGTCGTCCGCGTCGAGGCGCACTACGCCCCGTGGGACGGCGTCTACATGTTCCACTGCCATAACCTCATCCACGAGGACCACGAGATGATGGCCGCGTTCAACGTGACGGCCCTAGCTGATTTCGGGTACACTGAGACGTCCTTTGCCGACCCGATGGAGGCCAGGTGGAGGGCTGTCCCTGTTACGGCGGCGGCTTTTAGCAATGACGCTATTATCCAAAAGGTGCAGGCTATGGCGGCTCTTCAGCCTTACAACAACGTTGACGAGGTCATGGCTAGACTTGACCAGTACTGGTCCACTCGTGGTGGTGTCAAGATGAGGCGCGTCAAGAGAGCTGCGCAGGATGCCATTGACGGACCCCAGTAGTGCTTGATCTCGAGTCGATTTTTGTGGAGGCATGTAAGATATTGTGCGGTTTTCGTTTATATCAGTGGAGGTTGTCAAGGGCAGTGGAGTGGACGTTGGATACTTTCATCTGTACAACTTTAACTTTTTGTACTTTCGACTTTTTGAATTTTGTAAACATGGAAATATAGTAGATAATACAATACTGGGTCACTTGGAACTAAAGATGCTCGCGCAGCAAAGTTCACGGAAGCAGAACATGGGACAAAATAAGTGATAGTAGTTGAGAGTATGACTTTTCACGTCGTATTTGTCTATCTTTTGTCTTACACAAGAGGAACCACTGGGACTCTACCTTGCACACTTCTTTCCCTTTTGTAATTTTAGATTACAATAAGCCACGACAGCCACTCATTATTTTATGCGCCGATGTGGCCTGTGGCGAATGAAACACTAAACATGGTATGTGCAAGTCCAAAGCTATTGTATTGACGGCTTGTCAGGTTTGCGCGCATAAATGACATGTCTGCAAGCTCGTCAGTACTTCAAAAAGAAATTTAAAAAATTTCACGTTCGAGTGGCGACGGCTGGGGTGACAACTTACTGTCTCCAGTAGGCATGCAGCCTCCGATCCTTCACCTCCATCTTGACCTCACCGCATAGTTCCTCAACGGCAGCCCGGGTCCAGCCCTTCACCCTCGTCAACAGGCCCAAAGAGAAGGCTTCGAGACCCATGTCCAGATTCGCGCAGTTCCAGCGACCAATCTCTCTGAGTTTCGGGTCGTCAGGCCAGTTATTAAACGGCCATTTGAGAATCTGGTGGTGTATCTCCACGAAGCCCACGTTGGAAAGATCGTCTAGACAGTCGCGAGCGTAGTTTATAGGCCGGCCCACCTCGTCGGAGGCTTCGATAAGCGCGTTTTGCCAGCGATAGAGGGCAGCATTCGGCGGCACCGAGCCGTCGTCGCAGTACGATGGCAGTTCGAGGTCTTGAATCTCGAAATAGCCGCCAGGTTCCAAATTGCTGTGCTGGTGTTAGTGGAATGTCGGACTGAAGTTGAAGTATTGGAGATATTGGGCGTAAGTAATCAAGGCATTTAACCGAACGCAACTTCTTACTCGTATGCTCTTTGAATCATGGATCGAAAGTCGGACCAGCTGCCAGCACATGATCGGTTGAAAATGTAGTCAAAAGGACGGTCCCAGGGCCAATCAAGCTCAAGGTCGTCTATCTCAAAACTGCAGTTGGGAGGAACCCTAAACGCGGAAAATCAGTCAAGTAAGGAGAAGACAGAGTGCGAGATCAATCATACAGGTCAGGTTGGATCGCGCTCAGGTCTACACCGATGACCTAACGACAATTCAGTAATTCTGTTTCGAAGTCAGTCGCACTTCACTTCTACCTCGGAATTTGGATATGCATCAGCTATGAATGTGTTAGCCGCACCCATATCGAATCTAGCAAATAGGTGGCTCAAAGTCACGGTCAATTATAGCTCACCAAAGTCAATAGCCCAGATACCAGTTCCGGTACCCAGATCCAAAACTCGCTTTGCAGTCTCTCTACCAGGGCTAGTGGCCAATTCCCCATCCAAGGTTATCAACCAAAGATGATGTTGGAGATCTAATCGCTGTGAGGAAGCACGTGGAGGGTGAGGGCTTGGTGACACATACCGTAGCGGACAAGCTCCATCTTCACTATTGAGTCAGATCAACAAGTCTCATTGAAGGGTGGAAAGCGGAAAAGAAGGGAGCAATTACATCATCATTTGGATACGCATATTCTGTTGGTGATTAGACGCGAGCACAGGGTACTAAAGCAATATGGTGGCGGACTCAACTGCCTTCGCTCATCGAGTGGTACGATCTATCGTTTTCGAACCGGTAATCGAAAATGCTCGACGTTATCGAGAGGAGATCGGGCTGTGCAGGGGGCTAACGGAAATCAGCGATATGCCCAAGGAAGAAACTCAAGTCAATATTTATTGTGCACACCTCCATGTCCTCAATTGCAGAGTCGAGATCGGAGTCCATGGCTTCGGTGTTCCTCTCCTGCGGATTGTCAACATCTCGTTTCGAAATAGAGTGGCATGAAAAACTTTAGGGTCGAGTGCAATTACCTACCTCATCTCTCCATTCAAGATCGTCGTCGATGTCCATCTGATCCAAAAAGCAGGAATTGAAGATCCCAGTGACGAGGATGGGTGAACCGAACTGTCGGGTTCCGCGTGAGAGAACCGAGTAGCTGGGGCGGGGAAAGGGGGAAGGGGGGGTGGAAGGTCGCGGCACGTCAAAGAATGGGTAAACGGGTCCATTATGAATGGGTCAGGTTTTCTACCGCTCATTGCAAGTGCAGATTTTCCAGGAACAGGGGTTTGAAGAATGCCGTTGTTGGTTTCAACACGCTCTTGTTGGTTCCAAGTGCGGCATGTTGGTGTGATGAGACGCCAGCCGTCGGGCGGTTATTGCGGAATCATCTTGGACCAACCAGTAGACGTGATGAGGCGGTCTGCTTACCTCCTCCATCACCCATCGTCTATCGGATTCAATAGCGTTGTAGGACGTAACAGGGGCCTGGCGGTGACGGGGATACTCTTGTCAATGAGGGTGGAGCAGTGCTACAACGATAACCAGATTCACGGAGACCAGGAGGCGAGCTTGGGGAAGTCCAAGCGTAACCCTGCTTCTCTATCATAAGCTGCAATCTGAGCTCGCCGCTCAACGGACGATGATCGTCGAAATTTTCATCTGTCTGGCCGGTTGGCCCAATGGCAAGGCGTCTGACTACGATACACCGTGGAATCAGGAGATTGTGGGTTCGACCCCCATGCTGGTCAATTTCTCTTTGCTGTTTGATCTCACATGATCTTTTTGCGGATCTGGTGACGGCACGAACAAATGAACCTATCAGTGAACCTTTTCTTTATTGCTCACCCTCTGCTCTGCCCTTGTAGCTATACTTTAACTCCAAATTGTTTTAAGGTTATTATTTAAGTACGTTGAGCTAAGAGGTAATAATAAACCTATCTATCAAGACGGTACTTTTAAACGTCTATATAATACTTCCAAAAAGAACATAGGTACTAACAATAAAAAATGTTACGGGAAGTGTCATCCTTTTCAAGAAGTCGGCGGCACTCTCGCCTAGGAGCAAAATTAATCTGCCGATCCACCTCACTCAATATTGAAAAAGCCAATTTTATGACGGAATCAAAATGCATGGGTACCGCACTGTGTTTTGGTAATGCCCAAATCTCTAGACTGTGAAAACATCAAACGGCTAAGGCATGACACCAAGATAGACTGCTCAAGTGAGCAATCATAAGAACTCCCATATCAGAATGATCTCAGCCACCAATTATTCCGACACATTGGCTTATCCTCTGTTGCACTGCACCTTCCCATCGCCATTTACTTGAAGATCTGAGCACGAATAGCAAATGCTGTCCTCCGCTCCCGCATCGCGGCACCGTGAGTGGAATTGATCTCCGTCAATCTTCCACTTCTTAATCATATTTTGTAGCTGAAGTTGTTAGCTTGGCCTGGGCAAATTTACTTCCTCGAGCTTGGCTTACGTATGATCCATCCTTAGGAGGCCCAGGGCTGTGGGCAAACCAAGATGTTGTAGAATCCGCCAGATGTTCAGATGGACCTTGATATTATCAGCACATTGGATCGAATGGCTCGTGTTGCAGAACTTACCCCAGACATAGCCGAAACAGGGTTCCGAGGCAACCTTGGCTGTCGCTACGGGGTCGACCGGACCGTGGGTCCATTGCTGACAAGCACAGTAGTCGTGCGAGTCTGCAACAGCGTCAGATCTATTCAATGTTAGCAGTGTCACCAAAGGATGGCGGAGAAAAAATCTACAGCAGCGCGATAGCTGCCACAGCTATTTGAAAACGCATCTTATGATTTGTGTTGACTGATGAGAGAGTGACAGAGTCGAGCCAGAAACAGAAGGAATGAACGCTTGTGGTCGAAGCAAGTAAAATCCAACTGTCAGGTAGAATCTGCGTTGAGGGAGGTCATGGACGGCTGCGGGAATACCTTCTTCATATAGGTATCTAGGCTCATTGACTCAATGTCCACACTTACTTTCCCGTTGAATTTCAGACCTAAGTAGTCCAACGATATTACCGACCCGTAAGTTAATTGCACCGAATAGTTCCAACGCCAATAGACAGACTAGCAAACTTAGACGGGTCTGGTTATATGAGACTCTTCGTTCTCAACTACCTACGGCCATTAATCTTCCCATGTCATGCAATTGCCTCTGAGGGGCCTCAAAAATTATACTATTGCCTTTTAGTACACCGTTTGACTTTCTCGGGCTCTTCTGACGTCTCTTTACCGACTAGCTGGTGAACAAAGTTTTCGTGTCCAACACGCTTGGTCCAGCCAATCTTACGAAGTTGATTAAATATTGGGTATGTGCGCAGTTCAGCCTCCACATCGTGGTTTGTCTTGTTAGTCAATACATATAATGCGATAAGTCTTCGCTTGAAGCTTCGTTTGTATTAGTGACCCTTATCACTGTCATTCTTTCGCAACCTCACTTTCGGAAACGACTCAACTCCAAAATGAAGACTTCCGCTCTTTTCCTCGTTCCACTCTTTGGCCTTGTGCTCGCCGCGCCTGCAACTCCGCAGGATCAGTGCAGTGTGGCAAATAACAATGTTTTCCAACAAGTTTCAAAACCGGATGGATCGTAGGTGTACCCTCTATCGTTGTTGCCGAGAAATCTTGCTCATCAATGATCTCACCCAGAGGTCTTCAAGTAAAGGGATGTGATATTGCCATTTCGCAATACGTTTCTGAAGCCACTGGCCTTGAGAAGCGTGCGATGCATGGCACCCTTCAAGTGATGTGGACCATCACGCTCTCAGCCTCAAAAGACATAATCATTCGCGCACTCGTCAACATGGTCAGCGACCAGATCACCCTGTTCACAGAGATGGCTGGGATGGGCGTCACCGTCGACAATGTGGCTCGGCTCTCGGGTAACCAAGTCGCCTTTGAGGTGAATGCTGAAGGAAGGTGGGGTGATACTGCTGCCAGATTTGTATACGATTTCGGCATTGGAACCATCGTCAGCTTCATCAGAGAAGGTGCTCGTGATCCCAATGGATACAACTTGCCAGTTGACACCGAATACTGCTACACCACACTGTATGTTTGTTTCCTTTCAATTCAAATTCCACATTCTAACCATGAAATAGGGTATAAGCTGCCACACATTGCACTTGTTGTGCATTGAACAATCCTCTTGTATCGCCCCGATAACTCACTCTTCCGGAGGCCTAATAGCGGTATGCAGAATGATGAGTACATGTACCTCATAGACTGTCAAGGCCACAGGTTCCGTGGGCGAGTTAAGGAATAGATCAAAAGCTCAGTGGATTGTGTCTAGATAGAAGACGTAGCGTAAAGAATAAGAAGAAAAGAAGGCGTTGCTTGCGTAGCGCATCGCTGCTATAAAGGGAGTCCGTCACAACTCACGATACCCTTGACACCACCCTGGCACGCGATCCCGTGACAACCTCGCACTTATTTATACTAGACCGGTATAAACAGCATACTAGTGCTAATTACCTACTTTTAGTCACGGTACTCTTCTAGTATTATGTCAGGTGCACAGCCACCGGCGGGGCGCCGGAGGGCTGTAAGGGTGCAGCCACTAGAAAGACCCAATCTGGTCCTTCAAACTAGCTCAGAAGCTGAGCAACGCGAATGCAAGGTAGGACAATGTACTTTAGAACAGCAAGCAGGAGAGTAAGCTTTCATGTGACTCTTAATTTCACGAAGCTGGGTCTACACGCGACTGCTTGTGTGCTGCACCTCAAAATTTCGCAATTTTATCCTCTAGCCTGTCAGACGCACCGAAGACTGGAGCTGAACTCTTCAATCAACCACGCCACCCCGTGTGGCCTTGTTTCCGCACGGAAATACCACTGCGTTGCTCCATGAAGGCATAGGAGTAAGGAAAGGGGCCAAGTATGTCATAAGGACGGAAGTGTAGTATGATATTGAGCTATCGGAAAAGTAAAAGCTTTGATTTATCAATTATAACATGATTCCACCGTAGCACGGCATGTGTTGAATACGTCTTGACGAATCTTGATTAGTTTAGTTCGAAAAAAAGGCCTAAGGGAAATGAAAGTAATCATCACCTCCCGCCCGTCCGCCCTGTTCTCTCCAGGGTATGCAGCTTCTGCTTATTCTGGTATGGTGAAATCTTGGCTGGTTTGATTGGCTACATACGGGCATCCCAAGACCATCAGCAATCCCCTCATATTCATTGCACAAGGCTGCGGAGCTGACCCAAGTACCCTCAATCATACCATCTGCTAACAGGAGTTAGAAAAGTGACCAGAACGACCTCATGCCGCCATGGATCCATTCAGTATTAGTATGAGCTGCATAGCTTTACTCACCGCCGTTGCGCAGGTCGGCAGCAGCATCTCAAAGTTCGTCGTCAACTGCCGCGGCGCACGACAAGACCTCGCAGCCGTATCGGCTGAGCTTACGGACTTAGACATGACACTCAATACATTGAAGAACGACACCGATGACAACGGCTCGGTTTGATTCCCGAAGGAGCTGCGCTAGCGAAATTACGACCTCATGACAAACTGTAACAGCGTGGTGGCAGAACTGGCAGCTTTACTAGAGAGGTACCGCGGTGGAGGAATGAACTCGTCCGCGCGATGGGCGCTTTCCGGAAAGAAAGAATCTGCCAAGATAAGAGGGTCGCTGGAGGCGCATAAGGGTGCGTTGGCACTAGTTGTGGAAGTGACCACGCTGTAGGTGACGAGTGAAGCACGCTCAAGATGTAATAGCATGGCTGGGCTACGAGTGCTAACAGTCTTGCCAGGCACATGGCCGCAGCAGCGGCGACTGATATCGGTAAGGTCGCGGTAGATTCGTCGCTGATCAAGGGACACACGATGAGGATCATCGAACAACTTGCTAAGCAAGACGAAATCCTGGAACAGATTGCCTGGATCCGGGGAGTGATCTCCCAGCGGTCAACCGGCAGCGAAGGTGGGACCTTGGTCATGGACGGATATCTCGAAACACTAAACGATTATGCTGGCTCTGTGTGTGGAGACTTTGTGACAGATGAGGTTGCAGAGGAGATGCGGCGAGGTCCGCTCAACAGCACCGACAGAACCAGCACAACGCTGCTTGGCCTGGCCCCGATCAAGCCTCTGGCCACCCTCAATGACCAACCCGACCCCATGACTATTGTCATAGGAAATACACATCGGCTGGTCGAGCCAACGAAGACGAAACCGAACAACCGACATCTCTGGTCCTTTTTCGTGAGGGCTTCTGGGGAGGAAATTATCCAACAAGTCCGAATCGACTTGGTAAGCCAGCATGTTTCTGGCCGGGGTTCATGATGCTAACAAAGGTCGTCACCTCAAGCATCCTACGTTTTCCCCATCTCGACTACTGCTGAAGACAGCTCCGCACAAGGTGACCAAGATAGGCTGGGGCTATTTCGTTATTGACGTCAAAATCAAGCTGAAATCGGGGTATCGCTGGGCGAATAACACCCACTCTCTGCATTTGGAGTGGAAACTCGACTTTGATGGGGTTGGAAGCTCGATTGCACATCAGTACACCGTCACGACAATGCGTGGATAGGTTGCGCTGCTTTCAAGAGAAGAAGAAGGAGATTGGAGAGCATTTGACCAGCATCCTGGGGCAGTTTGTATGCCTGCGAAGAATGCCCTACAGTGTTCTTGCTTTCTTTACTGCCTTTGCCAAATTTAGGAGAGACGACACGAGGTTCGAGGCATCAAATCGAAAATTTCATTCTGATTTCAGGCGGTGATCAGCTGCTGTCATACTTTGTTCGTAGAAGCCTCTGTCTTCCCTAGTCCCAAGTGGGCCGCGCCAACAACCGTGGAGTCTTCATACACAAAAGCCTTGTCTCCGAAGACTATCGCGATCTCCTCTAGTGAGTGATCCGTCGTCTCGACGTATTAGAACTTCGCCACCGCCACTGGTATCAGACAGAACCCCGTAATGATGACATAGTAATAGCCGCCGATGCCCGCGAATGTGTCAGGGGCCGAAATGCCAGTAGCGAAGTTGAACACCCAGTTTGAGCAAGTGGCAAGTGGCGAGCGCCATGCCCTACTGCGAGCGCTCAGGGGAAATATCTCAGCGGGGAGCAGCCAGGGCATCGGACCCCAGGTGAAGCCGTAAACGGCAATGTCTTGAGCAACGTAAGGACTTGTTATCGCACTGTCTGGAGGCATGAACTTACGATAACGACGAAGGCATAGATGCCGTTGGCACGCACCGTGACGTCGGGAATGTGCCCCTCGGTGAACGCGCAGACAATGGTTAGGGCAATGGCCATCAGAATGCCTACAAAAGTAGCTTTGCTTGAGAGGTATATAATGGCGGGGAATATGCTTACCACCAAGAATCAAGAGCGGGCGTCGTCCCCATCTATCAGCCAGCTACGAAGACAGCGTCGTTGCAGCTATATAGGGGATCGAATTCGCAGCAGTGTAGAGCAGCAACTTGGACTGGCTCATGCCGGCCTTGGCTAAGGTTGTAGGCAGATAGAACGAGATGACGTTTATCCCGTTCAGCTGAGCAAACATTTGAGCAGTGATGCCGACGATGGTCCGCTTTCGATAACGCGTGAGCATTTCTCTCAACGATGATTGTCCGAGAGTCATCTCATAGCGCACTGCTTCGCTGATCTCGAGCATAACTTGCTGAAGGTGTTCAGCCCGCGTATCACCATCCGGCGTATGCAGGTCGGCGACAGTCTGTATACACTCCTGCGTAAAGCCGTTTAGGGCGAGCCAGCGGGTTGTTTCCGGGAGAATGACGGACATGGCGAAGAGGATGGATGCGAGGCCCATCTGGATGAAGTAAGGTCCCTGACACGACTCGCTCTTGGGAACGAGGTGATAGAAGCCGTAGTCAACCCACGTCGACAGCGCGTATCCCCCGATGAGGAAAATGTACTCGACACCTACCATGAGGCTACGGCGGTGCGTTGCGGCGATTTCAGTTTGGATGACAGGAACGGTCATTGACAGGAAACCGACACTGAATCCTTGAATGACTCATCAGGCGATGAATGTGGCAAAAGCAGGGGCGAAGGCTTGGATGAAGGCGGAGGCGAAGCAGATGATGCCTCCTAGTCGAACGCATGTCTTTCTGCCAATCAATCATATCGCCAATGTTACCAGCCATGATAGAGCCGATGGCGGCGGAGACTTGTAGGCATGCGACGAGGATACCTATGATGGAGGGGTTGATGTCGTCGCTTGAGCCATGGGCGCCTCCGTAGTCTACGAAGAACCTCTTAAGGAATACGGGGTTGACCAAGAGGCCGGCCACGATACCTGATTTCTGTGTAAGTCAAGGGTACTCAGGAAGAAAGTCGAACATACATATGGACGGACCTTGGTCATGGCCAAACAAGGCGTCTCCAAGCGAGCCGAAGGCGCAAGTCATCCATAGCAGAGGCTTACCCCTGAAGGGATAGCGAGCATGAATAGTCTTCGGTTTGATCTTTGCTTCGAGTTATGAGACACGCGGTGGTGGTAGATCTACGACATTCGAAAGAACAGGAGCGGACCCCAGAAGAGTTGGCGCAGTTGGCTTTTCCATCGCTTCGGTGATGTGACGAGTCATTTCCAGTTCGCTGAGTTAAGCTGGACTACAGAATACCTTCCCTGTGGGGAGAATCTGGGGTTCTTTAAAGCATCGATGTTTGAGCTCATCTTCCTGCCTGGGGTAGTGGCTTCTTACCTGAAGATGTCGGAACCGGTAGACGTCTCCAAATCGCGGGGCATGGTCGCAGCAGCTTCGTCAACTTGGCACGATTTTCTACCATCTCCACGATTGAACGAGCATAAAAAATGTGCAAAAACAGCCACAACCCCGTTTATCCCCGGATCTGAACTAGTGCTAAAGAATCAGATGACAACATACCCCTGCGGAGTGAACTGGTTCACGGACTGATCAGGGGATGAGTGAAAACTTAACATCCGTTGGAACCTTAGACGCGCGTACTGAAGTGATTGGCCCGGATCCGTATGCCCATCGTATGAGTACCGACACTTCGGAACTTGGGAAGAGAGATTTTTCTTCGGCCGTGTCCTGTATACAGAGAACCTACCTCCGTAGTTGCCGTAGCTTCAGAGAAAGCTTCGGTGCTGGGGCAGAGTGCTGAGATTAGATGGCGCCATCGGCATATGTCGGAGGCCGAGATCAGCCAAAATGCCAACTATATTCTATGCAGCTACCTAGGTGAAGGGTACTACAATAATAGCGCGTTGAGACAAAATCCGAGCTCTTCAACTGGGGGGTTGAGCCCTGCCTCTTTCTAATATAGTACACTGGGCATTGTAGAAGATAAGTAGCAAAATCATTAGGATGGAGGACTGGTGATTAATTTTCTAACATTGAATAGACAGTTTATTATGTAAATCTCAGTCCTGTTATTAGTTGACAGCGATAATGGCATCTCGCGGTGTCCAGCTCACGTCCTGTCGTCAGGAGTAGTAGGATACTTATCCTCCCCATACGTGGAATTCAAAGTAATCGCCCCAACAGTGTTTCCTGACTCCAACCGAATAGAGGTGTCAAGTTCCCCCTTTGCTAACTTATCTCGAGTGAACGACAACTGCCTCGAACCGCGAATCCAGTTTCCATACCCGCCGTAGCCCGAGTGTTGACCAAAACATAGGTTGACACCCGTACCGTCAACTGACACGCCGCTGACAGAGCCTTTCCACTTGGTGCACCAACTGTTGCCATGGTCATGGCCGCTAAAGACCCCAATCATGCCCGGGCTATCAGAGATTGCTTTCATGAATGACCCGTCTTGACCGCCGTAGTCGCAAGAGGCCTTTTGACTGCCGTCTCCGCACCATCCTTGAGCCTGATACGACAGCGGAGAATCGTCATTGATGCCAGGGTTCTTTTCCGGATCGATTCCTTGCGCTTGGATGGCGCTCGACGCCTTGGGTGGGATGTGTACAAAGGCGATGCCGGGGATGTTCTTGTTGTGCTTCGTGTTGAGATCCGAGTTGGTCGACTTGAACCAGTTGACGACGCTTTCGTCGACCCAGTTGGGTTGTCCCACCAACTTTGCTGCATCATTCGACCCTGTCTGCATGTAGTAGAAGCCGCCCCGGCTGTCAAAGAACCACAGCACGAGCTCTGGCGTACAGTCGTCTTTGGTGCAGTCGGAAGCGTAGACGGGGAGATAGTAGTTCGATATGCCGGCGTTGGAGTCGCTGACCATCTTTTGAGTCCGGGAGTTTGGCCATTGCTTCTCCCGCGCTAGGATGTCGCTCCCCGTCAGGTTTTGCTGATAGTCGTGGTTTCCGTATGTGCTGGCCCAGGGGATACTCCGGTCAACTATTGGCTTTACCAGCTGATCGAGGACGAACGTCGCGTTTGCTGCAAACGCATTCTCCCCGGTGATGAGGTCACCGTTCAGCACCACCAAATCTGGCTTGGCATCATCTAGTATTTTGGTGATGACACCGACTGTTTTCTTGTCTGCTGCAGGACCCCAGGTCTCCCACGCGTCTGCAGATATGCGCTGTTAGTCCAGCATCTTTGGCTAGTTCTCTTACTCCCGAAAGTGAGACTCACCTTCTCCAAAATGAAGATCCTCAAAGATGGAGATCTTGAAGTTGCCATCTTTGCTGAAGCTCAGTGGCCCTGAGGCTTTATCGTCCCGACGGTGCAATGTCGGAGATTGTTGGGACAGTCCTGCAAGGGCGGCCAAGGTCCAGATGAGAACCACAGCTCTGAAGCTCATTTTCGATGTCAAGATACTGAGAAATTTTAGAGACCCAAGGGAGAACGTGTATGACCTCTATTGAAGCCTACAGAGGCTTTATATGATGCCATCGTCTGAAGTATCGCAGTGGCTCAGTCTGGGTGCCTTGGGGAACGGTTTCACGAATGCAGTCAAAGGATGTCGAAAAACACCAAACGTGCATATTCAAGAGAGGCAGTGGATTCTCCTGCGAGGAAACATCTTTGTTCTAACTTCGAAGGACGAGCAATGTTCGCATGATTTTAAATGTGGCATTGAGACTATAAGATAAGTGGCCTGATATCCCCTTCTCACTTCACGCGGATCGCGTAGCACAAACCCCAAAGTAGTGACGAACCCATTAGGGGAAGCTTTTGACAATGATCGACTCCTTGCCTGCTCGAACCTCGATTTGAGGGTCCGGACCATCTGTGCAGCTAACACGGACTCCGAGCTGTCACCGGTCATCAACGTCTTTCAACCATACTATGGAGCTCCTAACGCTTTGATCCAAAGCTCGAGCACTTTCTTTCCACAGTCTGCCTGCAAAGCGATTTGATCTCAGGCGTTTTCACATAGGTGGGGAAATGAAATTCCACGATAAACACTTTGACATTTGCCCGCTCAGCAGCCCAGCCAAGTAACATGCATCCGTCGAGATCGAGTAGAGTTGCCGGGTTGTAAGCGCAGATGATTGCATCAACGCCCGCTACGGCTTTGTCTAGAGCCGGGATGTCATAGTAATTGCGGCTTGTAACGAAGAATTCGAGACCCTAGCACAGCTCGGGACTCGGTTTCGAGGAATCGCGTCCCAAGTCCCTGAAAGAAAGGCCGCACTCTTTTGTAGCCGTTGCAAAGCGGCTACTGAGACTGTTAGATATCCCATCAATGAGGATGAGCCTGGTGATTCGTTAATTTGGTCGGTAAAGGTCTCTTGTGAAATTAGCGAGTGACTTGGAGAATTCGATGCTACCCCGATCCGGCAGGCAAGTCTCCGCACCTCATAGTACCGGGGAGATGCTGCGGTTGTATAAGTCGCAAGTGAGATGATTCATCCTCGAGTTTGGATACCACCATTCCTCCATATGGCAGACCGCCGGTCAGTGTCGGCCACGAAGCGACCACCAAGATGAATGTGGGCGGTTGTCGCCGAGCAACGTTATATCAATAAACCACGTTGTGAAGCGCCCAGTCCAAATCTTAGGCTTGGTGATCAATCTTTAGATGATTTCAAATGCGTTCCATTGGTGATTCGTTGGGCTGTGATGCGTCTCTCGCAGGGATCCAACGGTTCGTCGACTTTAAGCGCGCGTTTCGCGGGTTCCATGAATGGCCCCGGTAATGCCAAGAGATACAGAGCGATAGGAGACATGCAGGCAAGCAGCGAGACTAAAGAAACATCTCATAATCCGTAGAATAGGTGCTTCACGGTCCTAACGATGCATTTCAAATTAAATAGTCCATGCATGTGGACTTATCAAGCAGGAATATGAAATGACATGCGAATCCGTCCGGAAGATTATGCCCAGAAACACAAGGAATAAGCATCCAATTCCAAATACGTGTAGCCTCCCCTCAAGCCTCAACATGCCCCGTCATTCATCCGTCCCTGAAGTCACAACCTTGTGCGTGGCGATTTCCGTTTCACTGTTAGCCTTTTTATCACCATGACCCTGTTTCCACTCGTCAACTAGGCCGCGGAAGTCAGTCGGCAAGTACGGCGAAGTGAGCTCCTGAAGCCAACTAGATTTGCGGTGTGTTTCCACTCCAAGATCCTTCATCAACATGTTGACGTAAGGCAGACCCTCGAATACAAAGTCAGGAAGGTTGGCACCGTAACCACAAGGGTAGCGCCATTTGCCCCATTGCGTGTGCAGCATGATCTCGTCTGTGATATCGTGGTCAGAAGTGGGCAGGCGATCCAGCTGGCCAGACAAGAAGGCGGCAATCCAATGTCCTTGAATCGTGGCACAGACTGAAGTGCTGACTGTTGAAATCATGCCAGCGAAGGCGAGGTCCCGAGAAGCGACCATGGTGGAAGGGACCATGAAGCGGTAGTAACGCAATGGGTTCGCCTCTTGGGGGGTAAATCTCAGTTTCGGTTGGTCCTTCAACCGGGGGTAGAGTGAGAGAACTTTGGCGTCCGCGTCTTGATCCAATGTCCGTTTTTCAGTCGCCGAGTATGGAAGACCGAGCTTCTCGTTGAGACCAGGAAACTGAATGGTCGACTCCTTCTTCCAACCGGTGGAGCAGATGATAGCTTCAGTCTCGAGCTGCTCTCCAGAGGACAGGAAGACCTTCTTGCCTTCTAGCCGGTCAATGTTGTCAATGTGGACCCGAATATTGCCCTCCTTGACCAAGTCGAACAAGTTGCCATCGTAGTTTAAGATACTGAGTCCGCTACCGATCCAGAAAGCCGAGTGCCAGGGTTTCAGCTTCTGAAGTTCCGGGTGAGAATCGTATGCGTTGGCGGAGAGGACATCGCCGCCCAGTACCTTCCAGAACGAATCGACAATGAAGCGCCCAAAGGTGGTTCCGTGGAGAAATTGACGAACGCTAGAGTAGCCGTCTTCACCACCCCAGGGGCAAGGACTGAACCACGACATCCAGCGTATGTTCAGCAACTGGTCCAACCTCTTCTTGAAAGGCGTGACGAAGGGAGGGGCAATCCAGACGGGGCCGTGGCCGTTGGGGCGGATGATCAGGTCGACTTCCGCGCCGTCTTGGACTAGAGCATAGGCGACGTCGAAGGCCGACTTTGCTCCACCGACGACAACCGCATTTTTGACGTGTATCAGCTCGGGAGCCTTCTTGCAGAAGTCTTTTGCGTGGAAGAGAGGGCCTGAAAAGGTCTCGGATCCTTTGTAGGAAGGAAGGTTCGGCGTCGAAGTCAATCCTGTTGCCAGGATGAGCTTCTCAGTTTGAATAATGTGCTCCCCCGCAGGCGAGGCTACAGAAAGTCGCCAGCCTGTCTTGCCATTTCTCTCTACCAAGGTGACAGCAGTGTTGAACTGGATACGTTCGAAGAAGCCAAAGTGCTTGGCGAAATCGGTAAGATAGCGGTGGAGGACCGCACCCGGGATGTGGTTGTTGGGCTTGACGCCATACGCAGCCTCCGACATGGGAAAGTCTGGGTACTCGTAGGTCCCAATCATATTGTTCGACTTCAAGCCGGGGTAGAGGCGGTTCTTGGACCATGTTCCTCCGCAGGATTCGGCAGCTTCTAGGACGGCGAGGTTTGCGGTGGGATGTAGTTGTGAGTAAGCCTTGGCGGCTGCGAGACCGAACCAGCCTGTTGAAAGAAAGACTTGTCAGTTTTCCTTTTGCTCTACAGCTCTCAAAGAATAACAAAGGTGGGCCCAAGTCTACTCACCGGCCCCGACGACGACTGCGTCAAAAGAACTCTCCATTGTGAAACTTGACAACTTGGAGCTCTGAAAAGCGAAGCAAAATGAGACCTTTGTGTGATTGAGTGGTGTAAGACGGTCTTCGATTCCGAGGTTAGAGTCAAGTTTTACACCAATGGATCGTGAAGAGACCAAAGCGCTCTTCCACATGAGATAAGCGCAGCTTTACATATCGAAGATGCCACATGCATCAATTTCCTGTCGAGCTATTTCAGATAGATGGCTGACTGACAGGGGATGTGTCAGTATCAGGCGCCGCGGCAGGGTAGGGGGACGGGTTCCGGTGGTGCTTCCGGAATCGCCAATACGCATAAGGAACTTATCGAAATTGGTCCTGTCAACTTTCGTGCCTATCATACCAAATACGAGAAATTCCTCGTCGAAACCTGGGCCAGACGGTGGCAGAACCCATCTAGATGCAGGGCTCCTGGCGCGTCGAGATCACCCGCTGGTTGCTTTATGTACCATATCCGCGTGCCATGACATGCCTCGTAAACTGAGTAAAGAGGCCTCAGAGAGTATTCAAAAAAAGCGTTTAAGAGTTTCTAAATTCCAACTCCTAAGACTTCTTTGACTCTACTTCTCTGCGCGCAAAGGGTCTCGTCGATTCGTGAACTCTGGCTAAACACCACCATTCCACCAAGGCGCCGTTTGCACATCGTTTCTCTATTTGGAAAATGTGACTACCGCTGAAGAATTCATGACAGGTACCTTACCCATGCTCACGGCGATGAGTATTCCCTGTAAATATGGCTCAGCGAGTCTCAGCGCGCGTAATAGCGAATGTGGTGCCGGCCGTGGACAGTCACCGCGCTCCTCGATGCTTATCACGGAACTTCCGAACGGAACGGAACGCATGCTACTACATCCTTGAACAGAAGTCACCACGCGATTCACGGATTCAATGGACCCAGCTCTGCGGTTTGTCAGCTCTTTGCCCCAAAAAAAAAAAAAAAAAAAAAAAAGGTTTCCGGTATCAGCGCACGCAAGCCATCGGAACAGCAAGCCGAGGCATGGTCATCCAGAGTTGTGCGATGGCTTTAGCGTATTGATCGAACACACAACTCAACGTATAGACTATAGTCGCAGCAGACGCCTCCAAGAGTCGCTATTCCTTACTCCTGACTTGATGGAAATAATTTCCAGCTCTTGGAGAAACTCGTCAGAGTGTTTGTGAACGTTAGCAAGCCCCCCGCGCCACTGCCAAAAGCCGAGCCCACGATGCGTCCGCGAGGGCATCACCCTGCCGTCGCCGCTCTCGTGCAGAGGCTACGGGTAAGGAACTCATCATACTGCAACTTTTTTCGACACAGAATCTCGATATCGCTGAAGGAGTTCCATCTACTCTCATCAAATGGGCAGAAGAGGGCTTTGTCGTGGTGGAGATCCAAGCCAAGGCGTTGACCCATGCAAGTGCTGATGCCGAGGATGTCTTGCAGACTGCTTTGAAAGCATGAAAAGACAGCATCAAGCTGGAGCTAGATGGCAAGGTAGGCATCGTCGGTATGTTTCCACCGTGATTTGACCATTTCCACAAATGGAGCATCCGAGCTCAAGCACATATCAGCATTTGACCCAACATTGTTGAACAAGATCGCCAGTGTGGTAAACACCTCCTCTACAGAGATGATCGTAGGTGTTGTCATTGCTTTTCCCTCAATTCATATCCCATCAATGGTATTAAAAGTACGACGACCGCGAGTAGCCACACCTACTGTGAAACTATGCCCTCCGCAAAACTATTCTCCAGATCGCTATTTGGCCATGGCATCTGAAACTCCTCGTCCCACCCCGAAGACCCATCATAGACAAAGTCCGATACGGGGAGCACCTCGCCGTCCTTGTCTCCACCGCTCTGCTCGTCGGAGCCAGGCATCTCGAGCATGCCGAACCCGACCAGACTCCCGCGCACCCCCGCAAGCTGTTCAGATAAATGCTTCGCAGCTCTCGACCTCGTCACGTAGCTAGCCGCCAGCGCCACAGCCAGCTCGTAGCTCCGGCCCATGGCCCTAGACAGGTCCGGTGGCAGGCTAGCCAGCAGGGTCGCACGGTTCTGCTCGAGAGACGACGTCAGGACGAAGCCGAGGGTGGAAGCGGAGGCCAGCAGTTCCTGGTAGTAGGGCTGCTGCTTGCGGTAAATGTCCGTGTTGGCGTTGAGGGCGTAGAGCACGTCGCAAATGTCAAAGAGGACCTCGATCGCGGGCTGTAGGTATTTCTTGCTGGTCTGGGCATCGGTCCGCGAGAAGAACCACGGTTTGAGCAGGAAACTGCGAATGGTCTCTGCGCGTAGGTGTAGTAGGATCGGGAACGTGGACGGTTGTCTGGGAAGACTTGACATCCACGTCTCGGGATGGGTGATGGCGTAGTGGCCGACGGCCCGTTTCCGCCACTGCTCCACCTGGAAGTTCATGAGCTCATAGTTCTCCTCGTCTTCGTACCGCTGGTCTTTTGTGGCTTGTGACATGGGCCCTTCTAGCTTGTTGCTGACGCGGATGAAGGACAGCATGGCTTTGAGGTAGGGATGGTCGGCCTTTAGTATGTTAGTGCATGTGTTTCGTTCACAGGATGCAGGTTGTGCGGAGAATGATGCGACTTACCGAGATCAGGTTGGCAGGGCTGAAACTGGAATCGTGAAAGTTTGGGGGCAAGCCTGCTGCTGCACTCCATTGCCGGTCAAGGATGACAATGCTGGAGACTAGGGTCCAGAGTTCTGCGCGATGGCGAGGTGAGTCTGCCAGGAGGGACCACGTTTCCTCGTTATGTACTCCGAGCTCCATTAGTATGCGCCCGGCGATGCCACACATCCGCCAGGCAACCTGTGGCATATCGTTGAAATACTCATAACATCCCTAGTAACATGAAGTTACTGTTGTGAGCGCTGGCTAGAATCATGCTGGAGAGTGGTTGCAACTAACTTTGAGAAGTATGATGGTGACTTGCTTCATACTTGTGGAAGCTTTGGTGATTTGACTGTTGACAGCCTCTTTCATGCAGTCCACGATAAGCGCTTCAATATTGGAGCTTTCGGGTGTCGATTCTGTATGGAGTGCAATGGCAAGGGCAAGATTGAGAATGATTAAGTCTTCCTCAGAAGGCGTGTGCGATTTCTCCGTCACCATTTCCCAGCTTGTTGATTCCGCATCCGCGAAGAAAAATCCAGCATGCGCAATGGTCTGGTCAACATCGATGATGGGATGGAGCTCTCCGATGACATCTTGGTACACGCCAAGCATCCCGACCACTTCGTCGAGGTTCATCAAGGATTTGAACCTCAGTAGTCTCTCGGAATCGCTTCCTCCGGTTATAAGCGGGTTGAAGGAGCTCGTACTCTGCGTCAGAGACATGGCGTCGTCGTGCCCCGACGCGGTTGGAATGAAGTCGAGGTTGATCGCCTCCTCCTGCATCGGTTCGGGTGGTGTGTGGTAATGGCTCTCGCAGCTCTCGCGGGTTCGCGCCATCTTCATGTTGTCTTCCGGGCTCGGCAAGCCGTACAGCTGCCGCAGCGGGGAGCACGACGGTGGTCCAATCGACTCGAGACAGGTTTCGATGACGCCGGCGTCGGTGATGAGGGCTGACAGGAAATCCTCGGGTGTCTGGTCGCCCATCGCGAATGCTGGGTGTGGTTGTCTGGCATTCGGCGCCTCGCTGGGAATCTGTACGCGGGATGCGAGACTGTTCAATTGGTCCTGGAGACTTGATAGAAGCTTCATGATGTTCTCCTGGTTACTGTATTCCTCAATTAACGAGGAATCCCTGGAGGTTGACTAACTAAGTAATGTAGCTACGACATACCTTGACGTGGACGAGGTCTCTCGCCTTGGGTGATCAGACTCGGTGGTGGAATCATCGGTAGAAGTCGCCGTCGGAACGGACCAGAGGCCGTCATCGGCGCCATAGATGCTGTCAAAGACGCAGGTCTGCTTACGCCCTGCACAGTACCTGCATGGTTGCCGGCCGTCGCATTTCCCCTTTCGTCGGCGACACGCCTCGCAAGCGCGCAGTGCATACGGCGCTCGTCGTCTCCCCGGTTCTCCATTCTGTGGGCTTGGCCTCTTTGCGACGCGGTTCTCTTTTAGCTGCGCCATCGTGTCTTTGCGTGGCATCTTCGAGGGCCAAGCAAAAGATTAGTCGAATAGTTCACCAGGTGGGTATCCGCTGTGAAACGATGACGTTCGATATGCAGGCCTCAAACGATCAAAAGGATTGAAAAGCGGTTCCTTCAAAAGAAGAGCCAGGGGACGGAGAGACATGACACAATCGAATAGGAGACAGGGAGAGATAAGCAGATTATCGGTCGGCTATGTTCCTCATGATAGCGGCAAAGCGGGACTTCCTACAACAAAGGGTTTAGCCTGGGGTCCCGTACCCGCAAGAAAGCGTAGAATGCGGGGAAGAGATAACTGGGTTAAACCGATTGGTTCAAGAGAAACCTATGGTTGTGTATTAACAATGACTTTAGATCCGCGTTGCCAGGCACTCCCTTGCTTCAAAGCTAGTCCTTACACCATGCCGGATCTGTTCGAAAGCTGACTTCTCGTTTGCGCAAAACGCCATATATGAAATCCGCCAACGCTGACTTGGTGGTTTTGCATTGTTCTGACAGCTTGCTACTTTCGGGATTTCGGTTTGGGTGTTTCCGAGTCGTCCCTGCTTGCCACCACACTCCAACTTGCAGCCAACAATTGTTACCGTCTAATAAACGAAGAAGCTAACATGTTACCGGATGAGCATATCAGTCAATGGTGGAAACCATATTGATAAAAGAGACATGGGCAGCACGAATATTGCGATTAGACTGAACAAGTTGATAATCAAGTAAAGTATTTGACAACTCATGGCTCACGCAGAATCAATGTCATTAACTCTTTCGCGAAACTCCCGGCCCGTGGAAAGCGCGGGCATCTATGAGCTGTATTTGGTCGTAGCTGCTCTCTCCACACGCATCTTCGGCTGGTCAAGGAAAGTAGCCAAGTAAGATATATTATAGTAGTTAGTTGTCAGTCACTTGTGTAGGTTGTAGTAACTATCTACCTTATGTTGCAATACCTAAATAGTATGCTGGATGCCTATCAAGCAGTGTCCAACGTTGTGACAACACAGACCCTGGTCTTGGATGTCACTCAATCAGTGACTGACCAGTCCTGCAGAAAAGCCTTTGCGCACGCAGCTGCCGTCGCAGCAGCAAATCTTTGCCATTCCTGACTCTTGTGACTGTCGGCGTAATCGCACACTCCTTTGATGACAAGGCAAGGGAACATGTCCCAAACCCCGGCAGCTTCCATCTCAAAGGCAATGATTCCCTCAGCTTTCGCAATACTGTCGCGGTCATTCCCAGATTTCATCACCTGGTCTCCAGAGGCAACTGATCCAAAGTGGATTGTGGGAGAAAACAATGTCGGCGCTGAATCCGGTGCGCTACTCACAGCGCCGTTAATCCGCTGGCGTCGTACGAGCCTGTCTTGATCGCAAAAGAGCTCCTCACACGAAAGAGACCGTGCCAAGTCGCATACGCCTGGATTGCTCTCGGCGTCTGAGCAGGTAGTACAGACACTTGCCTCATGGTGTCTGTGTCGGTATGTAGGCTCAAAAAGTTGGTCCTTTTGCGCTCCCGGATACGCAACCAAGGCTTTATGGCTCTGGCTCAGTATTTGGAGGTTGAAGCAAGTCCTTTCCTGAAGGGTTTGCCTGCAGCGTAACCCCTTCAACTGGTTCAGACAGGACAGGATCTCGGCAGGCGGCCTTCCCAAATTGTCCAGGAGCCCATTCTTCCTAATGAACCTCTCTGGGTATACTCGCCCAAAGTCGTAACCCTAGAGGCTTTCGCTGATGATGACACCCCCGAGTATGACTTCTTGTATGCCCTCCTGCTTATAGAATGGAACACCGCCACAAATCCCAACCACTAACACCAGCTGAACATTTCGAAAGCTATTGCGGCAGTGCGACGCTACCATTGCACTGCTATCCTTGCCCATGCCGGGCATAAAAGCTAGGACGGTTTGGTGGCGACCAAGCAAACCAAAGGAGTATGCGTTCTTATGACCTGGAGCTCTCATCTTTCCTTTGTCAATGTCCTTCCATCGATAATCAAAGAGCGCCTTGAATGCGTCTGCTTCCAATGTCAAGGCGCATATAGTTGCGATTTTTAACCCGTTTGAGCTTTTAGGGGGGCCTGTTGGTTCTTCAAAACGCCTGAGTGACTCGGAAGTTGGCGGACTCATTCTACTATTATTGCGTCACCATTAATGAAATCACTCCGAAAATGGGCTGCTCTACATTATCTCTGAAATTCCCTGGGACGAGATACCTCTGAAATTTGTGGCGGTGATATGACGATTTGGAAGGGTTCTGGTCCATAGTTTCGGACCATGGTCGAGGGTGACGAGAACACTGGACGGAGGAATCGATGATGTACGAAAGAGGCTGGGAAATTCAAGACGACTAGTCCCACCCGGCCAGAAGATAGGCTGACAAAATATCACGTGGGCGAATGAAACATTGGCGTCAAATCATTCTGCTGCCCTTGATTGTGCCTACAGCGCCAACCAGTCTGTCCAATTAGAGCCTGATGCATCATCAAATCACCTAGCATCTCGATATATCGGTCCGCAGCCTGCTCCTTTTTCTCCCCTTTTGCTCTCCACTTCTCCCCCTCCTCTTCCCTTGGCCCTCCTCTTTCCTCTATTGCTCATCATCTCATGACTTCAAGATGGTTGATAGGGATCGAATTCTCAAGCGAGTATTAGCAGCGCCCTCGGGCCAGTCATCTCGCACACCATTCTCCGAGAAGAGACCCGGAACAGTCTCGGACATGGAGCCCGCCTCCACAAGGCGCTCAGCACACGAGTCACCGAGTCTCCCAATGTTTGAAGCAATGCCATCTGGACACAAGTTGAGTTCCGACAAATTTGAATCAGGTGAGAATCAGTTGAGTTACAGCCTAATGCTTTGCAAGTACTGACCTAACAAGGGCACGACTCAGCCGCCCCTACACAGCAACAACTATACCGTCCCGTTCAGTTCTACGACTGGAAAGTTATTCTATGTAACTTCCTTACCATTGAGCCCACCACATCTGATGAAGACCTATTCGATGAGATGAAACAAGCTTTTAGCATTTTGGAGGAAGCTGGAATGTTGGTACAAGAAGCTTTGCAGAAACAGGGACCTCCTCGCGGCGAAATCATGACATACTTGCAAAAGCAAATAGAAAAGCGCAAAGCGGCCGCGGCAAGACAGCTGCAGCTGCCGCAACAAGCATTGCAGCGGCAACAGCTTGACCAACCAAGCTTGCCTCCCAATGTCCCGGACGCCATAAATCAACTTGAATTGATTCAAGTCACCCCAAACGACATCTCCAACGCTCGTAAAGCGAACCCACTAATTGCGAGCCTGTCAGACGATCAATTAAGAGCGTTTATCATTCAGGTCAAGCAATGGGAGATGACTGCTGCTCTGCAGAAGGAAACAGCCTTGCGCCAAGCTCAAGCCCAGATGACCAAAGGACCCGGCGCCCCTTCATTCACTACAGCCATGCACACAGCCCCGAAGGCTGCTGGCCTCGCCCCCTCGCCAAAGCACAGCGATCAGCCGCGACCTCAGAAGCGGAGCCGGGAGCAGCAGCAGGATAGAAGTGCTAGCTGGTCAACTATCTCACGGGACTGCACAAGGGGTTCTTCTGCACAAGAGACTGATCTTCTACAATACTATGCCCAGCGCTTACAAACTGGTCCTAGATTACCATAGTCAGACACTTCGATATCTACCTTACTAATATGCAGCGCTGTTACCTGCTCAAGTCTTGGAAAATAGACAGCTATTTTGAAGATGCTGCGGCGTAGGTCACCGTGTCATTCTCGAGAACATGCATACGATCCTTCTCGGCCTGTGACATTCTGCATATCGGGTATCCTCTAGTCTTCGGAACTGAAAGCGGGGATTGAATGAGTTGGTTGCTAATTTCTCTTCATCTTCATGTTGTGCCGCCGTGCCATTTTGCACTTCTCCGCAGCAGATTCAAGACACTACCAAATGTCTACATATATCCATCCATTGAATCGGAGTAACCTTGATCGAGCCCAAGTTCTTGTACACGACATCTTTGATGCCAATAGAGCTGGGCCCGTCACCAGTGAACCACGCCTTTGCAGACTCATCTCCACGAAGAATCCACTGGAGCATCTTACTCCCCACAATAGCTGGTATTCCGCCGTTGAGAGCATCAAATGCGGCGCTGTGGCCTAGCTCATGGTTTCCCTTCCAAGCTGAAGTGGTGTTGGGAAGTGCTGAATAGTCCCGCTCGCCCTGCTCTCAATTCAGCCCATCCATTGATCATTCTATCAGTCGCGATGGCCAGGGACACAAACATTTGGGTAAGCAATATCCGTCGGTCCACCCAGCGTGTAAAAGACAGGCTTCGTAAGGTTGCCTGCCACCTCCTTGCTTGCCCCCTCGGTCAGCTGACCGCTGTTGAAAATGCCAATGTGGCTCACACGAGTATCGTTCAGACCGGCGGTGTAAGCTTCGAGGCCTCCACAACTCTGGCCCCAGACACCAATGCGGGACGCATCGATATGTTGCCAACCGTCCTTTCCTGCGTTGGAGTGCGCCCAGTCAATAGCTGTAGTGAGAGCAGCTGGATTCTGACCGGATGCACCGACTGATGGATCACTCGGAGGCAGCACGTAGGTTTCGGGGTCAACGTAAGCAGGTCCTGTAGCGATCACGAGCGCACCGTGTGAGGCTATCTCGCCTAGGAAACCTCGAAAGGTCATGCCGACTGATGCCCAACTTTAGAGATGAACGTTTGCTACTTTGGAACATAAGCAGGTGAAGAACATACTGGGTAATTACTTGTTAGTACTGATATCGAAAGAGTAGATGTGCAATAGGCAAACTAACCATGGCTTGCAACCTCCGTTCCCCCACACAATCACTGGGAGCTTCAGATTGGATCCTACTGCCGACTCGAGTGGCTGATAGAACGTATGTTTGGCAAGTGATTCTACCTCAAAGGAGTACTTTGAGTTGATGAGCAATAGTTACAACCTGGTTGGGGGGGTGATACGCACCGATTTGTAAGGACCAGAGCCCCCATACTTTGCCGGAGATTCATTTCAGTTTAGAGACTCGTATCAAATGCTTTTTGGGAAGGGGTTCACGAACCGAAGGGCCATGGTCGGTAGCAACCACTACTACGGCGAGTATGAGAGAAACAAAGGCCCTCATGACTACTGGCTGAGGTTTGCGGGCAAGGTTTACTCCCAAAGTCACCGTACTGTCATACATTCAGTACCGAATGCGTGATATGTATGGCTCTGATCTCGGAAACGGGCATACGTTGACCGTCCAAGATTCGGAAACAAATCACCGAAGGCAATATATACCCGTGACTCGTGCCTTGATTACGTATCGTTGCATCGACCATCCCTCGCATCCCCGCATAGGAAGAAAGTTTATCATTGTCAACATCTGTGTTTCTTAAATGTGTGCTGAATGTTTATCACGCTGCCAACTTTACTTGCAAGATCTGTGGGGCGGAGAGTGGGAAAATGCAGTCTAAAGCTGGTAAGCTCACTACCGGTAGCCCGATCCGGTGGCACAGGTGCGAAAACCCCACGTTTCACACCAGATAGTGGGTAGTAGCCATGGCATAATCGTCTAAATACTTGGCCTAATTTCTGAATCCCTGAACGAAGCCGACAGTTGAGCCACTCCGCCCGCGTGGTGCTACACGGGCATGAGACAAAAGCGAGGATTGATGCTTCGAGAGACAACCGCATCTTACGGTCTGCGGATCGGACCGGGTATCGCAACACAACATCATCAAGGAGACAACCTTCATAATGGTGGAACAACAAAAAAATGACATCTTTTATCTACCGAAGTGTTTGTTTAAGTCGATCTTCTACCGCTTGGAAGTATCTCTTGAACCAGGATATCGCTTTGTTAAACGTCTGCTCCTTTCCGAACCTTTCTTCTCGTTGTTGGTGTCTCCTCGAATGTGGAAACCATGGCGACCGCCAGAAACAAACAACTTAATCTGGTAGTTTTGCTTCATCCAAGCCAGAATCGATTCACTTTCATATCGCTTTTCTGTTGTAAAGATGTCATTGAATTCTGCTGCGACAATCAACAACGGCCTAGTAATTGCAGTGAGCTCGTCAGCATCCACAAGAATGGGTGAGTGATGAAGCCACACTGAATACCGCTTCTGTAATACCGCACAGCATACTTGAATCGATGATAGAACAAATATTGTGTTTCAAGTGAATGAAAGACGAATCTTAGCCCCGAAACAGTAGCCCGCCGCTGTAATCTTGGTAATGTCCAATTCTTCGAGGTACTTGATGCCGAATATCACTATTGGGTCGATCATCTCTGAGACGTGCGCTTTATTCCTGCCAGTGACCTCTTGCAACCACTTCATGATATCGAAGTCCTTGGGCATGTCCAATGGTGCCGGATCACCGTTGAACGGGTCAAGAACAAGGCAGACATAACCCTGGGAAAGCAAATGGATCTGCCATGAGCTTGCTATTTTTCCACATTCCAATGATATCTAGAAGATACAAGACAGCTTGGTTTGGATCCTTCTCTCCGATATGCAGAGCCAAGTATGTCTTTATTTAACCATCAATCTCGACAGGCTTGCCCTTTGGAGTGCCCCTGAGTTCAAGAAACCAGCTGATATTCGAAAATTTCATTTGTACCCTTATTGGGAGTCTCACTTGTGAAGTGTGCCAACAGTGCGACAAGAGCACGGTGCGTTGGAAGCCATAGTTCCTCCGAGAAAGTACAAAGAGGTCACAGTAGGGACAGAATAAATAGATACGTGCTCAGTAACAACGCACGTCCCACACAAAAATGTACTTCAAATTTTTATACAGAAATAGGATATGAGCTAACAATCATCAGATGCAAGAGGATATTCACATTCATACTCAATTATTCTCGTCCGATTCGGACCGATAGAGTGTCGAGGACTCGAAATAGGATACCTGGTACAGCGAGAACAGATAGGAACGGGGCGTTTTCGGAGCTTCCGAAGATTACGGAACCGGGGTGGGACCCACTTTCCGCAGTCACCCCGGGATCGCACACTCCTCGGCGAAAGCCACGATAAAGGAAGAAAAGGGATTTTTTTCCAGACAAGTTCAGCCGTGGTCAACTGGGTAATTTGCTTGAAACTTGGGAAATTCACTATTCTCTTCATCCACCAATATTTATCCTCAAAACAATTCATCATGCCTTCCGACCACCTCGACGACGTGCGGCCCATGTTTGAGCTCCGCGGCCGTAATTACATCGTTACGGGCGGAGCTCAAGGCATCGGCTTCGCATGCACTCGCGCCATTTGCGAAATGGGTGGAAATGTAGCCGTCTTTGATATTCAGGACAAGCCGGTCGATGAGTTTACCACGCTCACTGAAAAGTTCGGGACGAAGACCCTTTACATCAAGACGGACGTCACATCTCAAGAGAGCATCCAAGCCGCGTTCGAGACGGTGATCGCCGAGTTCGGCTCCATCAACGGCTGTGTTCCCGCGGCGGGTATCGCCATTGACAAACCGTTTCTCGACCAAACATGGGCCGAGTTCAACCGCATCCAGGAGATCAATGCAAGTTTGCTCCCACTCTACACGCCTCACAGCATTAGATTCTTACGAATGCACAGGTCCGCGGAACATTCTTCGTCGCTCAGCTCGCGGCCAAGCAAATGCTGAAGCAGGGCTCCGGCGGTAGCATGGTCCTGCTGGCGTCTCAGTCCGCGCACATTGCTCTTCCCGGATATCGCATGGCGGCGTACAACGCCTCCAAGGGGGCCGTTTTCATGCTCTCCAAGGCTCTGGCGGTTGAGCTCGCACCACACAACATCCGCGTGAATACCATTTCGCCAGGTTTTGTAGACTCCGAAATGACACGAAATGTCCGGGCATCAAAGAGTCAGCGCGAGGGAGAGCAGATGTGGCTCGCGCCGCCTAATCAGAGACTCAGCACCCAGAACGACCTCACTGGTGCCGTTGTTTACCTGCTCAGTGATGCTGCGCGCCACACGACGGCGGCTGATATACCCATCACTGGCGGACTCCATGCGGGAACCATGGATGGTTTGATTAGCTACGATTCATAATAGCCTTGAACAATAAAGTTCTTTCAACGTAGTTGATTTGGTCGGACTTCCAGGCCATCTTGCATTTTCCTCCGTTCGGCCAGTCAGCTCAGAGTCACGCTATTTAATTTTGAGGTATAAAATTTTTCGTTGATTGTACAAAGGAACAGGGATGAGATCATACTTCTAAATAGCAAATGGTCTGGGCACATTGTCTCATAAAGGGTCAAAGCTGGTCGCAATAACACCACAATACCTCGGTTACGATTACATCACATATTTCAGTTCATCCGATCGTCTTGGGAGGGGTTCTACCTCGAGGACAACATCTCTCACATTCCTCACTAACCACTGAACAGGTCATACTTGCACCAAACCCCGCCATGAGTGATATCATAGAATTCCGAGTCGACATTCCACGAGAAGACGTTGATCGCTTGCAACGTAAGCTCCAGGATACGAGGCTACCAGGGCGTTCCATTGTTCCTGATGCTGGATCAAACTATGGTTCGTGCCCTCGACTCGCAGCAAAAATGAGTTGCGTATTTCGGTAGCTGATGTGATGGTGTCAAGGTCCTGAGTATCAATGGGCGAGGGATCTCTACAATGCATGGGTAAACGACTTTGACTGGGACGAGGCCCAGAGAGAAATGAATCAGGTGCCACATCACTTAGCCACGATTGAGGATCTCACGATTCACTTCGTCCATGCTCGCTCAGAAAGTCCAAAAGCAATTCCTCTCCTCGCTATCCATGGCTGGCCTGGTTCGTTCTGGGAGTTCAGTCAAGTCTGGGGTCCACTCTCTCGACCCAGCAATCCTGATGACCCAGCATTCCACGTCGTGGCACCAAGCATGCCGGGTTTCTGTTGGTCATCTTGGCCACCACAGTCTGGTTGGACCCTTCAAGACAATGCACGCATTTTCGACAAGCTGATGAAAATGCTCGGCTACAACGAGTACATGGTCCAGTGTGGCGATTGGGGCCATTTTGTAGGCCGTGAACTTGGCGCTAATTACACCGACTCCTGCAAGCTTCTGCATTGCAACTTTGCTCCCAGTCCGATGCCAGAAGATGTCGAACTTACAGAGCGAGAGAACAAGGTTTCCAGACGGAGTGAAGACTGGCTACAGAATCACATCGGATATGCCGTAACGATGAGAACCAGGGTAAGGCCTTCCCTAGACTATGGTGATAACACCGAGGTTTACTAACTCTCCTTTCATGACATAGCCTCATGCAATCGGCATCGCACTACACGATAACCCCATGGGAATCCTCATGTGGGTTGGTGAAAAGTACAATGAGGCTGCCAACCCGGAGAACCAGACCAAGCCGTTCTGGACCAAAGCCATTCTGGCCACAGCGTCTTTATACTTTTTTACCGGATGCATCATGCCCTCGATGCTACCATACCACGAGAATCTGACTCATGACAAGTTCCCAGAGTTCGCCATGAATGAAGAGAACCGGATTAAAATCCCGTTCGGGTACACCTCCTGTCTCTGGGACACGGAGCCAGCGTCCAAAAGAGCAGTGGAGCGAACAGGAAACCTGGTCTTCTACAGAGGTATGAGGCAGTAACGTGCACTTTCACATGGTAGTCTTGAGTGCCGGCTGACAGAGAACGCAGAACGCGATGACGCAGGTCATTTTGCTGCTCTAGAGCATCCGGACGGCTTGATGCAGGATGTACGAGATTTGGCCAAACAGGCCTGGGAAGAACAGCCAGAAGCCGAAAGTTCCAGGAACACTGGGGGTCTGAAACTGTCGTTCAATCCAATAGACTCGCGCGTTCGACATGAGTATCGTTCTTGAGGGATAAACTCGACGTCTTCTGCCCAATTCGTGTAGATCTTGTGCCTATGAACTTTGCATGCATACATGCCTGCTTTCTACTAGGTAGTGATGAAAAAGTTCCAATTATCAAATTCTGCCTCAGATGAGTGTCTGTGATGTACCCGATACTGCATGTGGTAACGGGATTTACTAGTCATTAGAAGGGCTTCTTTCGGACAATTAAACAGTAGTCCCCGGATGGTCATAATGAAGCGCCATTCAAGCGCCGACACCGAGCCGACATTATGCTTCCGCAAAGTTCTGCCGAATCACACACTACCCTAAGGTCTTCTCGCGACATAGGGAAGCGGGGTGAAAATGTAGTCTAAGCTGTTGGACTGTTTTGTGTGTTTGCTCGTTTCAAGATAAGGTACACCCCCAACCTTGTCTGCCGCCAACAGAAAGCTTGTCAGGACGTAGGCAGCTCTAAATCAAGGTAGGTTGAGGAAAGAAGGTTTGTGCAAGTGGCTATATTTGGCACAATTTCGCACATCAGCTCGGGGATTGCCCCGTCATTGACGTAGGAACCTCTGTCTGTGTCAGCTTGGCCCATTTGTCTTGAGAGATCGGACGATGCCTCTTATAACGAGAGACCACTCCAGCAGCACCTCGAGGTCGCGGAGTACCTATCGTCCCCCGACGATGAGAGACAATGGACGCCAAGGATTCACAGCCCAGTCCGCGCAACGCCGTTAGCCTGGAGTCGCTCCATCCGATCGAGCCCAGCGTGGTCGTGGACGTCGACGACAAGAAGGACGGCCCGGTCACCGCATCGGCATCAGCGCCACCTACCATTTCAAACGTTGCGATAGACGAGGAAGATGCGCAGGTAGACCCAGAATCGAGCCATGCGGCAGACGAGACGCTGAAAAGACGGGCACGTTGGGCCCTCTTCGTCATGGCCTTTTTCATGGGCGACGTTGCCGAAGGACTAGGCCCGTTCCTCGGCGTCTACCTACAACAACACGGCTGGGCTCCCGGACTGCGCGGTATGGTGAGCACGGCGGGCGGCGTCGCAACGATTATCGCGACGGGGCCGATCGGTGCGCTTATAGACGCAACGAAGTGAGTATCTGGATCCTGCCCAGATTTTCATATGGCATGGTTGTCTTCTCATTAGGAGGTAACTAATACCCGGGGTCGCCAGGTACAAGCGACTCCTCGTCGCCAGCTGCGCCCTCCTCGTTAGCGTTTCCCAAGGACTCAACCTGCTTTCCACACACCCGGCCCTCGTCTTCTCCACGCAAATCGTGTCTGCTGTTGCCGGCACGAGCATGATGCCTCTGCTCGTAGCACTCACACTGGGCATCTGCTCTCCGGAACCTGAAGGCAGTGATGCGCAGAACAAGAAGAGCAAACACAGCTTCCGCGCACTCAACGGGCGCAATCAAGCGGCTAATCACGCGGGCAACATGGTAAGCGCTGGCCTAGCGGGCCTGTTGGGCTCGCGCTTCGGTTTGAACGCGGTCTTCTATCTCGTCATGGCATTTGATGCTATGACGATAGGATGCGTCTTTTTGCTACCGGAGCGGGCCATTGACCACGCAGCCGCAAGAGGAGGCCCTGCTCCCAATATTGGCGTGACCGATGCCGGTGCCCATCAAATGCAAGAAAGAGGGAGGGAAGAGGCTGATGATGTAGTGGAAAGGGGTGGCTTGCCTCCTCCTGGAACTCCCATCGTCAGCCCAAAGACCAGATCCCATCGATTCAGCTGGAAGCACAAATTCTCTTTCAGTTGGCTCAAAATCTTTCAGAATAACTGGCCTCTCGGTATTGTCGCTGTTACCATCTTCATGTTCCACCTCGGCAATGCCGCGATCCTCTTCATCTACGGCCAGGCCTTGGTGGCGGCTGGCGAGGGAGACCCCGCGGGCACCACCGGCCTGACCGTCATCATCGCGCAGGGCACAATGGTCATAGTATCAATCCTGTCGGCGTGGGCCTCTGGTCGCTACGGTTACTGGTCCTCCATTCTCCTATCGTACACTGCCTTGCCCATCCGCGCTGCCGTTGCGGGCCGCGTCATGAAGAGCTGGGGCGTTTGGCCGGTCCAGATCCTCGACGGCGTCGGTGCCGGTATCCAGAGCGTTGCTATCCCAGGATTGCTAGCCGTTATGATGGCTGGGACCGGGCATGTTAATGTTACGATGAGTATTGTTGGCGGCATAACCCGACAGACTGGTGCCGCCATCTCGCACTCGTTGGCTGGGTGGGTGGCGCAGGTCAGAGGTTACAGTTTTGCACTTTACTTGTTAGGCGTCTTCCCGCTTGTCTCTGTTTTTCTATGGGCTGGCTTTTACAAGATACTACGGCCAGTCATGGATAAGAAACCTGGGGGAGAGTAGCGTGTAGAGATGGATCCATGTAACCAGAGAAGACAATATGAATGACTTCATTTCATAGTCTTTTCATTGTAGACTTTCCGTCATCTCTCAACCAGAAGTATGAACCTTTCCCTTGCAGTAGGTCACAGAGAAGCTAGGCCTTGTATCACGAAGACCACTAAAGCACGCCTTTATAATTCGGAGAAAACGAAACTGATTATTAAGCTAGGGTGTGTCTAGGTTACCGCTGTAGTGGTTTGTGTATCCAAAGTTCATCTGCTCCTGGGCCCTCAACTCCCCTATCAAAGTCTCAAGCTTCCACATTCCTTTTGATATCGAAGACAGGCTCTGAAAGGCCTACTTCACATTCTGACGGCAGCTCAACCCCATATGAATGGGACTCGAGTTCCCCAGTCGTCTCATTCACCACGATCCATCTCCTATTGAGCAAATCACCGTCCTGCGCTCTATCGTTGAAGTTCTGCGGGGCAAAGACAATGCTGCTCACAGCCTCGCTGTAAAGCGTAACGGGTATGTCCTCGGACCTGGTGAAGTGATGCATTCCCAGGTTAAACCAAAGAACGATATCCTCGTTCTCGACGCCTTCACCGTCAAAGAACTTCATAAAGTCTTGCTGCGGCTTGAGAGGTAAGTTGACATTGGAGTGACTGTTCGCGTACGGCTCCATGTCGTGCTGTCTGGAGAGCGCCAGATGCGACTTGGCAAACGGCGTCTGGTGCTTGGTCCAGGGAGATTTCAGCGGCGTGAGATGGATGTTGGATTTTCCGGGGACGATGCGATAGCCGCGCTTCTCGCCCCACTCGTTTGTGGCGTTGGGGTTGACGACGCAGTACATGGCCGCGTTGTTTGGCTGCCAGTTGAACTGTTGCTCGTCCTTCATGGTAGACTTTTGCAACTGCATCTGTTCGAACGAGCCTAGCTCTGGATACCATGGTTGACTCTGATTTACCAAAACGAGCTCGCTTACCTCGAGACTGTTTTTGGTGTCTAGAATGTCAAAGTCGGCTTTGTAGGTCAGGATATGGTCGTGCAGTGATCCCATCGTCGCCTCTTGGATTCTGGGTCCGAACTCTTCCTGGTCTGGGTAGTAGAATGAAGATTGCAGGAAGCCGGATGCTCGGACTGTGACCTCGAGACTTCCATCAACATGGAAGGAATAGTCAAACATGTAGTCATAGTTGCCCACGGTCGCCACCGATCGCATGGTCAAAGCCGAAGCCTTTACCGTACCAAGGTAACTGAACCCGTACTCATTGCCACTTCCGTACCGGTGACGTGAGACGGGATAACCAGCATCCGCCTCAAAAATACAAATCGCATCAGTGTTCACGACTGAGGAGTTGCCCTCGTGGTACGTGACGTTCCAGAAAGTGCTGCCAAAGGGACAGTCGTACCCCTCAACCAACGTACCAAGGTCGGTGCCGAGGCTGTAGTACGTGTCGTGATATACTGTACCAGCAGCCTTTGGTGTGAAACCGGCATATTGAGCCGCAGCCTCCTGAAGCGAAAGCTCATAGATGACCCTCTCGCCCTTGAATTTGATGTCGTAGTACATGAGTCCAAGAGTTCGCGAGTACGAAGTGTAGAAAGACCACCCCATGTACTCAATGTACTTTTCTTCCCCGTCGACTTTGTAGCGCTTGCCGCCAACCTCGAGACTCTGTGGTGCCAGCTTATTCTCCAGGGCTCTCACCCCCATTTCAGGCTTGTAGTCCAGGAGACCCCAGTCCGGAGTCCGGGTCTGCTGGAACTGCTCTTTCAATTCTCCTGCCTCCCATGCAGAGCGCAAGGCAGCGACTGTGGGAAAGAATTTTTCATTCGTTACCATGCCTCTCAGCTTGTAGTGTGAAGCATCCGTGCCGGTGACATCCAGCATAACGAAGAAGTCTAACGGCGTCAGATATGTCGCGGTATTGGGATATCTGAACATGACCGTCCGAAATGCTTGAGTACCGTCATAGGACAGGGGCGTGCCACTGGTGGAAGTGAGTGTAGTCCGGTTATCACTCGAGCCGTAGTAGACTCCTCCAATGAGCTCAGACGTGATGTCGGTGATGTTGCTCATAACAGACAAAAGCAGCGGCTCGGTAGCCAACACCCGAGGGCCATCGAAAGAGCGGCTGTTATACGGAATCTTACCCCCGCTGCCGCCGTTGAAGATGTAGTCAAGCTTCTCTACCTTGGTTTCGGCACCGACAGGGAGAGGCCCAACCATGTACTCCTGGGAGTCTGGGATATCCAGACCTCCGCTGAAAATGACTACCCGGGCATATTTTGGCGGTAGACTCGCCGTTCCATTGAGGTAAGGCAATACGGCGGACTTATTGGTGTGGAGAGTGTCGATCCAGTAAACATAATTGTCCGTGATCGTAGCGTTATTGGGATCTGTGAGGTTTAGGCCAGTTGCCGGATTATGGAGTAAATTCCAGACGGCGAGATTGTCATCGGGGGAAATGGGTGCCCAGATGTTGACTTTTGGGGCCTTGACCTTGGGCGCGACCTCATTGATGTTGCAAGTGGTGATGTTAGCCGTCCGCTTGAAAAGACCATGTTGTCTCGCTCTAGACGATGCGTCCACTGCCGTAGCGAGGGCCAAGAAGCCTAAGAGAGACTGTCTTACAAGCATATTTGCTGAAGCATGAGAGTTGTATGGGACTTCGACTGAGTGCTCCTCAAACATTGGCAGATTATCGGATGAACCTGGACAGCCTCTCAATCTTATTTCCCAGCAAGATCCGATGTCGCTGAGCGTAGAAAGCAAGGCCCAGTCTGCATCAACCGAGATAACAGGTCAAGTAGCCTCTGCGCAGGACGACATATTGCCAAGGCTCGTGCCTCAACGGCGGGATATCCAAGCCCAAGTGGTTGGTAAGACGCCGATAGTCTTGGCCGGATGACTGGGAAATATTGTCTCTCTATCCCACCGGGCCGGTATAAAATGAGAATGTCTCGATAAAAGGTCTTGGCCAGATAAAGAGAGCGAGATAGGCAGTTTTTCTCATCTGACATGCATGCCAAGACTCATTACGGGCTTTTTGTATTCCAGTCTTGCATTATCAAGTTGCCTTTATCGATGGTTACATGCAAGATAGCAACCTGACCTTCCATTCTTATCGGGACTTCTGCTGCTTCTCGGATATTCGTCCAGTCTTAAATGCAGGCTACTGTATTTACAGTTTATAGTACGTAATGTCTTTCCGACTGAAATCCTTTCTCAGTTGAGCGGTGCCGTGACGTGGCGGCCTTCTCCATTGCAATGTAAGTTGCCTAGTCTGTTCTCAAGAGCTTCCTCATCATAAGAGGTACTTGTTGATCAGCGATGCGGGGTTGCTGATTGAGCTGTAACTCCACGGGATTGCAATGGTAGATGAGAAAACGATTCATGTCTTGCCGATTGAGTTAATTTACTTCGAGGCGTATGAATAAGACTGTAAGTGTCAAGGCTGCGTCTCAGCTCTCTGCGTGCGAAAGCTTTCATTCGAATTCAACACTCATTGAGACTCGAAGATACACAGTGAACGAACGTCATTACTGAGGGGCTGTCCTGACTGAGTCAGCAAGTGTATCAATCATCAAATGCCCAAAGAGCTTGAGTTGAACCGCATGTCAACACCACGAACCAACCCCGCAACTTTTCATGGCCTCTATGTTATTAAAAGCCTAGCCATGATTTCAAGATCGGCTCACGGTGGCCGACAAAGTGTGATGCACATAGATAAGAGACGGAAGAGCTGTTGAATGTTTGTCATATTATCAAAGATAATCTCTACTCCACCCCCCGTCTCCGGGGCCCTCCGGAAAAGTCCCGATTACCCCGCGTTGCCATTCGAAAAACCCGGGGTTTCTCACCGGCCCCATTCGTTCTGAAAACTTCTGCCTCGGTCGATTCTCGATCGTGAGGAGGCTGGTGCCCTGCTTGCGTAAGAAATACTTCAAGATAGAAACTAAGCCGTGAGAGTTTATCTAAGCTATACTAATTATGAGTGTATAAGGATTCAAGAGCAGCAAAGTTAGTACATAATAAATCTAAGTTTTAACATCCTTATTTTCTCAAATTCAATCACATTAAATTTGTAAGAACAAAAACCATCTTTAATTAATCAAGTTCGATAAAACTCTAAGGTTCCAAATTTTTAGTTCACTATTATAGACAGGTAGAAAGGAGTATTTCATCCAGGTCCGCGATGCCACGGGTTGCCTAAACACCGTTGCAAGGGCGGGGGCATGAGTCCTTGCGAAAGCACTGGGGTTGATTATCCATACTTCTTGTGGCTGGGCTAGATGCAATAGTATGAACACACTTTACCTAAATTCGAAGCTCTGATAGCAATGATGTGTTCCACACTCACCAAGCACACGTCTAGGCCGAAGACGCTATTTACCGCGCCAATCAGTTCTGTTGTCGTGATCTTACAAACATGAACTATTAGTTTGGGCTTATCCATTTGATTAGACTGATTTGCAAGCGGATGCTGAAGACATTTGCTCATAGTGAGCGAGCGCGTCGGAAAAGATCATACTGCATTTTGTTTGTTCGAGGAAATAAACCGGTCAGGGCCTTTCCATATTTGTACACCATCATCAAAGACAATAGGAAAGTGACGCATGTAAAATATGCACCAAAAATGTTAAATCGCAACACAGGATATCATTCTTCTGATTGACTAACTAATAGGGTATTCTCGAAATGTATTATTTCATCGGATTCATAACTCATCCCCCCATTCCCGGCTCTTCCAACCTGATGATACTCTGTTCATCTTCGGCGTAGCCAACTAAACAAATCGCCCTTTATCTTATGTCTCACATGCTGGTTGAAGCCATAAGTGATCGCATTAGCCAGGCCAATAAACTGACTTGAGCTCTGCAGCGCCGCCAAAACACGACTCTGAGAGCTGTTCCCCGACGCCTCCATCAATCTGTTGACGAGACCGGGGATCCAGAGCACCACATACATGATCGGATAGGCGTTGAGGAGCATCATGCGCTTGATCTCGCGCTCGACTTTCCTCGTCTGCGTCCGTATGGGGAAGTCGCTCACCATCGTCGCGGTCACGGCTAGCGGCGCGGTCTTTCTGCTGTCAACATTGTTGAGGCTCGGGTTCACCGGGAAGTCTCGGGATTGGAGCTCCCGAGTCCCCGGCATCTTGAATGACAACGCTGAGCCCCTGCTCCTGTGGGCTTTTTTCCAGATGGACATGGATGGCCGCCTTGGCGGACCACTGTCCATGTGGTATTGAGCAAACTGTGCTTGTGCAGCAATTGCCGCTGGGGGTAGCATGTCCCTCTGGAGGTGTGACGGGCCTCCAGCGGCGCTCTTGTGCAATCTGTCCTCTTGCTCGAGGTAGGAGAACCGCGCCTCGGAGGCTTGGCTCATGTCCATATCGTTGTTGTTGAATCGCGAAATCCTTGCCGACATCTTTCGCCCCGACTCTTCGCCTTCTGCCGGCTCTTCGTCGATCCTTTCTTCGGCAAAGTGTGCTTTCCTCGAGGCCGATGGCCTGCTGCCCACCTCTTCTTCTTCATCGTCGTTGTCTTCAGAGTCCAGCGGTCTCCTAGCTAGGGCAGCTGAGGCGGTCCGTGAGGCGGCAAGTGATGCTTGTTCGCCTTGCTGAGAATTCGACGATGACTGTGACAGCTCCCCCCTCGTTGGTTTTGCTCGCTCGAACCGATCCATCTCCAGCGCTGGGGTCTGTATCGACTCGAATCCTTGCTTCTTTCGTACAGACGACGTGACGACATTGCCGATCGAGTTCTCGCTATGGTACAAAGGGTCGGATGTGCTGACCATTGTGCGAAAGTGTCGCCCGAGGTACCACCAGACGTAGAGGTAGATGAGAATCGTGATAAAGATGATGCCGAAACGCCAGCCGTGCGTAAGTGCGTATCGAAGGTCGGCTCGGTCTTGGCTTATCCAGCACCAGTTTCCGCTCACGGGTTTCATTGTGCCCATAAGGGTCGCTGTCGTGCTGGTGATGATCGGTACGATCCACACGGAGGCGCAGATCATGACCTTTCGGAAGGTGGACGCATTCGGCATATAGGTTTTCCGTGTTATAGTGAGGAACGTAACGACTGCGATGGCGAGGATGGAGAAGTCGGAAGCTTGTACCGAGAGCTGGCCGACCATGCCGTTGACCACACATGCTGCGCCGGGTTTAAGTTCTTTGTTCTTAATGTAGATGATGCCTGATATTGTGTTGCCAAGTGAGTTTATAAACTCTTTTGCCCACAATCACTGTCAGCACGCATTCCTGCCGGAAGGACCAGGCCGAGGGCAGAACTTACCGGCCAACGTCAGGTTCAGGACAAGGGCATGGCGGAACGAACGCTGTTGGTCATGGTAGAAAACAGAGGAAATTAATACACATGTTGTCGCGATGAAAGAAAGAATGCTGCCCGTCAAGGTGACAGATGAGACTGCCACATCGAAGGCCATCGTGAACCCGCACGCCAATGAAGGTTGGTTGGCATCCACGCGAGCGAGCCTCGCATGCAGTGAGTGGAAATGGGTATCATCTTGTACCAAAAGCCAATGCGCTGCTCATCCCGAACCATGGACTGGGCGGGATTGGCTGTTCGTCACAGTGATGGAGTCACGGGGCTAAGGTGCGAGTCATGAAGGTGTTGACGGACGTGGGGCCCTCACTCTCCCCCTGTGTATTCTATTTATTGTGTGATAGGCGTCCGTGATGCCATCTGAACTTGGACAAGGCCCTGGATAAGGCCTGGACAAGGCCCCAGACAAGAGCTTAATAGACAGGACATAAGTCGTCAAGGACGTGTGGTTCAAAATGCTTTGAGTTTGCGCGATATATATCAGCTGGGTACGGATAAGGCGATGCTTAAACCTCCCGAAGCTGAGCCTTGAGGCTGATGGTACGCCTCAGAGAGTTCCGAGATACCACCTAGGGTACCACGGACTGCAGAGCCAAATCTGCCAGAGTTGCATGTGAACTACTCCGTAAAGCAGGGTCTCCTTGAATCAACACTTGGCGTTTTGGAACGTAGTACCCAGCACTCGGACCCACTGCAGAGTCCGAAAATCGTTAGCAATTGCGCACTTCCACGTGGGTTCTTGTGTCAGATTTCCAAAAGCGGCCCCCGACTTAGCCGTGGAAAGATGAGAGTTGATACTGTTGGCGTCGAGCCGTCATCCCAAGTTTGCGGCACGCGTCTGTCGCCAACTTACCAGCCTTTTGGGGTATCGACGTGAACAGGATCCCCAGCGACCCGGTTACGAAGTTTCCAGCTCTTGCAAAACCCAACACGCAGAGCGATCAGTGAACAATTGTACCGACCATGCTTCGCACCGTCTCGGGGAGTCAAACGCGTAGCTCCTTCGATGCCGCGTACCTCCGGGCAGAAACTTTTATGGAATACTTGATTTGACTTGCAGGCTATCTATGAAGAGACTAGAAGCTTGTGACTAGGCCCGTTGAGAATGGCTGGTTGATTCTCGGCACCTAGTCATCCCGCTAAAAGCCTGGCTTGATCATCGTTGTGGACACAGTAATATCAAGGTTTAGACGGAGTGGAGTCTTTCTAACCACTGCAACGTTTTTATCCCTGGAAACGCATCGGGTCCCTTGTTCGCTTACAAACCTTGGTTGATTGATGACAGGATAACCTTTGCAAGCCAGAGCCCCAACTTTCCGGAAACGAGCAAGGACGAACGCGGACGGGATCCTCTCGTCGACAAAGTCGGAACTCCAAGAGGGCCTTCGCTGAAAACGTCTGCCCTGCCGTCCGACTGGGAGCAAAGTTTAGGCATTTCATGGTTCTTCCTCCTGGCACTTCCATACAAAAAGAACCCAAATCGACTTGCCGTACAGCTCTCTTCAAAATCGCATATTCTACTTTCTGCTAAGAGAGAATTCAGCTGCCCGCATATCCGTAAGAACCTTCACATCCCACAAGCCGGTTGTTGTTCCCCTGTCGGTACTGCCATGGACCCCGGTCGTGCGTTCTTCCCATTTCGTGCGTCTCTCCCTCCCGTCATTCTCATCTCCTCCTCCGCAATTTACATCCCAGGCGAGGGGGAAAGAGTTTTTTGCCACAGTCGCACGCAAACTTGAGTGTCCGCGGATATCCCCGCAAATGAAGGATGTTCTATTTTCAAACGCAAGCGGCCTTGCCAGCCCTGCCTGGGGCGGCCAACCGCGCGGGAATTGGCGGGAGGTCCAAGTCCGGTTCAGCCGTGCTCCTACAAGTCCGGCCAGCTTACCTGTCAAGCGCGGTAGAAGATTGATTGCATTTAATTACGCTAGTATCTTTCAGGTGTGATTGCCATCCGGGTCGGGCGAAAGAGAAACTGCCAAGAACACATTTCGACTGTAGTTGTGCCGAGGCCGACATGCGGCCGATTTGTAGGCATCGCGAGCAGAGAATCTGCTTGATGGACACCGGTGACCCATTCTTCGTGCCCAAGCGAATAAAGAGCGAAAATCATTCCTGTGTCCACTCCGATCTCGTGATTCTGAACCTTCAACAAAGAAGAGAGTTGTTGAAGAAGTTAATTCCCGATTTGCTTGAGAGGGGGATGGACTCCGCTGTGAGGAGGGGCATCTCGGAAAGGGAGCAACAGAGCGAAAAGCACAGAGCGCGCGACGACACACGCGATGGGCTGCGGCCCGGAATTCCAGACGTGAGCATGAGTCGTGAACGTGTTGTACCTGAATGCTCAGCCTTGGAAATCCCGGAACCATGGATTCACCCTGTTATTGCCTCGCGTGGTGAGAATCGACATTACTCCCGCATTTCTGGGCCTTTGCAAAGTAGCCGGCCTGTCGCGTGTCGCAGCACCCCCTGGATTCTCTCCAAAGACTTCCGCATTGGGTTGAGAAGCTGGGGGATTGTCTTACCAAGATTCAAAGACGGCCAACAAGGCCCGCCATTGCGATTCAAGGCCCGTATTCCCATCTCGAGGTGGTGGACAAGTGCAAGCCATGCATACACAACATTATCGAGGGGGACCGGGATCAAGCGCGTCAGAGCTTCAGAGAGCACTGGAGCAGAGTCAAAAAAGGGGCCGGATCGGAAGACAATAACAAAGAAACAGTTTTAGCTTATTCGAATTGAACTTTAAAACATTTGGAGACAAAGCATCAAATGGCCATTCGTTCTTCCAAAATTCATTCCCTAGCTGTCATATCACTGACGAGCTTGACGACACTTATCTCGCTAGTCACTCCTCGTTGTCTTGTTGATTGGTTTCTACAGTAATAATTCTTGGCCTTGCCTCCCGGTGCAGAATCATGGTCACAAAGCGCTACCGAAAACTCACTTGGTCGCGTCTGCTATATCACAGTGGACTTTGTGTTTGATCAACTGAACTTCGGTGCCCGACTTGCGGTATTGTGAAAAGGTGTCCGCTTTCTTGTCGGTCATTATCCCAACACTCTTCTCTTACCCGTGGTCTAATAGTATCTCAAGGCTTGTGAAAACAGGTCAAGTATCTGTCTGTCCACTGTACCTAGTCCAGCTTCAGAACCCATTTACCCTTCAGCTATAACAAAGTCAGCAAGCGGTCACATGATGGCAATTGACATTACTTGCCTGGCCATCGTGCATAGTCTGCATCAACTCTTCCAGGTCATCAATCTTTCCCACATGAACATTGGGTACGACCGCGCGGCGTCTGACAAACTCCAGAGCCTCGAGGATGTCAGCACGCGTACCAACAGAGGAGCTCAGGATCTTCCAGCCCTTGGCGATGAGCCAGAGGGGATTGAAGTTCACTTTTGCTTCCCACGACAGAATCCCAACACACATCAGCGTTCCGAACGGCGCCAGCAACTCAAAGGCCTCTTGATAGGCAATAGTCGCCGTAGCAGCGACTACGACTGCCTTTGCCCCGTGGCCTCCCGTCGCCTTTCTGACCTTCTCACCCAAGGTTCCCGGCTCGGTGACATCGATATAGACTTCGGCACCCTGGTCTTTACAGATCTCACCCTTTTCCGGGCCAGCATCGACGCCAATAACGCGGTAACCCATGGCATGAGCGTATGCGACACCCAGTGCGCCGACACCTCCTCCGGCTCCCGAGATGGCAAACCATGAACCCGGCGTTACATGGCAATTCTTGATCGCCTTGTAAGCCGTGACACCGGCACATAGAATAGGCGCAACCTCCTCATCAGGCACCTCGTCAAACCGAGCCGGAAGCCTCGCCAAGTACCGCAGCGGCACAAGCGTGTACTGAGCAAAAGTGCCGTCGTACGACTTCCCCGAGTGGAGCGCCTTCTCGCAGCGCGTCTCGCCCTCGTTGACGAGGTCGACGCAGGACTCGCAAGTACCGCACGTGTTACGGGTCCAGGCGACCCCGACTCGCTGTCCCACTTGAACCGATTGGTCGAGGGCCGCGATATTGGATCCCAGGGCGGCGATGCGACCGACTCCCTCATGGCCGAGAATCTTGTCGAGCGGCCCGAAATGGCCCTGGGCCATACCGAGATCGGAACCGCAGAGACCCGTCACTGATAGGCGGACGAGGACTTCATTTGGACCTGGGACTGGGCGCGGTTCATCCCGCACTTCGAACGTGGGCTTCCCATCTGAGCCCTGTGGTGACTACACATAACAAGTCTTAGTGAGGTTTGATCCCATGAAGAGACTTACACGTGTACATTGGCTTGAATGACAACTCACCGTTAGGATAGCAGCTCTGTGTGTCTCCATATTTGCGTCTGGGGATTATGCGTATAAAATTGCAGCTCAAAATATGATGTTTTAAGGTTGGAGTCGGAACCAATTGAGCTAGTGCTGTCCGAGGGGTATCTATGATGTAGTTTGTTGGTTTCCCCGCTACTGAGGCCTGTGAAGTGGGATAGGAGTTCAGATGGGTCGGCAATACTTTTCCGTATACTGTCGGTTCCCCTGATTCCGAGTCATTCAAACTTTGACCTCCATGTCTTTCAGCCATCATAAAGACTTGTGGGGGAGAAAATAGAGCGACGTCATCGTGCTCGGATAAGTATCTGTGCGGAAACAGAAGAATTGGCATTAGACAACGGAGGTCTCGGAAATGTGGATAGGCGCCTCCAGGAGTCTCCGAAGGCCGCCATTGAAACCACTAGCCGCCAGTTTGGCATCCGAGCCCGCGATGTACGTAATATTGTTCAAGAGCATAAAGCCAGAGGTCAAATCATTTGTAAGAAGTTGGACAAAGTAGCTTTTCTTCTAATACAGCCTTAATCGAACTCTTTGATAAGCAAGATAGACGTTATATTGTAAAGTTGGCAGATAATAAGGCTAAGCGACTTGGAAGCCTCATTTAGATATTTTAATACTCCCTCCAGATGTGGAAACAGTTTCTAAAAGTGTGCAGTTTGACAATACCTATAATACTTACCACTTCAAGCTCCCTCTTGTCTAGGTCACAAGTCAGACCTGCATTCACTCTATTTTCATCACATACTTCAATGAGCAACCAAAGGCTGCCCAAATAAGCAATTTCCCAACGCACAGCAACAGCTCTACATACACCACATCGACTCTAACGTCCTACTCCAAGCTAAGCAGAAATGGAAAGAAAAAAACGCAGTGAACAGGTTAATAGTGATGCGTCCAAGTATACTCACATACACAGCTGCACAAGCAGTGACTGAGCTCAATAATGAGGATCAAGCTTTCATTCATACAGTCACACTGCAGTAGATAGGAAACTTTCTCATACTTGGCGTGGCGTCTTGGAGATAAGGAAAGTTGGTATGTATACACAGAGACTAAAGAATTATTCAACAAGACCTAGACCGCCGTCTACAAGGAATATGACGACCAGCGACAAACGACGAGTCAGTCAACGATTCTAAATGACGATTGACTCCCTTAGTCCGCATTCCTCACTCTAATAGGACTTGTATATCAATAGAAATACCGATAACTTAACGCGCTTTTCCACACAGAGGACAGGGAGGCTTCCAAATTCTTAAACAACCGCAGTAACGCAGCATCTTCAGAGTAGCTACTTAGCTATGTGGCTGGCTATCTGAGCTTCGCCAAATGACCTTTAATTGAAAGCTTTCCCAGCTCCGTTAACTCTATATTGAACCAGTCCCTTCGAGCTCAAATTCGATCTTCTCCAATCCGTCAATCCCTTATAACTCTAGTGTTCCCCCCAAGGTTCCCTTTACAAGGAGATTCACAAGAAAGCGTTTCCCAAATATCTCCTGAGAATGGGTGGGGTCTTGCTGCGTTTCTATTCTGAGAAACTTGGCCGCGCACATCGTCGTTACGGCCGAACTTTCTGAGCTAGATCCCGTGGAGCATTTAACTACGCCAAAGTCTGGCGGTGGCCACTCTAATACATCGCTGAAGTAGTAGAAAGTCTGGCACGGCAGCTCCTCATTGTTCTGATATTGGTGTTGCCGTACATTGTGCTCTGGGGCATGCGATCTGTGTCTAGATGTTAAGTCACGGTTGAAGCGAGCATCTTGTTGCGAATTGTAGAGCCCTCGGCCAGCAGCATAGGCTGCGTCGAGCCGTCTTTGCCGAAACAACCATTGAGAACCTATCGAGAACCATCTCGAGAGGTAATGATTTGCACAATGTGTCACCTACAGCGTCGAATTAGCGTCAACCTGTTTGCCTTGTTTACCATAACATCATGTATATAACAGCCCTGAAGGTCTCCTTTTGGGACACCGTCGATTGTCACGCGGCTTTCCGCAATGGCGGGATACATTTGAAAGCCGATATCTCACAGCATGAATAGAAATGACAAGTTGTTCTCTAGGTAGTAATCCCCCCTCCCACGCCGTCCAGTGCACCGGCCATCGCTGGTCGCCTAAGCCCGCTCATGAAGACCACGATACATTTGCGCCCAATTTGGGAGGGTACTTGATCGACTCAAGAGTACCCAAAAAGACGCAAACCGTTCAATGGAGCCGTGCAGGTTAATGAATTACTCACAGGAATGACCCCCATACGTAGCATAATACTATATATACTTATTCAAGTATAAATATACTTTCTTGATGCAATAGGAGCGTAAGAACTAAAATGATTTCCGTGGAGTACGTCTGTCTGCATTGGCTCAGATAGATTTGACAATTACATACTGAAGCAAGTATCGTGCATAGTTGTTTGCCCACCATCTCTTTGTATAGTTGAACTGGAAGTATCATTCGCGTTGCGGCTGATTCGCGTTGTGGCTGATTAAATTAACACAGTCCCTTTATCCTACGCCCAGAACATGACATCGTGATAACGCACCTATAGATCACGCCATTCTTAATCTCCGAATTAACCGTCTGCAAAAATAAAAGCCGGCGTCTGAGGTTTCCGACAGAGTTTGCTCATAATCCGTCGAGGAAGGTGGCGGTGTCCAGTTCCCAAACGGACTAGATACCTACATAAATCACCGACGGGAGGCTGATCTTTCACATTGTCCACGAGTAAATAAATTTAAATATAATTTTTGACATATATCGAAATATGAAAAATAGAGCAAATCGCAACGCCTGGCCCCCTGATGCTGAAAGCTGCTGAAGCGGATATAAGACCATGTACATTTTACAAAAATTTCGACTTTTTTCTCTCTTGCAATGCTTTCTTTTGTAAATATCATCATCATCCCACCGACATCACTTCTCTCGTCTTAGCCGCCCATTGCTCAAAAGCAGTAGTGAACAGGCTTATTCCTCATCAGACTCTTCCTCGGGAACCTATCACCTTTCCGTTAGTCATCACAATCAAAAACGTGGCTGCTAGTAGCAATCTTGACTTACCCCTTCGTGGAAATCCCGACCCTCCTTAGTACCCTTGATAACACCAACACGAATGCAGAAGTCACCAAATCTCTCGCCAGTCTCCCTCTCAGTCGCATATCTCTTGAGAAGCGGCTTCATGATGGCCAATATCTCATCCTCCTTGATGCTCTGCCTGAACAGCTTGTTCAGTCTCTGGCCGTGGTATCCACCACCAAGGTACATGTTGTACGCGCCGTACGCCTTTCCAACAAAAGCGACCTCGGCGAGCCAGGGGCGCGCGCAGCCGTTGGGGCAGCCCGTCATGCGCATCACAATCGAGTCTTGGCGCAGGCCGTTCTCCTCGAGGCAGTCCTCGAGCTTGCTAATCAGCACGGGCAGGTAGCGCTCTGACTCGGCCATGGCGAGGCCGCAGGTGGGGAAGGCTACGCAGGCCGACGAGCTGAGGCGCAGGCCGGAGAAGTGCACGTTGTCGAGCTTGTACTTCTTCATCAGGTCCTTGATGGACTCGAGGTCCTCGTCGGCGACGTTGCTGAGGATCAGGTGCTGGTTGCCCGTGAGGCGGAACTCGCCCTTGTGCACCTTGGCAATCTCGCGCAGGCCAGTCTTCATCTGGAACTCGGGTGTGTCCTCAATGCGACCGTTCTCGATGAAGAAGGTGAAGTGGTTGAGACCCGTCTCATCCTTTTGCCAGCCGAAAGTGTCGACGTTGGACTTGAACTCAAAGGGCTTCTCCTTTTCAAACTTTTGGCCCCAGAGCTCCTCGACCTTACCACGGAAGACGTCGACGCCCATGTCGTCAATGGTGTACTTGAGACGGGCGTGCTTGCGGTTCTTGCGGTCGCCATGGTCGCGCTGGACGAGCATGATCTTCTCGCAGGCGATGTGGACCTGGTCCGTCTTGACGAAACCAAACATGCGGCCGATCTGCGGGTATGTCTTCTTGTTATTGTGCGTGGCACCCATGCCGCCACCAGCGATCAGGTTGAAACCCTCGAGGTTGCCGTCCTTCCCCTTGATGGCGATGAGACCAATGTCATGGGCGTACACATCGGTGTCGTTGTGGGGAGGGATGGCGATGGTGATCTTGAACTTTCTGGGCAGGTAGGTGGGTCCGTACAGAGGCTCAAAGTCCTGCACCGCGTCACCGGCAATCTGGGTCTTGGTATCGTTCTCGTCCGCCAGCCAGATCTCGTGGTAGGCGGTGGTCGAAGGCAGGAGGTGGTCGCTGATCTTCTTGGAGCTGGCCCAGACCTCCTTGTGGTACTTGGACTGGGTAGGCAGGGAACTGCACATGACATTACGGTTGACATCACCGCAGGCGGCGATGGTGGTCATGAGCGCTCTGTTGATGGCCTGCATGGCGGGCCTCAACTTGCCCTTAACGACACCGTGGAACTGGAAGGTCTGACGGGTGGTGAGCTTCATGGTTTCATTGCCGAGCTCGTTGGCGATGTCATCCATCTGCACCCACTGCTTGGGAGTGGAGATACCACCAGGCAGACGGCAACGGATCATGAAGGAGTAGGCAGGCTCCAAGCCCATGGCCTTGCGCTCGTCTCTGACATCACGGTCGTCCTGCATGTAGGTACCGTGGAACTTAGTAAGCTGCTGGTCGGCGGCAGAGATAGCAGCGGTCGTGGGATCGTTGAGGCCCTCGACAATGGTACCACGGAGGAAGTTGGAGGCAATCTTGATGTCCTCGTTAGTGATGGGAGCAGGCTCCTCGGGAAGACCGTCGACGTTGTCGACGCCAAGGGCGCGCCAGATCTTGGGCTCCCACTCCTGGTAGCCAGTCTGGTATCCATCGGGGTCCTGGTCATCACCGAGACCAATGTCGGCAAGTCTCTTGCCGCCAAGGTTGGACAGGACACGGTCGAGGTCCTTCGCAGGCTTGTTGTAATAGATCTTGTCCTCCTTGCGGGGCCAATAGTGACGATCTCCAAGACCGAAGACGGAGTAGTTGACGTT